CGTAGCTTAACCAATGTAACTGTGGTCTTTTAATACTCTAAACTATATCAGTGTCGTCGTATATATTATAAAGCTCTTATTTACTGGCGATTTCTGCCGTCGTCCATATGCTGAGCACCATGAATTTCCGGCAAAACCTTTCTCTCGCAGACTCACAAAGTGAACTCACCCGATTTTTGTCAATGTCCGCGCTTCTGTGCCATATAGCAGGTAATGAATGTTGAGGGGCAGGTAGAGTTTGATGTCTGTATGTCTAGAGACGACTTTAGTTTTCAAAACACCATCTGTTTGTAAGAGGGGTTTTTGTTGGATATTCAGATTGATATAGTTATTGGGGTTAATGCTGGTTCTTAGATAAACTAAATCGTCTATCAGTAGCAATATCGCGGAGGTCAAGACGTAAACGTGTTGACTGTTTTTTTTTTTTTTGACAGTAGATATTTCGTCTTGTCCTCGCGCACCAACAGACCCATTCACCTTGCTTCTTGAGCCATTCGGAAGAGCTAACTGCATCGTACATTATATTTTCTCTACTTATTTCTATATATATATAATTGGCGCTTTGTAACCGCTGAAGCGATTTTTGGCCGAGCTCCCTCCTACAATTTGTGGTTTTGCGTCTTGATGTTTTTCCAACAAATAAGTCCCTCCAGTCTATACTAAACCGCCTCCACCAGCAAACGCCTCGGATAAGTGCTTTCTAATTCCGACAGAGCTTTTGTGTTGCTTAGCATCGGTAACCAATAGCAGCAGTAAAGTAAATTCGAAAAAATACTTTCAAACTGTAGATAGTAACATTCTGCAGCTGTCCCCATAAAAGAAGCTCTACCACCAGCTCCCTGAAAAACATTGAAAACTCGTCTTCTTCCTCCAGTACTATAGTGAAAACTTCAACAGAGCTGCAACACAGTCACCGGCTCCCTTAAAAGCGCTGAATACTTTTCTTCTTCCTCTAGTCCTACAGTAAAGACTTCAGCCGAGCTGCAACACAATTTCATTGAATGCATCAGAGTGGGAGAAAACGTGCTCTGACACTTCTTTTCCAAAAGAATTACTGACAGAAAGAAATAGGAGAACATAAATGTCTGGGTAAGTGAGCTATAGCAAACTTACAGACGGTATAAAAATCGAAGACAAAGTGAGTTATAGAGTTCACTAACCGATGCCGCGCGGTAGCCCAGACACAGGAAAATCTTAGGCAACAATGCGGCGGATAAGTGGTTGAGAGGAGGAAACCTTCCAACTACAAACCTTGAAAACGATGCGGGTGTACCTCCTATTAAGGCTGGACTTTACTAAAAAGCTGAATGGGTTCACATGCAGCGTAGCTAGACAGATATGGACAGAGTTGCACGCAAAAAGCTCAAGGCACTTAAGCCTTCAGGATCGCTGGTTCTGGGGTGGCTAAGATTATGAAGGGATCCTTTTTGTTTAAGCAAATAAATGATAACTACTACTTCATGGTTTTATATAGGGTAATGAATTAATTTATGACCCCATGCATATACATATATATATATATGTATTATAAAGTTTATTTTATGGCTAAAAACGATATTCAATTACTCAACTATATATTAAACACATTTATTTAGGTAAATGATGTATTATTAAAAATTATTTAATTACATAAAAGTGCATATAAATAATCAAAATATGCATATTTACATACGTATGTATAATAAAAAAAATATATTGCTAAGTGTGGGGCTCATATTTATTATGATTTGCGATACTTCTAATGGTTCGCCTATCAGTCACTTAACTAATGGCATGTGTTAATACCAGTATAATATGAGTAGCAGTATATGTAAGTACATACAAACATATGTATGTATGCAGATAAAATCTTCGTTTATGAATGGAAGAATTTACTAAATATTTAATTACACAAACAAACAAACATACATTTTATTTTATTTTGAATTTTTTTGAAACTGAGGTCCTCGATTGTTCGATTGTTAGCCAAAAATGCTAATAATTTTAAAGTAATTTTACGCTATACTTACATACATATCTATGTACATAATTTTAAATGAAAAAAAATTATATGACTGAGTCGATGAATAGTTGTTTGATTGAAAAAAAAAGAAATAAACTATTAAAAATTAATTAAATTTTACTTATACGCCACCTAGTGCGTACTATATAGGGCTATACATTTTGCGATTTCGAAAATAGTAAATAAAATGCATTTAAAATATTTTTTTTATTAAATTTTTGCAAACTTCAATCCGTTTGAAGTATTTTTCGACCACTTTTTGACACACATTGGGCGGTCTCTCAGCCATAACGAGAGCAATTTGGGTTCTCAAGAGCTCAAGAGTTAATGATTTGTCCGCATAACCAAATGTTTTTCTCAAAGCTCCACAAAAAATTGGACAACTGTGTCAAATCGCACGATCTCGTTGGCGAACTGACATCGTCAAGACGAGAGATTACGTGGCCGGGAAACTTCTCTTGAGATAAGGCAGGTGGTTCCATCTTCTTAAAACCATATATCTTCAATTACGTTGAAAAGTTCAGTTATCATACGACCATAACGCTTCGAATTGACGGTGTCGCCGTTGTCGTTTTCAAAGAAGTTAGGTCCAATCACACCTCCAGGCCAAAGAGCGCATTAGACAGTAAGTTTCTTTTGTGTAATGGCCTTCCTTCAATTATTTGAGCATTCTCGAAGGTTCAAAATGGAAAAATTTTGCATATTCGCATATCCCCCGAGTGAGAAATGTGCCTCGTCGCTGACGAAAAAATCAACGTCTTCTGCTTACTGTTCAATTGTGGTTCAATTTTTGCGTGAACTCGACCTTATATCGATTGAGGCAAAGGTCGAAGTGCAAAATATGCCCTAATGTGCTCTAAGAAAGTCGTAGCCCTTGAGAACGTTGAGAAATTTACATATTCGGGTCTTCGGGTCATATCTGTAACCGATCGAGTCCAAAACCAAATTTTCTTTAAAATTCTATAAATTGCACTATAATCTCCTCTTAAAGTACACAACGTGAACACGATTCAATCACCATTTTTGTAGTTGATTTTCAACAATTTCAACGCGTTGTGTAGTTTTTAAGCGATCCATTTTTATTAATACCTGACTTTTAACTAAATCAAGACATGCCTGATTTGACAATCAAGTTTTACGGTTGTCAAAACTTTGGAAATCACTAATTGGTTAACCCTGTCTTAGAGCGATAACCGAGGGGCTAGCATTGCGTATTGCCACTCTGACGGCCATGGTTCGAGGTCTGGTTCAACCGACATCCAAAATATTGCAAATATTTTTTCAAATTATGGTCGCTCCTCGGCAGGGAATGCTTAGCTCGCCGATTGTGTTTCTCTTATAAAAATCATAAGCCATTCGGAGGCGGCTTAGTATAAACTGTAGCTTCCTCCATTTGTTGGGAAAACATCCAGATACAAAACCACAAATTTGAGGGGAGGCCGGCTGAAAAACGCTGCAGCGGTTACAAGATGCCAATTATATATTATATATATATCTATATTATTATATATGTATATATTTAATGACAATTTATAAATAATTAAATGATTTATTGCATAAATATATAATAATGAAATGCTTATCACTCAGTCTCTCAAGTCAATAGCATGTGGTAATACATAAGTACATACATAATAATATATGCTTACATTTAGATAACGCCACCTTTTATGAATGAGAGAATTTAGTAAATATTTATTCACACTTTTTATTATAGCACAGGGTATATTAGCTTTGTCCAGACAACAGTTGTACGTAACAGTATAAAATTATGGCTACTAATATAAGTACATACAATGTTGTATCTTACAGAAATTAGGAAAACCAAAAAACATTTGAGGCTATGTCCACTAGCTCTTGCTACAGATATCCGAGGAGTTTGGTAAACATTCTGATGACAAGATTTACTGGCATTCGAAAAAGCTATAACTTCCATCGCCCACGCAGTTGTACTCGAGTGGTTTCGAATCGTTGCCAGACTAGCTTCCCACGAGTTTATTTCTGAATTGAAATAAAAGCTCCTCATAAAAATCTATCGACCGTTTGGAGGCGGTTTAGTATTACATAAACTGTGTGTCCCTCATTTTGAGCAACTTGTAGAGCTTGATCTTTGTTCATCGAGAGAGGACTTTACTTTTCAAATACCAACTCAGTCCAAAGTAGCTGTTGCTATGAAGTTAAACAAAATTTCTTTCAAAGTTTTGACCTTTTGTCGCCTATATAACTTGGTCCAGTTCCAAAGCTACATTGATAAGGTCCATTCAGCTCAACGTCTACCTTGGGGTTTAGTCCTTAACGCAGTATATTTGGTAAGCTGCTTTGTGCAATATTGAGAGGAACTATCACCCGTTTTGTGGAGGTATAATTAGGTTCTAATCGTCAGGCATGCTCTCATTTGAATATATTCTACAGAGAAACTAATGTTTCCACTGCATATGGTTCAGCCATCGTCTTTGGACGCTTTGTTGTACTTCAATTAATTAGGTACTATCCAACTTCGTCATAGTCGGGTAATGAAACGTCAGCGTGATCGTTCTCCATTAGGTATTCGGGCGCGCTACCTCCTGGTGTTTCACTTTCACAGTCTTTCAGTAGCCTTGAGAAGTGCTCCCTACATAAATTCTATACTATAGAGAGTATATGAATATATTTATACTCTGGACATCAATCGCTAGATCATCTATTTCAGTCCTACATGAATATGCTCTCATAACATTTTTGCGTTTTAACTCTGTAAGGGAGCATTTCAGGCACACAGCACGCCGTCTCATAGTTCCCTTATTATGGATTTTGCAAATTTTAAAGAAATATAAACCAAAAAGTGTAACAAAATGATAATAAATTTCAAAAGCTTTCGTTATTTAATCAATAGTTCACTAAAAGAGCAATTAAAATAATTTATTTGTATATAAATAGTAGAAAAAAAACAAAAAGAATTAAAAAATTAAATTAAATTTCTTTAAAAATTAATTTTTTATATTTTTCTTTAACTTTTCAGAATGTCCAGTTACCGCCCACGACGAACACGCATTTATGGCGCCAACTATGATATTGGCGAAAGCTCATACAAGAAATTGCTAGAAAGCTTAGACAATAAAAGAGGAGTCGGCAGGTAACGCATATAATTCAGCCACTTGGCAATAATTAATTAAATTAAAAATATATTGAATTTTATTTAAATTTGCAGGAGCACAGATTCTCATGTTTCTTTTGGACGCGAAACTAGTCTGCCACCGAAAGTAACATTTTCGCAGGACGAAGATGATTTCGATCGTGAGAAATATAGAGCCTCACTAAGAGCCAAACTGCAACTGGACGATGAAGGTGATGACAGGATTTGGATTTGCATCCAATTTACTCAAAAACAAAAGAAATAATAACCCTATATTTGATTTTAGACACTGATGTTTTGGGCTCCACACTCAAACAATCGAAGTTGAGACTTGCGGAGAGAAGCAGATTATTAGATGAAGGTAAAGATGTCACTTTGATACAGTACAACGTTTATTATTATTATTATTTATATATTCTCTTCTCACTAGACGAAGATATTCTGGGCTCCGCCTACAAACCATTGAAGTTCAAAGGTTTAGATGAATCTTCTGCAGCTATGGAAACATCATTGAAATCTTCACTTAAATTCAGAGCTTCTGCCGAACCTTTCGAATCCTCTTTCAAATCGTTGAAATTGAATGGTTCCGATGAGCCAGCATTCGGTGAAAGCATAAAACAAAGAGCGCTTAAAGCAATTGATAGATCTGCCGGAGCGAGATCTATCTTGGATGACTTAGATGATCAGGTAGGTTTATACACCTATATGTACATATTAAATGCTGCTTATCGAGTTTAGCCTTTGGTGTAGGTTTTTTTTTATATATTAATAATTACAATTATATTTTACAGGAGGCCAGCACGTTCTCTTCCAGACGCATTAAGATTAGAAGTGAAAATGTTCTTATGGGCGATACCAGTACCACAACCGAAGCTTCCTCACGTATGAAGGCCACAAAAGCTCGCCTTGCTGATCTCGAGTCAGAAATGTCTTCGATTAGTGAAAAACAAAGCGAACGGGAGAAGCGTAAACATAATTTAAGAAAATTATTGAATGAAAGCGAATCCGATAGCTTTAGAGCCATAGAAATGTAATTGTTTTAATGTTGTGTTATACGAGTACGTACTAAAAAAAAAAAAAGAATTGTGGAAAATAAAGTGTTTAGGTAAATGTCAAAGTGAGATTATAACGAAGAAAAAAGTTTTTACTCAATCCAATATATGATGGACATGAAATTTGTAAGAAAAGATATGATCGCGTGAAGTCTGCTACGATCAGCGCGGAAAAGAGCGCTATTTGTGGATTCTAGCTGACGAAGAGTACCTGTCATCATATATACGATAAGTGAGTGTATCGCTGCGTATAAACTCTTTAAAGGCCCTTAAATAGATTTAAACGATCGTGGTTTGAGTATCAAAACACAAATATAATGCAGGGAACTGTGCGTCCACTGCACTAACAGAGAAGGGAAACCTAGCAGAATCTGCACGCCTAGCAAGTATACCAATAAATCTGGACCTTGATCTACGATAAAGTGACAAATCCTTCTAAAACACTTTTCCATTAGCATTGCAAATAACATATCACGGTTTAATAAGGGGATTGTGGGAGAATGTGCTATCTCATTTCCACTCAGCTATTTTCTTAACTCCTACCTATGCACACCTGACCTCACCATATCCAAAGTAAGATCTTCATGTAATGAACAACTTGCTGATTTCATACATCTTCGGTATGAATCCGACGAAACGGCTGTTTTTGTGGATAGGGAACCCCGCTTAAGAACAGATAAGAACAGTCGATCTCGTCGATATATTCAAAGGGAAACTCAGGAAACGAGATGGAAGGCAGCAGTGTTAATATGTCAGAGTAAAGTAGTAAAGGCAGGATTTGAATCTAGTTATGCGAGTATTAGTTAAATTTCGTGAGTCCACCATTCAGGGGAGAGAGAGAGTGAGAGGTAGAGAGAGAGTAAGAGAGAGTTAGAGAGAAAGAAAGAGAGAGAGATAGGGAGTGTGTGTCTACTGACTCACTGTGAATGGAGTCGAGCCGTTCTGAATTATATTTCTATAGGTGATTGGAATCCGTTTGCCTGGAGGCGAAGAATTTTTTCTAGATCTGTATTTTGGTGACAATGGTGGTCGAACGATAAGCATTTAATTCTTTGTTCAGCTAGTGAAGAGGGTGAAAATGGATTTCTCGAATTTATAAAGGTAGCGGCCGCGGTAAACGAGTGGTTAGTATTGCGTACTGCAATTCCCAAGGTTGGGGTTCGAATCCTGGTTCGACCAAAGTCCAAAAGTTGTAGAAAATTAATTTAACTAAAAAACTTATTGCGGTTGCCTCTCGGCGGAGAAAATCAACCTCTTCGAGTCTTTATGACATAAAAATTAAATGCTTCTCATAAAAAAACCTTAGCCGTTCAGAGGTGGTGTAGTATAAACTGTAGGTCTCTCTATTTGTTGCAAAAAGATCAAGAAGCACACCACAAATTGGAGGAGGAGCTCGCCGAAAATCGCTTCAGGGGTTACAATGCGGCAATTATATACATGAAGGGAAACGAATGGTGATGTGAGCTTAGTTCAATATCATGGCCGATATCAACTGATCTTCGTTATAAGCGATCAAGCAGATATGCAGTAATTGAGGAGAAAGCATTGAAATAAATATGTATATTCAGCAGCAGTGGGGAGACGACACCACCCTGCAGAATATCTTGTTAAATCTTCCTATGTTTGGTGTTTTGACCTTCAGACTCTACGGATGGCTGCCGATCCCTCTTTTAATTCATGCTTCATCTCTTCAATTCTGTCAGCTATGGCGTGTCCTTAAAATCGACAGTTTTCATGCAGGCTCGATTTTGGTTGTGGTCATGAGTTATTCGGAAGTAAAAAAATAACTAAATCCCTGCCCGGATGTGTCAGATTGTTTTCGAAATCATAAAATTCAATGCCAAGATGTATCAAAGAAACATTTTTTTCTTTATCGGATCATGGCCGTTTAAAACTTAGCAGCACACCAGTCGTTTCTTCTTTTCGCTCTTCATAGCAAACTGGAGATAGCATGCGAAGTCAGGTCCTTCCACACCATGAATTACTAAGGGCTGGAGCTGTTTATTCTTTCTAAGCAATTATTGCATCGTATACTTTAATAGCTGGAGCGCTCATATGATCTATCCAGAGAAACCATTGTCTCTCGATTCGCTCAACTATGTATGTACTCCATCGTCTGCGGTATTCGCCGTTGCTAGTAGCCAAAGGTTCATAAAACTTTGGCAAATCTTTACCTGTTTCTAAACAAGGTTAACCCATTGTTACAGTGACAAAAACAACAACAACAACACAAACAGGAACTAGTTTTTTTTAATTTCTGCAATATTGATTGATGTTACTTCCTTGATCTATCTTCAGCACGAAGAGTTTCACCTTCTCATAGTGAGATCTGCTCTCTATATTCTGAATGAAATTGGAAGCATACAATTTCTAACTATGCTTTAGGTTGCTGAATATATTGTAGTACCAACTCGATGAAAAAGATCGGATCTAGTGCAGATCCCGGAGTAAAGAGTATTTTTCTGTTAATCTATTGCCACCAAGGACCGAATTTCAATATGATTTTTTCATTGTCGAAAAAGAAGTTTTCGTACAGACCTTACCAGGAATCATAGAAGTAAACTGACAATAATCTGCCGTATAGTTCCACAGATTACACCAAGCAAACATACCAACAAAAAAAAAGTTTTTGCAATAGATTCGTTATTTATTGGAAGCATGTTTTCAGAGCACTTTTATTTTCTTTACCTTTGCACCAAAGCGGCGAAGGATTTAATTTTCTTAAAATTCTGACAATTTTTTATTTTCTAATCATATAAAATTGATATGATAATTTATACTAGAGTTAACAAATACAAATTCCATTTAGTTTCAAAATCCAATACTTTTTGCACATTCTCCTTATAAACGCAACAAATTGGCTCAAGCCGATATTATCTACATATACTATGCTAAATGCAAGTAGAGGCAGCTGGCGGGCTAAGCTTATCAAATTACAATTCCTTACAAACGCTTCTGAAAGCGTCCAAAACGATATGCGCATGCTTTTCTTGGAATATCAAAGTTGGTCGGAAGCGAATCGACAATTCACCACAACCGCCGGTTTGTATGCCCTTTTGTTTGAGACGACCCACGAAATCATCACGTGCCTGTCCATTCTGGCAATTCACCGCTAAGAAGGTACCACGTCCTCTTGTTGAATTTAAAATATGTGGAAATTCCTTTTCCAAAGCTAAGAGCCCATCTTTCAATACTTTCCCAGATTTGTTCACAGTTTCTAGCAAGTTCTCCTCTTGTATAACATTAATGACTTCATTCAATAACAACAATTTGCCTGGATCACCCATCCATGTGTTGAAGATGCGATAACCCTCAGAAGGTTGGAATTCTGCCTTATGGAAGTAGCCACCCAATTGCATTTTCTTACTGAATGTCACCACATCTGGTGGTCCATCCAAGTTGAAGTGTTCGTGACACCAAATTTTACCAGTACTGCCGCCACCAGTTTGCACTTCATCGATTAACAATGCAACACCACTACGTTTGCTAATCTTCTGCAGACCCTGGAAGAACTCGGGCGAAGCTTCATTGTCACCACCTTCACTCTGTATGGGTTCGACAACAATACCCGCTACAGGTATACCCTTCTTATTGTATTTTTCAATTAAATCTTCAACTTCAGCCAAACAACGTTCATCTTCGGCTTTGTTGTGACGTTCGTTTTCCTCTAATGGATATTGATATTTCGGGAATGAAGCGACTGGCCAATCGAATGCCGGCACATCAATTTTATGTATATATTTGGAATGTGTCGTTGAGAGCACACCCAAAGTGCGTCCATGGAATGCGCCTTTGAAGGACAGTATACTGAGTGGCGACGAACCGGGTGGTTGATTGATCATGCAAGACTCCTTTTCAGCTTCAGTAAAATCAACATTTTCACCACGTACGTTGCGACGGTACCTTGAATGAAAGGTAAGTTTTATAAGTTAAAAGATATGTCTTTTTGAAGATTATTAGAAGGGCCATGACCATCTTTCTATCCTTAAAAAAAATAAACATTTGTAGTCTCTAACCTCCTACATTTTCAATGGAAGACGGCGGTAATTCACACCTGGTTCTTAATAAGTCGCAGAGAGCAAAATTACAACGAAACAGAAAGGACATAGGAAAGAGACTCTACTTTTTTTTTAATATTTGCTTGAAATGCAAAGCTCCTTGCTACAGTGTTTATTTTTTATATTTCTTTTAATTGCAATCTTACCAAATAAATATGTTCTTGTAGGCATTTTCATTCGAACACGATCCGCACATCATGGTAGTGAGCTTGTTGAGGCCCTTGGGTGCAATTTTCGTAAGGATTGAAGTCACCTGTTCCGCCCATTCTCTGCCCGGGAACACACCCAAAGCAGGACGGTTGACTAAAGCTGTTGATAAAGTAAAAATATAAATTTATTTTTTTTGGTAATAATAGAGAGCCCAGAAAAAATATTAAGTTGAATAAAAAGTAGATTCGCAAAGGTAGTCTATACCAGTGAGGTCATTTAATGGAAGGTTTAAAAACTCAGTTTTAGATGTATCCTTTATCGGTGACCTAATGTGCTCTAGACATTCGCCTGGATAGTTGGGAGTTAGGTCTACTACAGTCTACCGCTTTAAGTGCACGACACTTGAGTTGAGTTGAGTTTATGCTGCTGTTAGGCCAATTGGTCCATTGTGATACGGTTTCGATGCTTTCACTTTCTCAATTTCGATTCGAGTGTCTTGTAAAAGCAACGAGATTACCAATTACCGCTGAAGTTAGCTCAGCGAGACAGTCGTTTCCCGTGGATCTAGTTCCACGCAGAAGTCAAGGCTGGACAGTGACAGAAGTAGTGTTCAGTAGACTCTTCGTCCCAACAGGATGGTAGCGCATTCTTCTCCTGTGAAGCCGTATTAAACAGTGTGCCGTTATTATGCCTGTCATTATGTTAATAGAGAGCCGGTCTAGAAGGATAATATGTTTTGTCTGGTCGCGTTGCACGTGATGTCATTTAGCCATCTATAGTGTACTTATTTGGTATAGGCTGGTTTTAGAATTTACTTTGCCGTGGACAAAGGTAAACCAGCATCGTGTGCATGTTTTATTGTGAATAGAAGGGTACCTCCTTTTGCTAGTTTGGGAGAAGCGTTTGGCTGAAGGACTGTTCGCAAATCCAAAATGAAGATACTGAGAGTAGCACAATGAACCTACTCAATGGCTTACGATCAGAACCCACTTTCTACTAAATAACCAATCGAAAATCTTATGGAACAGCTCGATCTCCGGCTACAGGTTGTAGATCTTCCGCCAATTTGAATAGTTAGCAGGTTCTAAGCAACGTAGTAGACCCGGATTTTATCTGACCAGTCAAATGTCAGTAACATTTTTGTGAATTGGTAAGATAGCGGAAATAGAGGCGAGCACTGTAGCCGAATGCGTGCAATGTGGGCTTCTGTGAGAAGGCGTTTATATTTGGTCGACACTGGAAAGCCCTTCGTTTGAATTTCTGATACGAAATTAAAAGCTTCTCATAAAAGTCCACCATCCGTTAAGAGGAAGTCAAGAATAAACTGAGCGTCCTTCCATTTGTTCGAAAAAACATCAAGCCGCGAGATAATCAAGATAATATATTTATTACATACTTTATTAAAATTGCTTTGAGCGTGAAAAGTTCGGTCTTTGTGCTTTCATATTTTTCTTTCATTTTAGTATTCATTTATTTATAAACTCATACTGTAGACTGCTTTTATCTGCTTTCTTCAAATACAATATCTTATCATGCATTTGAAATTTCTTTATTTATTTGATAAACCAGCAGTAAACGGATTGAAACGATTATTTTTAGGAACAACAATCCAGGTAAGCAAGCTTTGACCTCTGCTGATGACCACACGCCACAACTGCGGATGCATTGTGTGAGTGCAATAAACAGTCATTTAATGTATATAATACTTTGTATGGGCGAGTAAAATACTTGTATATATGTATGGTATATTATTCAATCAGAGAATGTAGAAAATGAAATTTGTTATATGTAGTGTATGTATTGTATATACCAGTAAGTACATGTGTGTGCACTGAAGTGTTAATTGAATTCAAACTTTTATTAATAATAATAATTTACAGAGAGAGCCTTTCCTGTATGCCGTCAATGCAATATTATTAACCATCAATAAAAACTTATTTATACATTTATTTAACTGAAATATTATAAAATAAAATAAATTAAACAATAAGCAAATTAAAAAGATGTGGTAAAAAATAGAAAAAAGAAAATAAATAATAAAACCAACGTAAGGCAAACAATCAATTTAATTAAATAAAAAAAAAATAAAATAAAAAATCAATAAAACAAAATAAAATTCAATTCAATTTTATTAAATAAAATAAAATTCAATTTAAACAAAATAAAATGAAATAAATAAAAATTAAGTTAAGTACAAAAAGATAAGTAATTAAAAAACTACACTTAATTAAATTGAACAAAATAGAATAAAAAATTAAAATTTAATTAAAGCAAGTAAAAATGTACTAAAACTAAATAATATATGATAATATAAATAAATACAAACGAAATAAAACAGGCAATTAAATTAAGAAAAATTAAAAAAAATTAAATTTATAAAAAATAAATAAAAAAAATAAAAAATAAATAAATTAAAAAAAATTAAATTAATAATTAATTCAATTTTATAAAATGAAAATATAATAAAATGAAATTCCATTAAAGCAAAGTATATTAAATAAATGAGCTGAAATAGAGAAAAATTAAATAAAACATAAAAAAAATTAATTAATTAAAAAAATTAACTAAATTTAACCAAATAGAATATAAAAACTAATAATACATACAAAATAAAATTTAAGTAAATCAAATTATATTAAATTAAATTAAATTATATATATTATATATTAAATAAAATAAAATAACAGCAAGTAAAACAAAATAAAATAAAACAAAATGGATGAAGTAAATTAAAAATTAAATAAAACACAATAAAATTAAATTAAATTCAATTCAATTAAAAAAAATCAATTTGTTTTAAACTAAATTATAAAAAATAAAACGAGAACATAAATTGAAAAAAAAGTTAAATAATATGCAATTAAAATAAATTTAATTACATTCAATTTCATTGAGTTATAAGTTAAAATAAAATAAAATGAAATAAGAGCAAAGTAATTCAAATAAAATTAAACAAAAAAAATATAGTAAAAGTAAATAAAATAAGACAGCAAAATGGAATTTATTTAAAAAAAATTATTTTAAAAGTATTTGTTAATCAAAAAAAAATTTGACTGATTAATTTTATAATTTAATGAAATCTGTAAAAACAACGACCGACCGTTGTGGACAATTCATTACACATCCACCACTGACAGGTTTGCTTTTAAAATTATTTTAATTAGATAAACTAAACTTAGTTTTATTACACCGCTCGACACTGGTTTCCTGGTTCACTATTCGGTAATTTTCTGTAATATCAGCATTAAAATTTCACGTCATTCAGGCCCACAGCTATGGCAACTGACAGGGGACAATACCTCTGAAGGAAAGCTAAATGACCCAGAAGAATTTGTCTGGCAATCTATTATGAATGTTGTTCAGAACTTTCTTGAAATTCTTGTGTAATTATAAACTGAGTTTATAGTGAAATTGCAGGCAGGCGAACCTCTAATAAAACAAGCACCCGATGCTGGTGTACCTCTGTTCACGGCAAAGTACATATATCCCAAAGCTGGGCTTTGCCAGGGAGACAGTCTCAAGATGACCGAACAAGCAAAGTAACCAGACAGCTAGGGCCGAAGCTGGACGCGGAAAAATCAAAACATCTTATCCTTCTACATCGATTATCCATTAACATAATAATGGGCCTTTGTTTAATGGGGCTTCACAGGAAAGGAATGGGAATGGAATATCACTCTAATGATTGAATTTATCGAGCGCTACTTATATAACTACCCACAAATTCTTCGGAAAATAGTTCTTCGACCGTTAATTTGAAATCTTTATAAGGCACACGAAATAGTACGATCATTTGAGAAGGTGAAGACAGGAGCCTCACAGCGGTATCATAATAGGGTCATTGCCAAAAAAGTTTCAATTCGGCTGCTATTTACAAGTATTTTTATTTACTAAAAATAAATCCTTCCGAACTAATAAAAATTATTGTATTGTATATAAATATTTATGTACTCTTGCTGCTTAAAAGCAATAAGCAACCGTGGCGCATTTCTCTCTTCAATAGCACTTTCTAAGCATAATTCTAACAAACAAACTAGATTAGGCATTATCAGGACGTTATCACTATAGTATCATTATTTAATCAGTAAAAGTACTTATGTATGTACATATGTATATACACTTACTTCTTAAATTTTTATCATTTTGAAAGACGTTGAGGAGGCGTGGATGATTATAGCCTAATGGCATTGATGAAATTTGTGTATAAACATCGAGTAAGGCATTGCCATCCACATCAACCAGATAGTTTCCAATTGATCTTTCATAATCAGCGAAAAGTTGAATTGGTTCACTATTCTAGAAAAGAAAACAATCATATGAAAAATATTTAGACTTTTTTAGCCAGATTTATGGAGCTGTTGTGGTACACATCTTTTTTTTCAGACGCTTTGACTTTTGGTGTGTTATATACAGGGTGCGTCATCTGTTGCTATAATATTTGAAACTTGTAAAATTCCGCTATTTTTTGACGTATTAAAATATGTCGACTCTTATAGTGACTTGTTCGACGCGTCATTTCAGTTTATTTTATGCTCTGAATCGACTAACAAAAATACAACTTGTTCCATGATGATGGTGAGTTTTGATTCAAAATCATCTAGAGCCATGGAGCACATTTCACATTGAATGACACGGTTAATAAGGAAAACTGGCGCTTTTGGGCACAGATAGAAATCCTTGTGAGATATTCGAGGAGCCTCTCCATGATCAAAAAGTGACTGTATTGTGCGTCCTAACAGCCGAAAAGATTATCCGGGACGTATTTTTCTAAGCACGAGGCGGACGACGGCATAACAGAGTGATGCTATGTGACTTTGTGTTTCCAGAAATGACCGTAAATGACATGAACCACTGCTGTTTCCAACCGGACGGAGCCAAAGCACGCACTACCTTGGATTCAATGACGCTACTCCGCATGTTGTTCGACCTATGCGTCATATCGAAAAACGGCGATTTCGACTAGCCGTCATGCTCACCCGATTCGACGCCACCGCACTTCTTTTTGTGGGGGTATTTAAAGAATAAAGTTTATATCGACAAACCATTGACCGTTGCTCAGGTCAAAGCAGCGTAACGGTAGAAAATGTGATGCAAATCGCACGAAAAAAGGGCATATTTTTGCATAAAAAATAAAGGCGGACATTTGTGGGATATTCTATTATTCAAAACATGATGTACATAAATAAAATAGAAAGCAACAAATAAAGTTTGTTAAAAAAAAAATAAATAAATAAATATTTGTTTTAAACAAAAGTTGTTCAAGTTTCAACAAAATTAATTTAAATAAAAAATTAAGTTAAATTTTCTAATTGCCGTCGTCCCACGACAGTGAATGTCAACCCCTCCGAGTATATTTCTGACATGAAATAAAGGCTGCTCATAAAAAAAACCATCAGCCTTTCGGAGGCGGCTTACTATGAACTGTCAAAATCCAAAATACAAATTGGAGGAGGAACTCGGCCGATATTCAACGGTTACAAAGCGTCAATTATAGTATATATTCAAGTTTCAAATGCTAACACAACAGTTGACGCACCCTGTATCATTCTCTTAGTCTGTATAATAATACGCTGAAAGTCGAATCGGCACAACAACAATGTCTGCAGTTCTTCTTAGAGTAATAATTCAATGTAACTTAGGGTGTCTTTATGGGTTATAATAAAAAAACATACGCTTTTATTACAACTAGATTACAATTATTATTGTAATATTTTTAGTAGTATTACTAAAACGTTTATGGTAGTCTACTTTTCCATGTGCAGTAATTTTTACTTAAGTAGGCAATCATTCGTAGTATGTAAGAACTGTATGTATATTTGTTTATACATTTTGTTTATTAAATTTTATGATTAATATTTATTAATTTTATTTTTATGCCAATAAGCAAATATTAGTGTTTGAATTGACAGCATTTAATTTTTTTAACTCAATTTCGCCATTAAATTATTACAGCATTTTTTTGTTTATTTTTTATTTACTTTATAAACCTTTATTATGATCTTATTACATAAATTACAGTTCGCAGCGCTAGACCATTTTTTATTATTACAATATTTAGAGCAGTTTGCTTGTTTACTATTTATAGAGATAACTGTTCTAAATGAGTGTTGGTGCAGACTTTCTCTATCGAACTTCAAGTGCAATAGGTGTTTGCATGTCCCATAAAATGCATTACATACCACGCTACTCTACCACGTGGATGCACCTAATTTTTGTGCTGTAATTTTATAATTTGTCATACGTCAGAATTTATACATACTTATGTATGTTTGTATTTATACAAATATGTTGTCAAAGCAGTGATAAAAAAGAAGATAAAAATAATAATAAAATAAATAAAATTTCTCAATTTTAATTATTTATATATGTATACTTGATATTTATAAATAAACAGCACATTTTTAAATATCAACCGTAACAAATTTCAGTTCTTATGTCATTTATATATCTTGATTTAATGCCATACATGTATCTATATGCATTTATATATGTATATCACTGCATAGACTTGTTTTCAAAATTATTAAAAAACGGTTTCATTAAGAATATTTCCTCAAATAAATATTAGCTTTATGTAACTAGTTATTTTAATGGCGATAATGGCATTTACTTGGTTTTAAGAATAAATTTTCAAAATTAAATTAAGCAAAATAGCCGAAAATAGAGAAGTTTATACAAGTTATTTTATTTTGTTTTATTTAACTTAATTTAATGTAATTTTTGAGTATTTTTTTGTATTATTTTATGGCATTTGGTTTTTTACTTTTTAATATGAGTTTTCATATTTGTTTATTTGTTTTATTTTCATTAAATGTAATGTTTTATTTTATTTGGTTTTATTTAATTTTAATTTGTTCTATTCCATTTCCTTTAACTTTCATTTTCATTTGATTTAATTGTATACTGTTTTTTTTTCTAATTTTGCTTTTTCTGGTGTGTTTTATTTTTTGTTTTATATATTTTACTTTACTGCATCAAATTTATCTTATTTTTGTTAATTAGCTTAAGTTACATTATTTATTTATTCTTAATTTTATTTTATTTTTGTTTTCTTAGTTTGTGTTTTAATTTATTATATTTTTTATGGCGTTTTAGATGATTTAGTTTTCTTTTATTTAATTAAATTCCATTTAATTCAACTTTATTTTTTATTTTATTTTGATTTACTTTTATTTTTATTTTTTTTTATTCAATTTGCTTACATTATTTAATTATGTTTTTTTTTAATTTAAAAAAAGTTATAGAAAGTAATTTAAATAAAAAATTAAGTTAAAATTTCTATTGCCAGTCGTACCTCGCAGGAAATGTCAACCCCTCCGAGTGTATTTCTGACATTAAATCGGAGGCGCCTTAGTATAAACTTTTAGGTCCCTCCTTTTTTTGGAAAAACATCAAAACGCAAATTGGAGGACTAGCACGGCCGAAAATCGTTGCAGCAGTATTTTCATTTTACTTTGTTTAGTTTCATTATACTTTATTAAATTTTATTTAGATATAGTATATTTCATGTTAATTTTTTTTTCACTTTGCTTCGTTTTGATTTTTATAAAACATATTAGTTTGCTTTATTACATTATCCTTTCTTTTATTTAATCATATTTATTTTCATTTAGATTATTTCTTTTATGTCATTTAATTTTTTTATGTATTCATTGCTTAAAATTTAATTATAATTATTTTTTATTTTTATTAAGTTTTATTATTTGATTTTTTTTATTTAAGTTTTTTTTATTTAAATTTACACTCGATTTACTTCTTATTCTGTTTTTTAATTTTATTTTATTTTACTCTATTTTTTTTTACTTATTTATTTTTCTTTCATTTTCTCTTAATTTTTAATATTTTCTTTATTTTATTTTTTTTTAAAAAAACTTTAATTTTAATTATTATTATTTTTTTATTTTTATTACATTTTATTATTTGATTTTTTTTTTTATTTCATTTTATTTTATTTAAATTTGCATTCGATTTACTTCTTATTCTGTTTTTTTAAATTATTTTACATATTTTTAGTTCATTTTATTTCACACTATTTTATTTAACTTATTTATTTTTCTTTCATGTTTTCTTAATTTTTAATTTTTTCTTTATTTTATTTTTTATTTTAAAAAACTTGTAATTAATTTTAATTCTTATTTTTTATTTTTATTAAATTTTGTTATTTGATTCTTTTTATTTCATTTTATTTTATTTAAATTTACATTCGATCCATTTCTTATTCTGTTTTTAAATTTTATTTTACATATTTTTAGTTCATTTTATTTCACTCTATTTTATTTTATTTAGTTATTTATTGTTTTCATGTTTTCTTAATTTTTAATTTTTTCTTTATTTTATTTTTTATTTTTAAAAATTGTAATTAATTTTAATTCTTATCAATGAATCACATTTTATTCAAATTTAAGTTAATTTATTTATATATTTTTTTCTTTAATATAACATAATGTATTTTCGTGCTTACATACGTATGTGCATATGTGCATATGTTTGCATGTAAAAGGCACACCGAATGAATTACTTCCACTTACGACAGAAGTAACGCACACATAGTATATGCATATATACTAGTACATACACATATAAAATGATATCCACTAATTGCATACTACGCGGCTCCTCGACCATATTAAATATATTAAAATGTTTTTCTTTTCACTTACTTGTATAGAACTCATTATTCCCTTCAATTCCAATGATTTGGGTCCCGGTATGCTCTGTGTTTTGACAGTTGGCGCTGCAGGCTCAGCAATGGTAGCATAATTTCTAGGATTTGCCAAACCTGTGAACGAAAGGACACAACAAAAGTATGCACATACATATGTAAGTAGCGTAAGTTAGAAAGGCAGATACAAATATAACAACAAAATACCAATATAATATGTACATACATATGTGCATACATAGTAAGTAGATAGTTGTAATCGATTTTAACAAAATTCAATCTTTAATTTTTTCCGCAAATTTTCATTTTATTGTTTCCACACACATTTCAGCATTTACCTTTCAAAATATTGCAGCTCCTTGATACGGCGGTTGCTTTCAGGAAACTCATTGTTATTGTTATTAATTAAATGAACACACCAAATAAGAAAATAAAAAATTTAAATTAAGGTAATTGTTTGTTGTTGTGTTATATCAATAACTGTGTTGGAGGTCCGTTACTATCGTTGCGCACTTTCGGAATCAACGTTAAAAACTACTATGAAAGAGCAGCATCCAAGGCGAACGGTCTTGTACTCCTCGGCCGGTGCTGGATTGTGCGCACAATTTCGTTGCTTTGCTTTGCGGCAATTTTACGCTCCCTAAAAGTGGACGATATTATTATTATTATTATTATTATGGTTATATGGGGTGTGCGAGTATACTCAATATATTTTTATTACTTGTATGTATGTATACATATGTATACATATATACCATAGGTAGAGACATCGGCGATATGGCCGTCATAAGTCGACAAGTGTTTCCCTAACTAAAACCGAACAACCTGTTTGTTGTTTGTAAATTATTATCACAACAAATAGAAAACGAAATCTGTGAGAACTCACAAATTTATTAGTGAGTATCCATACACAAGTAAACATATATATGTATATATAGTACTCATATTCATATGTATAATCATAAGCCTCAGGGAAATTTTGGTAGAATTAGCGAGAACGACACTTGTCTCGCTCGAAATGAGAAAGTGAAGAAAAAACTAAAAAGTTCTTATCATACGCATAATAAAAATATAAACTAAGCAAGTAAGGTGGGTTAAATTCGATTGGCACCGATCGATAGTTACACTGCTGTTATTTACTTTAGTAATCCGTGGGTCAGATGTTAGAAGTTATTGTGGCATCGGGATCCAACTATCAAAAATTTAATAAAAATCTTGCCATATAATAATTGTAATGACATCATAAAAATATTTAATTTTCGTCAAAAATTTTTTAATTTATAAATTTCGTATTTATATTTAATAATATAAACGCAAATCAGATATACATGATCTATATGGTAACGAATAATTAGTTACGAATTTAGTTTTTATTTCTTTTGAAAAAACTACGCATTATCTTCGATACTGGCAACCTTGAATGGTTTCTGCAACAACCGTCAGTAACGGCATGGTCAAGCGGTGACAACTTTGTACATATTTACATTGCGCTCTCATAAGATAGGTTGATATGGATGGAAGGTATGTAAAATGGGTAGTTGCAGCATAACTCAGTTCCATCAGTTAACATGTGGGTAATAAATTTTCTATTTCACGGCAATGGGTTAAATTTGAAAAGGGTTGGGAGTACAAATTAATTAGGTCCATTTTGTGTGTCCAAAAAAGTGTTTCTTTTTAAAAACAAAGTCCAAAAATACGTTATTCAAAGTATGGTTTGTTGTTCCCATTTTTTGGTAATTTTCAAATACCATCTCTAAAAAAAAATCCGCTCTGTCCTCGAACCAACCATTGAGCCATTTTTTCGATTTCTCCATAAGACTCGAACGTAGTCCTCTCCTGAAAATGCTATTAACATCTTGAAATCAATATTTATTTAAAAAACGAAACATTTTCCAATTCAAAAATCTTTTAAAATCAGCTGGTTAGGTCAGGTTAGGCTGAGTAGGTTGACCTAGCGAGTTTCACGATATAACGTCCATAGTGTTGCCAGCCGCAGTAGAAGAAAATTTCTCTTCTTTTCGCAAATTGAAGTAGACGATTTGGTCCCTTGTCTGCTGCCAACTGAAGTCCCTGTAGCCAAGTAAGCCTATCCTTCGCCCGCCGAGTCTTGTATACTCACACATAACCACATGTATTTTCTTAAATCATGGAAAACTTTCTTACCCATAGTTGGCCGCAGCAAATTGAAGTCCATACGCCTTTGTTCCTTTAAGAACCTTCCATAAAAAATATGAAAACTTTGTCTGCATTTCTCAGACCTTTGAACCAGTCTTCTACTCCAAGAGTCTGGGATGGTATTACGTTGTCATCTAAATGACAATGAAATTATAAACACTGCCCTGACTTTAAGATGATAGCGCCAACTCTCCTTGACTAACATCCGTAATGCTATTGCTCTTCTCAGGAAGCTCCTATCTAAAAGTTCATTGGAAAGGACATCGTAGTTTTGTAGTTTGCTTCTTATTTCACAAAGTTAATGGAAAAGTATACAAATAAATTGATTATTTAAACAAAATTAAAAAAATAATTCTGATGGTTCCAAATCAAATGACGTCAGATGACGATTTACGTTCACTTACATATCTCTTGCGCCTAACGTCAATAGCGTCATATGAAATACTGGTGAATGATCTATTAAGAAGAGGAAGCATTGACATCTTAAATTGTTTCATATTACACACTTCGTGATGATATTTGGAATAGATTGTTTTGTTAAATAATAGTAAAAATGTTGACGATTTCTCAGGAAACAAATTGGGACGAATTAAAATATATTATCTCGAAAGGTGATGGTGTTGAATGCCGGGAGGCATTAATAAAAATCAAAGATGCCGTCATTGGTAGCAATAGACAAAAAGGTGCGCTTATATCGCATGAACTGGTTCCTGTTATACTTAACACTTGTATCGACCAAGATCAAAGCCCGGATCGGAAAATGGATGCACTAGTTATATTAGGTGAGTTGAAATGTGATACAATTGTATTGCAAAACAGCAAATCACACTTTTCTACGAATATGGGCATAGATATATACATACTATATGTCTGTACAAATGCGATTGTAATAGAAATTTGTGAATTATAGTTATACGCATCTACACATAGCAATTTGATAGGGAAGACTTCCATTGCTGAGTCACCTTGACATTGTCAGGATAATGTTCATATTTTTACTATCAACAGCATTCCTATTTGTACAGCTCAAAATCAATGAAATAATATTTTATTTTGCATTTACTGCTATAGACGTATGTTTAACCTTATGTTTATATGTATGTACATAAATACAACGGCATATTTAAGATTTTATTAAAAAATTAATTTCTCTATTTCAGGTTCTTTAGCGAAAGGTTCGGACGGGCAAGTAGAATTATTAGTGAAACAGTATAATGTCGTACCCTATTTGCTAAAGGAAATTGTTTCAAGAAATAATAGTAAAAAGTGTGTTGAAATATGTCTGAGCACCTTGCGTTCGATATTTGAACATCCATGTGCTCCAAAGGAAAATTTTTTAGCAGACTCGGAAGTGTTGAAGCATCTTTTGCGTAAGTTATACATTCCATTATCGGTTTCTTAATAAAAAAATCTATTAATTTTTGGTACTTATAGGACTAGCTACCTCAAGTAGCTCATTGAAAACACAAATATGTATAACAAGCATACTAGTGTCAGTATGTCAAACTAACGAAGATCAACTGCGGCTTCTGCATGCTGGAACCCTACATATCTTATCTCGAATGATTTGCTATGATAATGAGGATGTACAAATACCGGCGCTACGTTGTTTATCATGCATGTGCTATTCAAATCGATCAGTAGCAGACAATATTTGTGTCATTAGGTTGGTTATTTAATATATTAATAGTTTAATAATAATACTAATGAATAATTCAATCGCAGTTTTCAAGGGAGATCTTTACCAGATATCTTAAATTCACTTATGTCACGACTATTTTGTCCAGAAATACAGTTAACTGCAGCAAGATGCTTAACCTATGTATACAGGTCAGGCACGCTGCCATCAACGGATAATAGAATATCGCAAAAAGCGCTTCCCACCTTAGCCCGTTTATGCGCCGATAGTTTTGATCATTCAATAAGAGCGTCAGCGTCCGAAACGCTAGCATATCTGATAGAGGTGCTTTAGGAAATTTCTGAAAGAAATATGTATAATATTTTAACTGAAACATTCTACTTTTTCGCAGATTGATTCAGAACTTCAACGCACAGCGGCGATAACGAATCATTTACTTAAATCGCTATCGGATTTGCTCCAATGTCAAGAATCCTCTGTTAAACAGGCGGCGCTAGGCTGTTTTGCATCATTAGGTGCCAACGATGAGGCAATCAGAAAACGTCTGATGGACACATTTGGTGTAATTAATGCTGTATTAAATGGTCTCAAAGATAATAACTCAAAGGTTAGTGTATAAAAATTTAATATAAATCATAAATTACATATTTAGTAATCGCATTTCTGTATAAAGGTAAAACTAGCTGCGATAAGATGTCTGCATTCGCTTTCGCGATCTGTTCAGCAGTTACGCACCACATTTCAAGTATGAAAATTTGTCAGTTTTAAATCACAATATCTACATAAGTTTCTTTATTACTAGGATTACACACTTTGGGAACCGCTAATGAGCATATTCGGAGCTGAAACATCTGTTGAATATTTAGTTTCTGCCACTTCAGCCATTTGCAACCTACTCTTGGAATTCTCACCCTCCAAGGAATTTATTATTAATGCTGGTATTATTGACAAATTGTGTCAATACACATTGCATACGAATCCCTCCGTAAGATTAAATAGCGTATGGGCATTAATGAATATGTCATTTCAGTCTGAGATATATGTGAGAACCGATATTATCAATACTCTTGGTATGAAAAGAATATTAGAGTTGGTCTATGATACTGATACGAAAATTGTGATGAAAGCATTAGGGCTGTTTAGAAATTTAGTATGTAAAAGTCATATTATAGAAATGATTATGAACGTGCATTCGTCTCAAGTGCTTGATGTTATAAACAATTTACTTGAATCTGATCAATCAACGGAAATTAAGGAGCAAGTATTTTGTGTTGTTGCTAACATAGCGGCCGAAGCTGAGAATACTGATTATATATTAATGGATAACAGACTCATGGGCCATTTGTCGGAATGTTTGGTATGTAAATTCTATTTGAATGCTTCTTTTTTTGAGTTCAATGTGTATGTGAAAACAATTTGTATTGCATTTCAGTTTCATCCGGATAAAAAAATACAAAACGGCGCAATTCTTACAATTCATAATATTGTACAACGGAAGGAGTCAATGTCAAGGGAAAAGTATTCTCGTCTAAGTGAAACGAATATCATTAAAAATATTTATGAATTAAATAGGAGATCTATAAAGAACAAAGCACAATTTGAAGACTATACATACAGAATTTTAAAACTAATTGTTATAAAATGTAAAAATGCCTACCCGGAGAATTTACAGTAATTATTGATACAAAAAAATATATATACACACACAATAATATATGTACATATTATTAATACTATTCTTACTCAAATAGTTTTTATGTTTTCAAACAGTTTTCCTTGTTGAAATATACTGTAGCATTTTCAACGAAGTTGTTTTGATAATTAAAATTAAAAAAAAAATTCTACCAAATTGCACAGGTTTCACGTTCCGGTAATAAAGAACAGTTCGAATCCAAGTTGAAACTGTCACAATTTTAAATGACGTTCAAAGACTAGTAAGGCAATAGAAATATAAAAAAATATCCAAAGCTAAAAATTGTTTTCGCTATGCACACACCTTATTGTATATCGGAAGTAAAAATTCTTCACACTGCGAACGGCACCACAAAAGAAAACGGAATCAAAACAAAAATCATCTGTTTTTATTGGTGATGACGTAAACCAAACATGTTGAGATGTGTAGATGCGGCAATAATATCCAATCGACTTTTTTTGTCAGAACAATCGTTGGTCAAATTAGAAATGATAAAATATGTAACGGGATTCGGGAAATAAAGTCGATTTTATAGTTTTGAAACATTTTCGAGTTAGTTTGTTATTTTTTGTAGTGATCCAATATCAAACAATATTTCCACTTCAAAACTGAATTCATTAAACTCGACCGAAATTCAATTTCAATTTTTAGATATTAGCTTATTTGACACTGATATATTGAAACCCTTATATAACAATACTCATATCCTTTGATAGCAGTTTCAAGAAAAATTTAAATTGCGGGAGCAATTGGAAATTCAATTTCAGAAATCAAAATGTAGATAAATATGTGCAGTCATATACAGTAATTTTTTATTTCCGCGGTTATATGAGATTATTTTTCAAAAACTGATTTAAACGTGATGGCACGTCGAAAGGGAGCATTTTGTGACAGCAAAATTTGCCAAAAAATCTACATCTTGCAACTTATTTAAATTCAGGACGACACCTTTGAATTCACGACTTTATCTCATACCCTACAACTGAGTATTTTATGTTCCGTTTGAATTGAATTTAATTTTTCCTCTTTTGTTTTTATTATATAGATATATTTAAATTACATATACTAAGATTTATATTTTCGTGATTTTTTGTGTTTTAGGGTTTCGATGATCCTATATAAAAAATTTGGCTTCAAAACTCAAAATGAATATAATACAAAAAAAAAATAGCATAAGAAAATAACTAGTGATATGTCTGCATATTTTCGGGACTTATAACGACTTTTGGTTTTTTCATATCTAATTCTTACACATAACTAACATTTCCATTATGAAATCGTGATTTCTGGTAAACAAAACTTTTATTTTGCTTACTGGAATTTCCTAAAATAGTGCATAAAGGACAAATAATGTTGAACGAATTAATATCGTGGGTTTTAAATACATATCTTGGCAAATATTTGGAAGATTTTAATCCTCAACAATTGTCTGTGGCCTTACTATCAGGTGTGTTAAAAAGAAATCGTGTGTGTGCTACAAAAAAAAAATAATAATAATAATAATAACATAGTGAACCCATTGCCTGTATATAAAGTAAAATTGAAATAATGTTGCATATTTTGTAACATAATGGCGCAGTGATTAAACTGAAATTTCTTGTACAATACAAATGATCTAAAACTGGCACTTTTGCGTTGTATGAAAAAAACAAGGCGTTTGCATGAAAAACGAAAACAGATATTACAATAAACTAATACATACATTTTGCATGTATTGTTATTAAATTTCTTTTTCTTATGTTAATGTATGCCGGCAACTGGTTTTATTTGTAACAACTAAATTAAGCTGCTATAAATTCCCCTGCGTCATAATATTTATTAAAGATGCTATCAAGTATCGTTCATTGTGCCACACCAATAAGAGTGTCAAAAATTCTTGGAAATAGCACCTATTTGCAAAGTATTCACCTTTGAACTTTCTCGCGCCCATAAATATACGTGCGAATTTCTAATCATGAATGTGCACATACTATATTATTTTAATTGTATGTGTAGTGCAATCATAATTTTTAAAATAATATATAATCAGATACATACATATATATGTACATATGTGCAATAGTTTTGTTGAGGTATATTGCGTTAATTAAAAAATGATAAGATAAAACTGAGACAATACATATTATTATTAACACATACTATTATAATATTTATGTTTACTTCTTTTAGGCGAGGTAGAATTAGAAAATGTCCCCATACGAAAAGATGCACTACGTTCATTTGGTATACCAGTGCAAGCACATTCGGGAAACATTGGCAAGATAAAGTTGCAAATACCCGTACGACAATTTCGCACAGCACCATGGTGTATAATAATTGAACACATTTATGGTGTATTCGGTCCGAAAGACCTTGATGATTGGGATGATGAGAGGGAAAAATTTGCGGAATATGAATACAAAGTCACTGAACTTGATGCCAAAGAAGCAAAGTGGCGCGTTGAGAATGGCTACCAAATTGATAGTTATTACTCAAATTCCTATACAAGCTGGCTGAATTATGGCACAACACTAGCCACCAACATTTTGGAAAATTTAGAGTTGAAAATCAATGATGTGCATATACGTTATGAGGACGCAATCACAGTGGGTGGCGTACATTTCGCAGCCGGCATTAAAATCAACTCACTGACAGTACAAAGTTGTGATAGTAATTGGCAGGCACGCTCAAATGCGCCCAACGAACAAAATATTTCATATAAATTAATTGAATTGAAAGACTTTTCTTTGTACTGGGATCGCATGACTGAGGAGAATCAATGTTCTCACTTGCTATCGAAGGAACTCCTGACACACATGAATAAGTTGTGTAACAAAGAAAAACATAATTATATATTGCATCCAATAAGCGCACAGGCGCATTTCAAGCGCGATTGTTGTAAACAGGCTTTACGTTCTAAATCGAAACCTCGCTTAAATTGCGAATTTCAAGTGCAGCAAGTTAAAGTGGCACTTAGCGATGTATGTATAAAAAATTATATTATTTAAAATTAAGTATATTTCATTTAAAATTATATTTCCTTTGGTCTAGCTTCAATATAAACAAATAGTCGATTGTGTATATGGGCTACGTCAGAACAACCGCACACGGACTTTCAAACTTATGCGTCCATCTTGCAGCGTATTCGAAGATCCCAAACTTTGGTGGAAATATGCTGCCAAATGTCATGGGTTTGTATATCAAAGTACTGAAAATAAATGGACAAAATTGAGTGAAAATCTACGATATATACGAGTTTATAAACGTCTACTCATAAATCCTAATGATATTCTTACTCCAGAAGAAAAAGATTTCAAAATTCATATGGAAAAATCAAGGGAACTACGCGAACTACATATTTTACGTAATGTTTGCCGCACAAATGTATTTACAAACGATTTGAACTTAAAATCAAACTCTATTAATCACGGTAAAAGCATGCTATTCCATTGGTTTCCCAATTGGTGGGGCTGGTATGGTAATACAGACAACATAGTTGTAACTGCGCAAGATGATGCATATAAAAATATTGAAAATGATATACTCAACGCCTTAGAAGATACAATGGAAAATGATCCGTTTTCAAAACGGGATGCGATTTTCGGTTATTTTAGTTTTATATTAGTTGATGGTCAGTTACTGGTTAGCACAGAAGATGTAATTACTGGACAGACAACGGTAAATTTCGAAATGGATTTTCAAAATCTTATTTCCTTTATTGAAATGAAACCAAAGTTTACCGCCTATGCAATAGGCGTGTCACTGGGTTCAGTATGTCTCAAAGATAAACTGACGAAAAATACTGAATTTCCCTTTTTGGTGAAACCACAATTCGAGGAACCAGCAACAAAGCCCTCACCGCCAAGCACAGGTTACCAATTGGTGGATTTCAAGCGCTTCTTTACCAAAGAACAACATGTAGACTCTACGCCAGAGCCATGGTTTCAATTGCGTTATGAAAAGGGTCCGCCGGACATTCAATCGGACATACGTTTGGTCATAAAATCGCGTAGTTTGGATATTGTGTACAATAAACAAGTCTTAGAATGCTTAAAATCCTTCTTTGTGAGGCCAGTAAACGAAGTGTATTTAAAGTATAAAGTTGGGAAGACTGGCCGTAATAGGCTAAAGTTTCTGCAGAATTGGCAACAGTATTTAGTAGGTAATAAGGTAAGAATATACATTTCAAATGCAATTTCTAGCCATGATTATAAAAAATTTACCACTCTCATACTAGGATTTTCGTACAACCTGGTCTCTTGAAATCGACATATCTGCGCCACGCATAATTTTTGTTGATAACCACTTGGATAAAAACACAGGCGTAGTACTTGTGGACTTTGGTCGCTTTCAAATGTTGAAAAATGAATGTCAGAAAAAAGATTCGCTTGTTGGTCGTGACAGCACAGCTGTCAGTGAGACTACCTCAAAGTTGGATAAAGAGCGGGAGAGTGAAGATGAAGACTTTATGACACCTTGTTCAACACCACCAGGCTCAGAAATCAGTTTGATTGAATCACCCACTTTGCAGCAAAACTCTGTACCTATAGTGAACAGCGACACTGGTCTGGAAAGTGCCTTTCATAAAAAAATTTACGATAAATACTTTATAAATCTTACCGATATGCAAGTGATTGTTTGCAAAAATCGTGAACGTGCTCACGCCTGTACGAAACACTCTTCAAATTATCATTTATTGGAAAAATTTAGTATCTCTTTAGAGCTGGAACATCGTGTTATATATACAACAGATCCAGATTATCCATCACTTACACTCTATGGCACCCTACCGAAGATAGTGGCCCATGTTAATGAGCAAAAATTGAATGAATTTTTCAAAATACTCTATCCCATAATAACTGATCCCTTTGAGTTTAACGATCTGAAAAGTCCTAATGGAAATGATAGCCCAAATGGCGATGGTATTAGCACCCATGAAAGTTGTGGAGAGCAAAATAGTAATATCAATGGAATAAATGGAACAAATAATGGCTTTGATGATGGTTATGCCACAGAAATGCCAACAAATTTCTTAAATACCAATTTGATGATAATACAATTCGTTATTGGCCAAATGACGCTGGAAGTGCAATCGTTGGAACGCAGCATAGCAGAGTTACAAGTGGTAGGTGTACGTGCGGGCATTACAAAATGTTCAGAGGACACACATATAAGCATGTCAGTGCATGGCTTGCTATTGGTCGATGCTATACAGTCCTTTGGGCCCGATTTTGAATTGCTAGTGGCTAGTCATCGACATGTGGGGTAAGTTAAATGTTATTAGTAAATAATGATAATAAGACAAAAATTAAATTTGTGATATTTTCAACAGCATGGATAGCATTTCGGGTAGCTTAAAACAAAGTAAACCATGTTCGCCAACGTCGCCGGCTTCACCAGATCCTATGTTGGGCGCTGAACGTTGTACCAGTCCGCATACAATAAACAGAGCGATTAGTGCTTTGCAAAGTGGTAAAATATCTGACACATTTTTAAATAGAAAGTCTATAGTTTCTTGTTCACAATCTTATGAAACATTTACAGGTCGCAAATTTTTTGACTTGGATTATGATGAATCTCAATCGCTCATAAATATCGATTTAAATTTGATTGATGGAACTGACCAAAGTGATTCACTCCAAATAGCCAACATTGCATTCAACAATTTGGATATTATTGGTGAGTTTGTGGTACTTTCTAATTAATACTATCTATGTATATGCAAAAGTAATGAAAAATCTTATTTTCGCAAATAGCCAATCAAGAAACTATCGTTGAACTTTTGGGTTTCGCAAAACGTTTACACAGCACACACAAAACGATATTTCAACGAAATCAAATCTATACAGCCGAATCGTACATAAACAATAATAACAAGCGCCCTACCAACGCTTCAACCAAATTACGTACGGAAATCGGGTTTGATTTTCATCGACTGAATATATTAGTGCTACGCAGTATAAATAAAGGTGATTTTTCTGTTGGGCGTAAAGTCGGCACATTAACAATGAGCGAAGCTAAAATTCAAGCAACATTCGGTGAAGATATTAGCGTAATGGGCTCTTTGGGTGGTGTACAAATAATTGATATTACACCGGAAGGCATTAATCATCAACGTATATTCTCTGTTGGCAAGGATCCACTCACTAATGATTCGACAGATTTCTACAAACATGACTTGCTCAATACACTAACTAGTGAATTGTACAATGATGGCTATGCTGACACACAATTAAATGCATTGTCCTTTCAAATATATTGCCAACAGGATTCAACACCAAATTTAAAAATTCGTATGGCTTCTGTGTGGTATGTGCACTGTCCAAGATTTATACAGGAAATTAACATGTGCATATCACAATTCAAACATTATCTAAAGTGAGTTGATTTGTAGTAGATCTTTAGCGCAATTTTTAAGTGAATTCTTTCTATAGAAATTTTGCCACCTCTATTCGCAATAAAGCCAGTGATATGGCAAAGGAGCTTGTGCAACACATACAGAAGACTAGTGAAACAGAGACCGAAAAACTGCGTACAGCTGGACAAATATGGTAGATTTTATATTTAAGATTACATGTTTGTATTTATACTCTCTTGCACTATAATTGGTGAGAATTAATTGTCCGGATATGATAACCGTTTACATATCAGAAGTGGAATAAAATAATAACACTTAAACTCTTTAGTAGATATTTAAATTTTATTAGCCCGAGCTTAGAACCAAGTGACGTGTACTGACATCTCCGCTAAACCTTCATTAAGCTTGAAGTTGATCAATGGGAACTTTCCAGCTTCTCGGAAATTCGAAAGTGTGAGAAGTTGAAATACACATGTATTCTGTAGGTTTGAGTGAATTAAATAATAGAATATCTTACAAAATAAGTATATTTTATAAATAAGAAGTGGAATAAAATAATAACATTTAACTTCTTTTTTAAAGGTTTACATTTTATATGAAACCGAGCTTAGATATAAGTGGCGTTTGTTGGCCAAATCTACTAAACGCTCATTAATTGAAAATTTACATGCATTAGATTGAAAAAAAAAATCTAAAAATTTATAAAAAGTACTTATAATCTTATGGTCTGATAGTCCTTTTTTTCTAAACCGTTTTTTTTTATTTTTAAATTTCAGTATCGATATAGTATTAAATACACCAGTTTTGGTTTTACCACGTTCCGGCGACAGCTTAGATGTACTTGTTGCAAATCTGGGTAAAATAACAGCTTATAACACCCATGAAGAAAATGAGATTTCGATATCAAAATCAACGGAAAACTTAAATATGTGGGCCAAAGATAATTATTTCTTAGATATAAGAAATATAAATTTATTTTCATTAAACACATCAAAACGAAAGGAATTGGGTCTTTGCGCTTTGCCAAAGGTAAGCGAATTGTACGCTTGCAACACCGACGCTGTGCCGATATTACACGACACTGCAATGCTTTTTAAATTAACCAAATATGTGACGAAAAACAAAAAGGACAATCAGTGGACGCTGCACAATAAGACAAACGTAAATATGCAATATTTGTTTAAAAAAATTTGTTGTATTTTATTTATCAAATACTACTTTTTACAGGTCGAAGGCAGCATTACACAGTGCTTACAAGTTTCGCTGTCGCGTGGTCAATATGAGCAAGTGCTCGATACCTTGAACTCATATTCCAAATGGAAAGGCAATGGCAATTCTGCCGAAAATGCTGTTGCATCCGTGGATCAAGTGGACAGTGTACCGAAAGATAAAATTAACGAGTCGTTTGATTTTGAGGAAACATTTGAAACAAATCTAACATTTTCCGTGCCCATATTTCAAATTCATTTGAAAAATAAACTTAATAACGCACTTATCGATGTAACTTTTCGTGATTTTGGCTTTCAGTACAATCAACAACAAGATGTTACCAATTTAGAAGTGTTGCTGCGCTCAATCCTCATGGAGGATCTAAAGTGTACAATGGACTCCCGTTTTCGTAATATGGTGGATTCAACGTCAGCGGAAAAAGAAATAATCTACAAGACTGAAAAATGTTTGTCGTGTCCAAACCTCACCACCATACATTTGCAACAAAATGAGCTATCTCACTCCATGCCTTGCAAATTGAACTATCCAACGTTTGTAACAGCAGCACAAACACCTGTAAAGAAAGCTATTAGCTGCAGTAATGCAACGAGAAATACTGACGATAAATTGGTAATCTACAAGTCTCAAACTCAAACTGTAATGGGCTTTGATGGAAAACCCGTTAGCCAGACTAAGAGCTCAATCGATTTCAATTGTTTGAATTTAACTGTATCTGTGTGTAGATGGTTTACGATTTTCGATTTCTTCGGTTTGGTCTCAAGTTACGAAAAGAAAACTGCGGTGCCAATTAAGAGTGAGCTGAACGAAGGTGAGCACTAAAAAGTTTAGTAAAATTTGCTCCGAAAAATATAATTTCAACACTTTTACCATATCACTTTGCAGAGGAACCCTTATCCTTAGGGGAACTGAAGGTATCTGTGCGTTCACTGAATTTAATATTGGTGCGAAATGAAGTTGAATTTTCCAAAGCCAACATATCACATGCACATTTTAAAATCGCAAGCAATAAAGATGTGAAATCGGTTGAAGGACGCCTCAAATCAATTTCACTGTATGATCTTACGCATTTTGGCGATTTGTATCGTGAGAAATTCTCAACGGCTGGACCGGAGGCATTGAGTTTCTCATATAAAAAGTGAGTTTTCTTTACTTAGATTCATATATGTATTTACTTATCAATTAAATTAAAAATATATTAATTTTTCATTTTCTTCTAGACTTAGTACAGTAGCAAAAATCAATGAGCGTTCGCTGGAAATGAATGCGAAATTGCGCATACAAATGTCATCAGTGCGGTATATACATACAAAAAGATTCATCATGGAGATTCATTTATTCATAAAAGACTTACTAGAAGTACAATCGGTAGGTATTTTCAAATAATTTCATTTCCCAGCTTAAATATAGCTAGTTAACGAAAGGAGATTGCTGAGGGGATGTGCACCCCCACCATTGCACTATTGTGCCCACTAATTCTTGTCACAATACTTCGCTCAGTCCTTAGTCTCTCAGAAGCCCTAAAAGACATAATGGCTTAGACGATATAATGTGATTTTCCTGTGTGTGCAAGTTGCCTAGGTATTTGAATCTCATTTTGGCTACTGCTTTTCACACCAGCAAATATGTGAACTGGTGCTTCTATAAGTAATCCTCTTGTATTCTTAGGTTTTTTGTTATACAAAAATAGTTTATATGAATTTTTGGTTTATTAGCTGTTTATTTGTTATTTTTGTTGTTGTTATTATATTCCCCAAAAACAAAATATTCCCCAAACCAGGGTTGGAAGAATGTTGCGGAAGTAACAGTCCTTGACCGAATAACGACGCGTCCCTGGAACTTTTGGATTTTAATCGCCTCTTACGTCAAGGCATGCCTAATCGCGGAAGAGTTCTTGAACCCCTACCGCGCTGTTCATTAGCGTTGTTGGGTTTTTTAATCCCGTTTATTGTGTTGGATCCCAGAGAAAAAAATGGCTCCGGCCCTATAGAGCGAGAGAGAGGGATTACTGCTGTACTCTCATCTCGTTTAGTTTCCTAGCACATTTCGCACCATGAGCTATAACCGGCTGACGTAATTGACGACAAGAATTTTCCATCGGATAAAAGTCAAGTACGTTCTAGTTTATAGATTTGCGTAACTTCTTATTGAGGTTGCTCTTGTTTTATCGCATAATTAGTGTATTTAATGTCTCAGAGCATTGCTTACATTTGCTCCGTCCACTATGATCAACTGTTATTAAACTATTTAAGGCATTCAAAATCGACGATAAATGATTTCTGATTTCGGATTTATGGGACTCGAATTTAAATAATTATTGTACTTATCTCTTCTATTTTATTCATTTCAGCCTGTTATAAGACGTATAAAAATGTCCGAAAGCCAAGCAGATATCAACTCCACTCCCACAAAAATTGGCTTACGCTTACACGCTGCGTCACCGATAGTTTTGCTGCCACTCAGCTACAACAGCACACAAGTTATAGTCGCCGATCTCGGTGAATTTACGCTAAAAAACTCTTTCCACTTTGCCAGTGATGAGGATGTAGTTGTTAGTAAGCGGCAAGATGAAAAGGGATTGGATGAAATACTCGATGTAATGCATATCGATTTGGTCAATATGAATTTATTCTCCGGCGAACGAATGTGGAAGACAAATAAAACACTGAATTATAATCCAAACGAATGTGTTAATATCGGAAATTTCACCATACTGAAGCTGGGTAATAATCTCTTCAAGGAAACGTGTCACCTTAAACTGCAAGTGGAACGTAATATCGACACGGCTGTGAGTCACAATTGTTCCGATATCACAGTGAAAGGTGTGCTCTCCAAATTGAATGGTATTGTTAATCTACAACAATACAAATTATTACGCGGCTTCCTCAGTTATAATTTGGGGGAAATGATTGATGATGTATATCTTAATTATACGAAAAACTTCTCCGAATCGGCGGATAGATTAAACTCAAACAGCGATTCTTACACTTCGACAGATGCGCTGGACGTGTCCACATGGAATACAATGTCCATAAATTTACAACTAGAAAATGTTTCCGTGTCATTAGTCGAGCAGCAAAGTTACGACAACGAAATTAAACCTTTAGCTTGTATAAATTTCATAAAATCATTTTTGCAAATCGACACTTTCAGTGATGGTTCCCAAGACATTGATTTGGTGTCGAGTGAAGTGCTTGTCCTCGATTCGCGCCCGGCACATCTATCGAACAACGTTTTCCGCCACATATTGAAACCCAAACGGGACAACGTTTCGAAAAATGTCGTACAAGCAGAGATACACAGTCGCAAGCGTAACAATTCTTCAAAGTATACAATTTTATTGAATAATATGCGTATTATGGCCATACTCGACTGTTTGGAGAGTATTAAAAAGTTTCTGGAAGAGGAGCCAACAATATCGGCATCTGTTACGCCCTCATGGCGCAATAAAGTTGTGAAACAAGCCTCAATCACACACGAAGTGGAGATGAGAACAGATTCTGAAATTATTTTAAACATTACGGACTCTGAATTGATTTTCGTTGAGAATGTCGCTTTGGCCGATACAAATGCAATCATATTGAAAAATACAACCGTACTGCAATACAGGCCTAACAATCACATTTGTCCAGTTTCGATTGACGTCAACCATTTGGAGGTGTTCTCTTGCATTTTGGGCGCTGAAGAACAGACAGCGCTTTCAATCATCGATCCCTTCTCTCTTAATATGGAGTTGAAGAACAACTGTTTCCACGTCATCATACACAAACAACTCTCCATTCGACTTTCATATAATGATGTAAAATTGTTTTCGAAAATGCTACAATCCATACCCAATCAGGCGAAGACATCACAAAAGCTTAACCGCAGTAATTACAACAATTATGAGGCAATAGCACCGTTAGTTAAAATGGGTTTCAAAACGAAAGATTGTTGGGAGGCTATGGACGTTAGTAATAATAATCTAAATGACGCCGCCAATTGGCTACTACAGCAGAAGCATGTAAAAACCGACAAAGTGTACCTGGAATTGCATGATCTGCTCATAAGCGCCAGCTGCATATCGATATGTGTCATTGACGATTGTATGGACGCAGATGTGCCATTGCTGGAGATCGCACTGTCGCAATTAACGCTGGCACAACGTCTGGAAAACGCCAAATCTCCAGTGGAAGTAGGCTTCAGCACACCTTTGTATCAAGAGGGTAGGCTGGAGACCATATTTGCTAGTGATTATTACAATCGCCGCTTAAGTGGCTGGGAGCCAGTTATTGAGCCGTGGGAGTGTTCGGCACATTGGCAATTTTCGAAGGCTAACGTGATGATACCACGCATGCTGGTGATGCAAGTTAGCAGCAAACAATTGCTCAAAATGAATATCACCTCAACGCTGATTGAGCTCTGCGATATTGTGCGTAACAATTGGATCAAAGATTATTATGGCCAAAATAGTAGCGCTGATTCGCTGACGGGCTTTCGCCGTCGTTCGCCATTTGTGCCGTTCGCTTTGAAAAATCTCACCGGCGAACCGTTGCTCTTTAAAACGCTCTACTCATCGCCGGGTGGCATTACACGCACCGAAGTAAATCAAACGGATATCATGTGGAACTGGTTGCCGGTGGAGCCCAACGAAATACTACCATTCGACTTTGGTCCACAGACCAAGTTGAGGCATATGAACTCGCACAAATTGAATACACATCAGATATTGGTACAAATTCAAGGCTGGACCTTGATCGGACCAATTTCCATCGACAAAGTCGGTGTGTTTTTCCGCTATTCCACATTAGATATGCAATATAAGAGACGCACCCGCATCGTTTTCGACATTTCGATGTTCGGCTCAGCGCAGAAAATGATAACAATACGTTCGGCACTAACGGTTGTGAATCATTTAAATGAAAGAGTTTTGCTCAAAATGGAGGTTAAACATGAGGATGTAGTCGCCTTATCGGTACTAGAATCGAATGAGCAATTGAGCGTGCCGCTGCGTTTGGTAGATTCTTTGATTTATTTTCGCCCATACACGCCGGTAAAGACGCCAGATAAATTGGTGGCGGACGCAACCGAAGGCAAAACTCTCTTTGTGAGTAAAAGTTACATTTTGCACAGTAACCATTGTAATGAATTGGAGTTTAGCACTTGTGGCATATTGTGGAGCACCTGTGCCAAAGATTCAGTGGATGAACTCTTCTCTTGCTATGGCAAAAATAATGCCGTCTTCTACACACTCGTCGAAATACGTAAAGTCAAGTATCCGAATCGAGATGTAAACACACCGGGTCATACGATTACACTCTTGCCACCGTTAAAATTGAAAAATATGCTCTCATGTGATTTGCTCTTCAAAATTTCTGGCCACATACAGGGTCGAATAAATGCCTCGGAAGTTGTAAATATACACACCATCAATGCCTGTGATTCCTTTGTACTCAGCATCACATTGGACAACTACAAGCTTTCGGGACAGCTGAAAATACCAATGGGCCACACTGGAATTGTGGAGCCAAAATTGAAATTAATTGATATCTTAAATCGTGAGCTATACCTGCGTGTTTCCATACAATCATTTCAGGGTAAAGGCATGGAGATTTTCATTAGCGCGCCAATTTGGATTATCAATCGTACTGGTCTGCCGCTGGTATATAGACAAGAGGGCACGAATCGTTTGGGTTCGGGTCAGTTTGATGAGCACGAACAGGCGCGCATTGTGTCGCCGTTGCTCTTCTCCTTCTCCGACCAAGAAGGCTCACCGTCGTTGGAGATACGTTTGGGCAGCAGTTATGGAAATAATAATCCGGTAAGTACGAATATATGCATATAAATTTATTGATTGCTGTAGCTGTTGTGGGTGTCCGATCGCGGAAGTTTGATCACCCCATTTTGATACCAATGGCGGATCTTTGGGAAATGAGAAAAAATTATTCTGTACCCTCTTATTCAGCTCAGCTTAAAGGAGTCACACGATAAGGAATCTCCTTTGTTATCGAATGGCTCGAAGAGGTCTTTCCAGGCGGAGTTTTTGGATATTGCTTATCAGGGGTTAACACAGACCTTTTGTCGGTATCTCCTCTGCGCGTGGAATGGTAAATCGCAACGTTGTGAGGTAGGCAGCCTGTTTTCCCTCCACAGACGGCATTCAATCCTCATCGTAAAAGTGTACTCTCAGAGAGCAGCAGTTTAAATCGAATAAAAAACCGTGTGGCTGTCTAGTGTGACTACAGGTTTTCGAAGTTTTTACTAGTGCTCCAAGATATCTACAAGCAACCCATTTGGTTCCGTCAATTGCAACGCAAAAATACGTTCTTTACCCACTTCTTTGGCTCTCTCTCACATTGGTCCCATCAGCGTTCGTCCCGCTTACCCCGACCCAGTATATCCCCCAGCACGAAATCGACACCAAATTTGCGCTCCTTTATATGAGCTATTCATCTCCGTCCTTGTCCCGTAAATCGCATTTCTTGGATGATATCAGCCTTTAGTCTTAGGAAGACATTACCTAGCATAATACGTTTCATCATGGTCGTAATCAAATGTGTCGAATCCCAAACCTGTTTTATTTTTTTATACATAGCGAATCACTTGTTTCAAAATTGACGCCCGTACGTAGCCACACCACTGGTAATAGACTTCAACGACCCCCTAAACTGTATATAACGGAATGGCTCCACTGAAACTTCCTCTCTTTTAGCCGTGCGCCAACTATAGACGGGTTGATTGTCGCATCTTGTAAATAGCGAACACACGTTTCCCTGGACGCAAGAGTAGGAATTGAGACTAACCCTGGGACTGTAATTGTATACCCTGAAGCACTTCATACATGTCGGTGAAAGTAAAGGAAATGGAAGACCTTCCGCGAGCTGTTTAAACGGGTTCGGATCAGTGCGAGAGGGGTGTTAGATTTACCCTTGACCGTGAGAGTCGAGTTATGTACTGCGACATCCCACGCTGGACTCACTGGAGAAGATTAAAAAGTGTTTCAAGGACTTTATTCAGAGTAGATCACACCACTCTTGTAAAGAGAATATAGGCGGTTATCTGAACGTTATCCAGTTTGCTCGACCGTTGGCCACCATACTATAACTCCGTATCACAATATGGCTCGGCCGCAAAATCCAAAAGTCATAGAAAATTAATTTAAATACAAATTTTAGTTCAACTTTCTAAGTGGTCGCCCCTAGACAGGGAATGTCAACCCTTCCGAGCGCATATCTGACGTGAAATAAAGGCTCTTCATAAAAAACCATCAGCCGTTCGGAGGCGGCTTAGTATAAACTGTAGGTTCTTTCATTTGTTGGAAACACATAAAGACACAAAAACAAAAAAATATATATATATAATTGGCGCTTTATAACCGCTGAAGCGATTTTGGGCCGCGCTCCTCCTCCAAATTATATATAGCCAATATACAATAAGGGCTATTAGTCCTTCTCCGTGTATCTATCGCGGACATACTGGCGTAGAAGGCGATCATAGCTCTCCTCTCCGTTTGTTCATGGTGCCAGATGACAAAATAAATTGTGTTGATTTTTGTCTCTTAAAAAATACTCACCTCTCTCCTTTAAAATATCCAACCTTTGATCATTTATTTTCTCTTCTTTTAAGTGGTGCAAGAGCTTTAATATACACAAGGAAACCTTCCAACGCCAGTTGCGTGCTGAGCGGTACAAAGGCTGCTATGCCATTGGCATAAATATACGTAGAGGGCGTGGCTTATACTCATGGACCACATTCATCATTTTATCACCACGTTATCAGCTATATAATAAGTCAACGAGAAAATTGGAGTTCTCACAGAAATGTGACATCAAAAAGCCAGTAAGTGGAGAGTGCTTATATAAATTTGTGCCACCAACCATTAATTTTGCACTTTTTTCAGGACTCTGCAAATGCTGAGCATATAATATCCGCACTGCCCGGTTGTAATTTTCCCTTTCATTGGCCAAACTACGAACAGGAACCGTTGCTATGTGTACGTATAAGCAATGTGCGCTTTTGTCATTGGTCCCACGGCATACCCATTAACGAAGTACATTCCATATATATAAACGTGCGTAATGATTTGGGTGAAATGTTTTTCCTGCGACTGGAAGTGATTTCCAAGGGTGCAACATATTTCTTTCTATTCAGCGACGCACACACTCTACCACCACCTATACGCATTGATAACTATTCAGAAATCATGATACACTTCTATCAATATGCCTGTAAACCACATTGGCGTTCAACTGTACGTCCACAATCTTCACTTGCCTACGCTTTGGATGATCCGCTTGGTGCACATATGCTACAAATTGAAGCGCCAGGTGGCAATACAATTGACTTTCCGCTGAATAAAATGGAAAACTCCAGTAGCATAACATATGCCAACTTCATTTATATAGCCTTTAAGGAAACATTTAATTATACGGAAAGTGAAATGTCGCAATTGGGTATTGAGGGTCAGCAGCTTGTATTGGCTGTACGCGATAAAAAAGTCATTGTGGCGCACAAGTGTACCGGTGATCGTTCGCAATTGTGGTTGATGAACTCCTACGGTCAGTTGGAGCACGAAGGCTCTTCGCCACCAACGGAGTTTGGCAGATATAGTGAATCAAGTAGTTATCGCATGGTTTTGGATGTGGAGAAGGCGCTTGATCCGAATAATTATACAAATTTAGTGATCAGACCGCCAAATAAACAACGAGTAACAACACAACGTTGGCGTTTTGAGAATGGACGGTTAATGTGTCACACGAATATGTGTGTCCAGGTGAGTGGTGATTATTTTTGGTTAAGTTGGATTCGGATTATTAGGGCACCTTGTTTGTAAGTACATACCTTGTGGGTTGGGGATTCAAAAATTTACCCGTGGTAAAGCATGGCTGTCGTAAGTAGCGACTAATATGCAATAATTCCCGCGACAGTCGGGTCTTTACACCGGAACGATTTTTATCCGGCCAAGGACTGTGACTCCTGTAACATTCCCCAAAAACTACTTTGTGTAATATTTTTGCAACAACAACACAGTTCAAGAAGTACTTAAGGTCTTGCAAGCTCTCCTCTGGAGCACCCAAACTTTAGTCTACTGTCAAATCCGCTAGACACTGGGAACAGCTGAAAATTTCATTCGGTGGGCCGAAGGCGTGAGCGACCTACTTTAGCCGTCTTTTTTTTGCACTATCCTTTGGTTGATAAAAAAAGCGACAAAGAAACCGCCGTCTGTGCACGTCGCTAGAGACCAGTGCAGCGTTACTAGAGATCAGTGCAGCGTTTGATTTCGCCATGGCAGATTTTAAGATGGTTACCGGAAAGGCAAAAGCAACCAAATATTTCAGCTCCGATGGAATAAGTATGCTGATGCTAGAAGACGCTCAGTTTATTTTTGACCACCTTAATAACTGAATTGAGTGGTCCAATTGCTTCAACCGGGGAAACAAAGGATAACGATGTCATAGGACGATAACTCTTCATGCTGTTGTAGTTGTTGCGGTTGTTCTAACCCCGCTTAGAGACAGGCTCGTTAGTTTAAGTCACAAAGGTCAACTAACGGGAGGCCCAAGAAACGAGCTGTTCTCTCTGGCTCAGACCAGAGAGAGAGTGGGGAGGTTAGATGTATCGGTTTTAGGGGTCATATAAAGGTAGAGTATTGCGGGAGACTTGCTACATGCTGGGCATACGTTGGCTATGTTGGGTTCCTGTCTAGATAGATAGGAGTCTAACCTGCTACAATGTCCAGACCTAAGCTGGGCCAGTCTAACGCGGGTCTCCCAAGGCAGCTTCAAGCCCTTCATTTACTATGTGTGGTGTTTTGACTGCGAGGACGCATTTCACAGAAAGGAGTTAAGGTTCATAATGTAATGTAGTCTAATCTGGGGCGCTATCTGCGGGAGCACCCCAAAATGCGCTTATTTTAAGTCAAACCTCCAGCACAGGCACATCAGAAAGTAAGTACTAGACTGCATCAACTCCATGCAGCATTATAGACAAGAATCATTAGACAAAACTATGAACCGACAGGCTTTAAACGCCATTCACCGAGAGTCCGGTCACAACTCTCTTCCAGTAAATAGCGTTCTCGGAATCCAAGTACCATCTATTGCAGAACAAGAGCACAAACTGCCTCGTAAGACCCGAGTAATACTGGCGCAATCAAGATCTCGAAATTGTAGTCTATCGGTATAAATTTTCACTCTCTTCTCCTTCTGGTACTTAATGGTTTTTTTTTTGTTTGTTTGTCCATATTGATAAATATCGGCCTTTTAATATTGAGTGAAGCTATTTTCGGCCGAGTTCCTCCTCCAATTTGTGGTTTTGGATCTTGATGTTTTTCCAACAAATGGAGAGATCTACAGTTTATACTAAGCCGCCTCCGAACGGCTGATGGTTTTTCATGAGGAGCCTTTTTTATGTCAGAAATACACTCGGAGGGGTTAACATTCCCTGCCGGCTATACTAAATTAAAATTTATTTACATTTTAAGGTACGTGATGGCGTTTTTGGTCTACGTCCTGGCTCTGAAGTAGTACTCGGTTGTATAAAGCCAAGTTCACGTTTAGCCAGAAGTGATGATGTTCCATTCGAGCAAAGTATTGAAATTCAGAAACTACGTCCTGGCTCTGGCCATTTAGAGATTTGCAGTAAAATGGATGGTCCAATAAAAACGGTTCAAATACATGACGTAAAAGTGAAACCGGAAGATGTAACATTGACACCAGATCCAAATTGGAATCATGCATCGATCAGCAGTCGCATGACTGTAGATGAACACAAAACTAGTACATTCGATGAAATCTCGGTGAGTAAAGTCAGATATTACTAGTCCCATATTTTTAAGAACTATTTAAAATTATTATCCTTTCCTCTAACTTTTCAGCTCCGAGTCGATTTACAAAAGGGCTTAGGCATATCCGTCGTAACACGTCAACCAGGCGAAGAATTGGCTTTCATTACCTTAGAATCGATTGTATTAGATGTGCATTCAACACGTTTTATTAAATCATTGGAATTCAAAGTGGCTGATCTACAAATCGACAATCAATTATTGGATACCTCGTGCCCGATCTTGTTGCACACCGTACGCACGACGAGCGACGATGATTTACCCACTAGTGCTTTGATTTTGAAGGCGAAACTCTTGCCGAGTCCCAATAAAAATGCGATAATTTTTGAATATTTAACATTTGATATAAAACCTTGTGTTTTGATACTGGAGGAACGTTTGATCTTAAAGACGGCCTACTTTTTTGGCGTCGGTAAAATGGATAATTACAAAGCGAACAAAGAATATGATCATGGCCAACAAAACATCGAAGAACTATCGCTATCAACGAATCCACGACGATTCTACTTTGAGTCACTTAATATTGGATCTAGTCAGGTAATTGCGAAAGATACCAGAAAATATATATACATATATTCATATAGACTAAGATTTACAAATATGGGAAGAATTTTTTTGTACTTGCTTTTTCTTTGAGTAGCGCTTCTTAATGAAATTTTCCACAACTGAGCTCTTAGTTAAAGAAAATTATTAAATTAATCTTTTTTTATCCAAAGGCAGAGGCGAGTCCCTTCTACTTTGCCCAAAGCCGACTGATAGGATGTGGTCAACGTTCTCTACGCTTCTGAACTAGGTCAACGTCGCCGTATATATCGTACAGCTCGTGTGCGGCTGCGGTATTCGCCGTTCCCAACGCGCAGATGACCACATATCTTGTAGAGTTTAGTCCTTGTTTGGCGGGAGAGAACTTTACTTTTCAGTCACTTACTCAGTTGAAAGTTGTTCCTAATTAGAAGAGTGGTGTTTGATTTCTAGACAAAGGAAGTCGTCTACAACTTAAAAGTTATGATCTGTCAACAGTAACGTGGGAACCATGACGCAAATATGCTACGTCCTGACTGCATTTGCTAACAGAACAATCACCTCTCTTTCTTAGTCAGTTCGATGGAAGCAGAACTTACAGCCAATAATATGAATATCAGCGGCATTTGCCAGCCGTCAAAGTTTTTGGCGTTGCTCAGCGTTAGTATGCGCAGCTTTAGATAGTTTAGTGGGGATATCAAACTCAGGCATAACGGCATAAAAGCAGCTTCTTTTTGTGCTGTCGAGGGCAACTAAAGAATTGACAAGGATATGTTGTGTGCTGAACCTTTACTCTCGGCTCTTTTGAATGTAATTAGCGCAGGTTGAATGAAGTCACACTGATAACTGGTAAGGTCCAATCAGTTTGTTAACGGTGGGCATCAGTCTCGCACATGCTTGCTAACACCTTATATGCTGTATTGAGGAGACTTTTTCAATGGTAATTGGCGCAGAGGTCCCCCTCTTTGTGGGTTGGGCAGAGCACAAGCAATCGCTACTCGTACTCAATTATATGCGGCTGATGGCTATTCCATTGTCGTCGATTGGGGTTTTGGGTTCGTTAAGTAGGCTGAAGAAATGTTCCCTTCATAAACTCAATCTACTATGAACGTCTGACACCGAATTCCGTTTGTTTTTCCTGCAGGTAGAAGGTATCAATTCCGAAAGACTTAATTTTTCGTAGAATTTTCTAACATTTATCCCGTTTGCCATCTCCTCAATTCGGCATACTCAGGCATATTCACCTCACACTTTTCTGCTTGCATTTTTCATCTTTTCTAGGCATCTTTCTTACAGCGTTCGCTTTGCAGTAGATTTCTCTTCACTGCGGTACGATAATCCACATCCGTTCAGCTTTTTATTTTTTACCTTCTTGAAGGCCAATAGGTTCGTTTAAGCTTGAAATGTCCTCCCAAAGTTGTTGATGAGTGTTCTCAGAAAGCAGAAGCACAAGTCGAGAAGAAAATTACTGCTTGTTGAGATTCCAGCTTTTCGACGAATTTCCTGCATTTATGGGCGTGTGTTCTTTGTTGTACAGAGGTGAATACGTATCTTGGGTGAAAAAAGATAGTGGTGAGAGTTGAAGTCAGGACCTTGAAGAGTGCGCACATCTGAAACACTGGAGGCGTGTATCCCTCTACCACAACATTGGCAATCTGGCTTCGAGTCTTTTGCTTAGCCTAATGAAATCTGGTATTACAGATAATTATAATTCGGGTGTCGGTGAAGCGCGCTAGCCTCAATTCCTTGAGAGATGTCTCGTCGTGAAGTCTAAATTATCGATCCAAAGATAGTGATAGATAGTGCACTTTACATACTGAAACAATGGATAAAGAATCTGGTTCTTTTTCATCGATTTGAAACGTTCAAATCTGGCTCAAACCCATAGCCCTATCTCACATGTAACCCTATGCCGACTACCGCTGACTGAAGCTTCATTCAAACATGGGGGAAATCGGACATTAACACCTTCTATGCCCTATAGAACCAAATTTTTCTTTATTTCCCGTCGCTTTTAGACTGACATCAAGTATTTGGATCATTTTGAGCCTCTTGTGATCAAATTCCTTGATGTGAATTTGGCAGCTATTAAACAGGCTTGGAAGAGGGGCACCTCATCCCCCCTGCTGGTTATGGGCTCAAGAACGTTCCCGCGGTAAGGCATGCCTGTCGTAAGAGGCGACTAAAGTCCAATAGTTCCCGCTACAGTCAGATCTTTATACCGGAACAACCCGGAGTTTATCCGGCCAAGGAATGTCACTCCCGCAACATTTCCCAAAAAGTACTTTGGGGAATATTTTTGCGGTTACAACAACTAAGCTTTCTTTTAACATTTTTAAAAATATTAATTTTTTAGGTACGCGTTTCCGTCTTCACAGCGCCGAAGCTATCACCAGAACTATTCGAAACGAAAAAGGCGCTTGGCCTGACTTTGGTAAAGTTCGAGGATGCACTCATAGAATTCGACACATTTTCCGATAAACATCATTTTGAGCCATTAGAGGTGTATTTAAAAGCAATCAAAGGTCATTTCATTAGCCAAATCAAAAGACATGCTGCTTCGATATTGGGCAGTGTCGACTTTCTTGGTAATCCACTTGGTTTTGCCAATGATCTTTCAGAAGGCGTATCCGGTCTAATATTTGAGGGTTCTGTAAAGAGTCTGGTGAAAAATGTTACACATGGCATTTCTAATTCTACGGCCAAACTAACTGAAACACTGTCCGACAGTTTGGGACGCGTTGTGCTCGACGATCATGACAACGAAACACGTCAGCGTATACTTGAAATACAATCGAACACCTCAGGTAATCATTTGGCAGCGGGGCTCAAGGGTCTCGGTTTCGGTTTGCTGGGTGGTGTAACAAGTATTGTGCGTCACACCTATACGGGCGTACAATCAGATGGTTTCCCCGGCCTGTTGAGTGGTTTGGGTAGAGGACTTGTGGGTACAGTAACCAAACCGATCATTGGTGTACTAGATTTGGCATCGGAAACGGCAAGCGCAGTACGCGAGACGAGCAAAACTTCTGGACGCATGCTGCCCGATCGCAAACGTTTGCCACGCTGTGTTACTGGTGCGCCCGGTGGTCTGCTACCAGCTTACTCTTATCGACAGGCGAAGGGTCAGCAATATTTGTATATAATAAATCGGCGAAATTTCACCGAGAAACTCATGTCTTATGAACCAAATTTGTGCAATGATAAGGACGCCAAGCTGCGTCTGTTGGTTACCACCGAATTCATACGTATATTTTCACGTTGCGAAGAGGATCCTGCAATTATGTTCGAGTGTCATTTGAGTGAAGTGCTTTCCTGCCATCCGCTGACAACGAATGTAGTGAATTCCGGCGCACCGAGCGGTAGCAAGCATATGCCAAGCTATTACATTGAAATATCCACCAATCTACCAAAGATCACAAGGCCGCGTGTGAAATGTCAGACCGAGGAAGTGGCGGAGCGCGCAGCACGTTGTGTAAGTGTGAATGGTGTTTGTCGGCGAAGGGTAAATTATTTATAAGCTACCATTTTAATATCTTTTTTTTTTTATTTACAGATTAACTATGCTAAGAGTGTCTTCGATGAGCGCGAACAATCTGTGGCAAACGAATAACGGCGGTTCACCACGGCTAGAGCATAAACAATGAGTACACAGTGCATGTAGTTGTAGTTCATAAGCGTTGAGATTACTATATTGATTAATTGTATGTATATATATATATGTATATGTATGCATGTAATGCATGTATGTAACGTGTAATTTTTATTAATGTAAAAGTATTTATTTAAGTATAGTAAATAATGTACGAAGGGCTTTATAAAATAAATTCGACAGCAAAAAAATAAGATTATATGTAAATTTAAATGGAAAGTTGGTGTGATGTGGTCATTTACAAAAGTTTTGAGAATTTCATGTTCATTTTTGATTCATATATAGTTTTTTATTTACATACGTATTTAAGCTATTGCTCAGACATGCATACATTTTCTTCAAATACTTATATTTAGTTAAAGAATAAAAATAATTGTTTTGGAGATAATTTCATTTATTAAAAAATGTTAAGAAATGGTAATTCTGAATTATTTAGATGCGGTGATAAAAGTAAGGTGCAATCTTAAATAAAAGTTTTTAAAACATTACATAATTTTTAAATACTTTTTGTGCTTCTCTTTAGGTAAGTCTAATATGTAATATCTATTGCTCATTTTGTTGTAGTTGCCGTAATTTTTTTTATTGGACATATGTATGTATATGTGTTTTTAATTTTGTTTTTAATTATTTCAATTATCTCTTTTAAAGTTTTTATTACATCTTTTTTATTCATTCTTTTTGAAATCTTTTTTAATATTATATATATTTTTTTATTTTTTAATCAATATTTTTTAATATATATTTTTATATTTTTACATCAATATTTTTTTATATTTTTACTTTTATTTTGGTTTATTTTCTTTCATTTTGCTTTTTTAAAATGAATTTTTTTATTTTCTTTTTTGGATGCACTCTTAAAATTTTTTGTTTCAATTATTTTAGTTTATTTCCATTTAATTTAATTTTGTATCATATTTTTTGAATGTATTTTTTATTTCCATTTAATTTCTTTTTTAATTTATTTATTTCTTTTTTTTTATTTCTTTTTTAATTTTTTTATTATTTTTAATTTTTTTTCATTTTTTTTTTATTTTTAATTTTTTTTTATTTTTTTTATTTCTTTTTAATTTTTTCTTTTAATGTACTTCTAAATTAAATTTCTTAATTGCGGTCGCCCCTCGGCAAGGAACGTCCACCCTTCCGAGTGTATTTCCTTTTAGTTTGCTACCCTAATTTTAATTTGTTTACTTCATTATTTTGAACTTTTTTTATTTCTTTTTTAATTTAATATTTATAATTAGTTTTTTTAATTTAATATTTATAATAAGATTTTTTAATTTAATGTTTTATAATATTTTTTAAAATTTGCAATGAATTTTTTATAAATTTTTTTTCATTTTTTTTTAATTTATATTTTTTAATTAATTATTTTATTTCATTTATTTTTTAATGTTTTATATATTTTTTAAAATAATATTTTAATATTCTCTTTGTTATATTTGTTTTGTATTTTTTCACTTTTTTAATTTATGTATGTTTTTCATTTTTTGTTTTTTTTTTTTAAATTTAGTTTTTCTCTTTTTGATTTGTTTTTACTTTTCTTATTTTGTTTACCTTTTTTTAATTTGCTTGGTTTTTTAATTTGTTTTTCTTTTGATTTATTTTTTTTTAATATAGTTTTTTTTTTTGTATATAATTTAATTTTTGTTTTCTTTCTTCTCCTTCCCAACCAAAGCTAATTATAATATGTAGTAAATATAAGACTTATGTATATGTGGAATAGCGGAAGGTTCGTCGAGTTGCAATCACCAAAACCAAGCAGTTTTCTACTCGATTTGTACTTTTTCTCTCTGAGAGCACTCATCAACAACTGTGCGACGGCCTGTCGATCTCCAAACGTACAGTTGAAAACGAAACCATGGGCTTTGAACAAGGTCAAAAGGAGAACTTATACAATAAGGGTTGTCGTGCCAGAGTGAGAGAGGAAAATACCTCCTATTGACAGCAATGTGAACGGTATGGAAAAGTTACAAAGAAAGAACGGAGATTTTGTCACTGGGAACGAGAAAGCGGGAAAAGTGACTGGCGTTCAGGGTATATTGAATCTATGGGTGGAGCACGTCTCTAGCCCTTTTAACTGCACTGAAAATGAAACACCCAGATATGATGAGGCCTCGAAACCCCAATCGATGACGATGGTATACTCAGATCAATCCACAAAAGGTAGACTACAAAACCTATCAAACCAACATCACCAATATGGCATATAAGGTATTTTTGTGTGATGGATTGAGATCAATCATCAACAAACTGGTCGATGTGAGTATATTTTCTGATCTGTCCGGTACATCTTATTTGAAAACAAGGTATAATTTGAGCACTATTTAAGACTGGGAAATTTGCAAATGGGAATGTCGCCCGATAATAACTCGACCTTGGCGTCCAGTGATAATATTGATAACCTCTCGATAGACAGCTCTACACAATAGAACTAGCACGAATTTTATCCGACCAATAGATGTCCCTTTTTCCGTGACCCAAACCCCAAACATATTCCTTAATTGTTTCCTCAATAGTCTTGAGTACGTGCAATAAAAAGTTTATTATAAAAGGAAGACAACGAAATTAGATTTTAATCTATATAATTTATGTTTATTTAATATTTTAGTATATACGATGCCATTGAGTCATGGAAACTTTAGGAAATACATATGTATTTTTTTTTTCTATAAGCTAAAGACAGACATATTTTTATTATTTTACGAGAAAAAAATACACAAAATATTTACGACGTTCATATATTATATGAATCTTTTTCAAATTTTATTCACTCACTGCAAACATCCGAATGTTTATCCCAAGCGTTAACCTAAAAGGAAAATGGAAGTAATAACCAATAAACTTTTTATAGTTTTAAAATAGTCTTGTACGAAACATACCTGACACTCTCGACTACAATACCATTGATTGCCACAACCAGCACAAACAAAGCGTGCCTCGTGCATTTTACACTCTTGGCACAGCTGTAAATCATTGTTATGCATGTTGCGCATGGATTTGTGTGTATTGTGAGATTTTCCATAATCGGGCATTTCGTAGTAATTGTTTTGTTGGGGATTCTAAAAGAAATCATGGATTAAAATATTTGTTAATCACAAATGCTTAGTAATAGCGATTAGCATCAAATCAATACCCAACTAACTTAGTAACAACTTACCACATCTAATGCCGTTCTTAATAAGCCGGATTTTGAATTCTGCAAAATTCTTTGTGGATAGCGATTAACGGAATTCACTGGCGTTATTGAAATTTCATTACAACCGCCATCACTCTGTAAACGATAGTAACTTTTTTGGCTTTCTGTATTAAACTTAAATCCTTGAGTTGCAGGGATACTGGGTTTATTGGCATGTAACATTGTATTATTACGCGATGTTGTACTAAGCAATTTTTCTAATGTTGGTGTATAATTTGAACCATTGCAATTATATGATGAATCCATAAATAAATTATTACCATCAACGCACTGTATTAAATAAATAAAAATATTTGAATATTTCAAATCAAGTATAATGGCGAAATGGAAAAAATTCCGCAGAACTCACATTTGGTGGCGTACTCAGCGGTCTTACGGTGTAGTTGCCATCACTTGTTTTAATTCGTTTGCCAACTCGTGGAAAAACGACGGGATTCTGTTGCCGGAAATCAGCAACTAAACTTTTTACATCAACAAATGGACCCTGACGGCCAACTTTGGATTTTAATTTCTGTTCCAAATACTGATACTTTTGCAGCTCTGGGCTATCATCGTTAAATGCTGTTTGGTGTATTGGAGATGCATTATTTTTCGCCATATCATTTTCAAAGTTGGAAGTGGCATTCGTTGAACGTTGCAGGATGTTGCTTGATATTAAAATACTATAAATAAATAAAAGATGAATTGAATTCATTCCAAACAAATATAAAAAATATGAGTGGATGTTTGTGCATACTTTTGCAATCGATTTGTATTATTTCGTTCCTTTTCTAGCTCTTCTGTTTTCATACTAGCACGACTCTCAATTAGCTGATGTGTTGTAGAGTTACTAAAATTATTGGTTGATGTCGAGGGCTGTGTATCGGATAAATAGGTTTCCAGCTCTTTCAATACTTGCAAATTATATTTGTGCTCATCGAATTTTCGATCTTTTACTGCCAGTATTTGTTTCTTTTTCGCTAATCTTGATAGAATTTCTTCTTTAACTCTTTTCAAATTCTGTAAACGATTCCATTCGGTCTCTTTAGCTTCCAAGATTTCATTTAAAGTTTGTATGTCCAGCATCAAACGTGTCATCTTTTCATCAATTGCATCTAATGTGGTACTGTTATGTTTCACGTGATTACCAATAACTTCGTCGAATTTTGGAAACATTTCATTAATTTTTCTGTATAATTGTGTAGATGATGGTCGCTCTGGCTGATGTTTTTTGTTTTCAGTGCAATCACTTTCCGCTGGAGGTGTGGGTGAGCGTGCACGCTTTTGAGATTGTTGAGTTTTCGTTTCTACAACTGGCTCCTAAAAACATATTAATTTACATAAATGATTAGAGATTCACTATACTAAATTTTAAATACCTCTACTTTCGGTTTTTCATCCACCACAGATATTTGTTTAACCGCTATATCGATCTGTTTTTCCTGCAATTCCTTTTCCTTTCCGGAAACTTCTTTTGGCTTCTCAACCGGTACTGGTTTTGGTTTTTCAATAAGTAATTCTTCATCCTCATCTTCGTCATCTTCAACATTTTGCTTACTCTCTTCTTTACTCTCATTTAGAACACTAGACTCAACGTCCGATTCATCTAAATCTATAGTTTCTGATAAATTATTTGTTAACTTTACTTCTTTCTGAAGAACATTAGTTGAGTTATATGATCTTTCACGATTTTGAGATTCCAAAACAGCTGCATCTTTACTTTTCAAACATAGCAAATACTGTTTACTTTTTTCTCGTTTGGCCTTACCACTCAGCCTAGTAGTTAAATGAATAATATTAAAAAAAAAGTTAGATATATGTATAGGTGTTTTCTAATTCAGTAAATACCATTTCAACGCTTTTGATTTATATTTGCTACATAATTTTCTCTTAAACGGCAGTCTTGGTACTTTTTTAATAGTCCTTGAAGCCGACGCTAATTCGTATAAACGATCCACATTCTTGGGCTTACTTTTGGCCTGCTGAGAACTAATAGCAACATTCATAAGTTCATCATCATCCTCGTCACTATATTCATCACTGCTTATAAGGTTCTCTGTATCGTCGTATATATCCAAGCTCGACATTTTTGGAAGCCTAAAAAAATAAATAATTATACAAATGGTTATTCTCATTGATATCAATTGTTCAAAGTTTACGCGTTCAACGAAATAGCCCTTTCTTGCTTATAAGCTTACAAGAAAACAACGACCTTTATTCACGCTTGCCAGAGGCTTGGGTTTGCAGCCGGCTTTGTGTAAAAAATTCGTTGATTTTCTCTTATGCCTGCACATTTAACTCAACCATATAATACAAAGTACTTACAAATGAGATTTGACCTTGTAGCAGAAATAGTTTTAGATATTGTTAACGCCAATATGATAATTTTTTATAAAATTCACCTTCATTAATAAAAAATCTGCATTTGCAATTAATTACAACAGGGATGACAATAGCATTTCTGTGAAATCGTTTGTGAGCTGTGTATATCGTACTTTTTTCAGGGTTGCCTGTTGGCTTTTTCAAACATCGGGTTAACTGCTAAGATCCCGTAGTATTCATTCACTCGCGAAAAACCTTATTACAAGCTAAAAAGTTCTTTATTAATTATTGCTAAAGTCACAAGTCACTTGATATGTTAGAAAATAAATAATAATAAGTTATATTTATTACACATTTAAAATAAAATATATAGGTAGAAAATGAATGTAAATTAGTATGAAACATAACCATGATTTATAGGCAGGGGAGGAAAGGATCAAAGGACCAAGTAGTTCAAAAACAATTCCTGAACAAAATATAACGACACACGACATAAATTAGAGGGATCGTTGGTCGGAAATCGCATTTAATAAAAATTAATCATTATTTACCTACTTTAATTAAATTACAATTAAAAAAAAACCCTACTGGTTAGGGGTTCAAGAACTTACCCGCTGTAAGTCACGCCGGTCGTAGAAGGCGGCTATAATCCAATAGTTCCCATCGAGCAGTCGGGTTATACCGAAAGGACTCGTATTTTCACCGGTCAGGGATTGTCACTACCGCAACATTCCTGTAAAAACTACTTGGGGAGTATTTATGCGGTTACAACAAAAACAACAGACATCGAGAAATAGTGTGAAAAATTCATCATTCCTTGGCCAGGGAGTAAGAGGGTAAATGAAAAGAAGAAGCAGTCCCAGATAGCTCTTTTAAGTAAAATTCGAAAGGAACCATAATACTTTTGATTGCGGACATTTATCTCTTGAATTGTATATTTAGTCTTGGCACACGTACATATGTATGTGTATTAAACTTGTTTACATTGAAACTTATACAGTTATTTTTCTGATATATGGATTTTTTATTGTCAAATCGGTTATTTTATTATCGATTAGTAGTAAGTCAGATCGATAGATCGACATAAAAATGCAACTCTGTTGAAACCACTTAATCACTTTGACGATTACGACTTTCGAACAACACCTATTTGTCATTGCTAGATTGGTCATTGTAATTTTTATTTGAGCATTGTTTCGATACAAAAATAAATTAATAATTTCTTTTTGAAATGACATCGTATGTGCGAGCAATGTACGATTTCTCTGGAGAACCAGGTTCTTCAGAGATTTCAATAAACGTCGGCGAAGTCCTGGCAGTAACTCGGACAGACGTTGGAGAAGGTTGGTGGGAGGGGAAGAATAGTCAAGGAAAAGTTGGTCTTTTTCCAGCAGCTTATGTAGAGGTAATGTCGGCCGCTGAAGCACAGAAACACAATCATCAACCTGCTGTTAGCAGTCCTGTCGCAGTTGCTACAGCAGCGACAGCTGTCACAGGAGACTCAACGACTCGCTACGATCAAACTGCTGATGAATACGACGACTGGGAAGATGACTGGGATGATGATAATGATACTTATTCAGAAATTGGACCCAGTGGCGCAGCTAAAACAAACAATCATGCTCCAACTGCTACTGCACTTTCACATTCCGCTAGCAATTACGATAATAAAAATCTGCCTGCAGCACCAATGGATGATACTATATCATTGGCCTCAACAGCTGCGCCGAGCAATACAACAACATTAAAAAAATCTGGCATGTTCGGTAAAAGTTCCGATTCATATATACTGGGTTTAGGAAATAAGGAAAAACTTTCGGATCATGAAATTGTTCACATAGCATATGTCGATAATTTCTGTTATTGGCAAACAAATCACCAGCGCTATAGCGTCATTGTAGCCAGTCCGAAGAAAGAGACCAAATTTAAAGGAATGAAAACATTTATTGCATACCAGTTAACGCCTAGCTTTAATAATATATCTGTAAGTGCGATAAAATATTTGCTACTAAAAATAAAATAATTTTACAGCTTTCAAATTTTATATTAATGCCGATGACATATACATGCATTTTTTACATTTTATTGCTATGTTTCTATGTTTGCAGGTGTCAAGACGATACAAACATTTTGATTGGTTACACGAACGCTTGGTGGAGAAATTTTGTCTCATTCCCATTCCACCACTACCAGACAAGCAAATATCCGGCAGATATGAGGAGCAATTCGTGGAGCACCGGCGCGTGCAGCTGCAAGAGTTTGTCGATTGGGTGTGTCGTCATCCTGTATTATCACAATGCGAAGTGTGGCATCATTTTTTGACCTGCAATGATGACAAAATGTGGAAATCGGGCAAAAGGAAAGCCGAACGTGACACATATGTTGGTGTCACATATTGTTGGGCTATTTCACCACCAGAGAAAACTTTATTGCCATCTTATGTTGACGCGCAAATGGAGAGTTGTTCACTATTCGCACATACAATGGACATTGCAGTACGGAATCTTTTGGCATTATCAAATGATACGACAAAACGTTATCAAACACAATGTAAAAAAGAATTCCAACGTATCGGTGATGGTTTGTCAGATTTGGCCAAGGCTTTAAATATTGACGAACGTCGGGCTCCATCAAAATCAACTGCGCTTTCGGAAAGTGTTGGGCGTGTGGGGGGCATTTTCATTGGTATTGGACAATTGTTTGGAGATCAGCCAAAATTAGACTGGATACCTTTTTCAGATCGCTTGCATATCTATAGGTAAGTAGAAGTAGAAAATGCTTTTTTAAAGATTTTTTAAGTTTCAAGTTTATATACTTAAATCATAAAATACTCTAGAAGTAGGGATAATATGATATTAATTAAATTTTTGAAGGTAATGAAATTTCAGTCATAGTTATCGCATTTGCATTTCGAAGCTTATCTCATGTCATATATATATATATATGTATGCATAAACATGTTTACATACTTATCATTCCAAATCTTTTAATTCATTTATCATCACTTACTTTCAAAATCATATCTATTAGTATCTGCATATACATACATACATATATGTTTAATATTTTTCGTTAAATATCCTCATTTAATTTTTTTTCAGAGGTGTTCTCAACAGTTTTCCGGACATCCTTTCAACACACAAAGGTGCAATGCAAAAACGAAAAGAATGTGAACGTTTGACCGCCGAACAAAAGATGAGTAATGCTCAAATGACCGATGTGAATCGTCGTACCGATGTTATATCCTATGCTGTTATGGCTGAAATGTCGCATTTTAAAGAAGAGCGTGATACGCACTTAAAACAAGCGCTAAAATCATTTATTGAAGAACAAATTAAATTTTATTCTAATGTCGTTAATCGACTGCAAGAAGCTTATCGTCAATTTGACTAGTTTACTAATTACTGCATTGCTGATCCCTAAGCCATGGCCGCTTTTTTGTGCTTTAGCGTATGTATGCATGTATGTATGTATAAGTGTATTAGAATTCACGACAATAGCTACAGTAATAGAAACATAGCACAACAAACTATCTAAAACAAGTTTCATATCTTCATCAAATTGTAATTTCATCGGCGATAACGTAAGTGCCCAAGCTGGAAAGGCGTCAAATATTAGTGCTATTTCATGTGAAGAATAAACGTCAAGTTAACAAACATAAATTATTGTGGCACTAGAAGCAAAAATATATATATTAAGTATAATATACATACATAGTTTCTATATATAAAGAAAAGAATTTTAATTTACAAATACATAAAATGTGATTATATTCGCTTATTCAAATTTTCTACTGCAATCTTATGATGTACACATTAGTATATACACATGTATGGCAATTTACTTTTATACATGCATTTACGTCTTGGGTACTTTTGTTCTATATCGACTCAATTATTGTATTTCCTCATTTATAGTATTTTATGTATTGTGAATATTATCTAATTTGTGCATACTAAAGTGTTAAATATTATATATTTTATATGCAAATATACAAGTTTACACAAATAATTTCAAGTTTTATAATCGTGTTTTGTTATCTGATCGTGTAACGAAGCCCTGATTCGCCGACTTCGCTGTCCAACCAAATATCTTTAGATACCATGTCTTATTGTCGACAAAAGATCAACCTCAAAGATTTCCATCTCGAGAGACGATGGGCCGACTATTTTCTAACCTTTCGTTTGATGCAGAGTATTTCAAGACAAGAAACCCCTTCCTGATGAGCTTAGGTTCAGTGGATGTCTGCTGCGATGACCCCAATGGTAGAATTCTAGCAGATATTATTTACACTGCTCAACATTATTCTCCTTAACTGCGAGCATCACTGTGTAAGAGATGTACAGGTGTCACTAGGAGGTATTCCGTTTCGGTCCTTAGTGTTGTAGATTCTCTATCTGTGTCTCGCTACTCCCTTGTGTACAAATCGGTGCAGTGTAATTGATATCCGGCCGGTCAATTACCTTGGATACTGTTGGGAGCAATGTTTCTTCGTATATTCGGAAATTCGAAAATTTCATCAATGATTATCGAGCACACAGGTAATTTATGACCCAACTCTTCAAACCCGACGGTAAACAGCCTTTCATAATGTCCGATAATGGCACTGCGTGATTGACCGCGTCAAAGACTTTTGGTCAAGATCGTGGGAAATCCTGATGTGTGGGACGTTAAGTGCGGTTCTGGTGGTGAGGACAGTGTGTAAGTCATGCTTATGTAAAGGTAATAAGCAACCAGACCTCTTGTCGGTTTTTGTGGGAGTTGTCAGTGGCAGATTGAGGATTGGTAAATAATTCTACAACCGCTGAAACAAGATATTTTAGCATAAGCAAACTTATTGTTGTTGTTGTAACAACAAAAATATTCTTCAAAGCCGTCTTTGGCCGGATAAAAATCCGTGTCAACTGCCTCGTTCGTCTCGGGATCTTTTGAAGTTTCGTCACCTCTTAAGGCAGGCATGTTTTACTGCGTGAAATATTTTGAACTCCTACCACGAAGGGTTAAAACATGCTTACTTCTCGGTGTCGATGATCTCTTGGGATTTTTGCTTTACTCTTGTTGTTGCAATCAGTTTTTTTTTTATATGAAGTACAGAGAACTTACTCATGCAGATCTAAATTTTATTGAAAATTAAAACTCGGATACATATATGGTTGGATTGGACTCAAGAAGAAAAATGTCGTGTTCCAGTTGACGCAATTCCTTTTCCAAATTTGACTTTCGTAAACGCTTCGAAATGGTATCAATTAGTAAAGAACCAGCCTGATAAGCTTTGAATACGTCATTAAAATGTTGCTTAAGACCCTGGGAAAGAGTAAAGCATTTGAGTCGTTGTTTCACAGGGGACTACAGGTCATCTCTCTTACCTTTAATATGTTATCTCTTTCTTCAATTGGCAGTTGACGTATGCGAGCCTCGTTCAATTTGCAACGTTCTGCCAATTGAATTTGCTCCTCCTTACATGTGTCCTGTTTGCCCGTCAATGCTTTCTTCTTTAAACGCAAATAGCATGGTACTTTTCCGTAAGCCTCGGAGCATACATATTGCGGTATCAAACCGGAATTTTTCAACTTACGTGGCGTGCCTGTATGAAAGTCAATATATTGCGGTGTATGCCATTTCGCTGGTGCGTTCTTTATGCAATTGACATTCTTCTTAATAAAATTGATATTCTTCTTTTCTTTGTCACGGTTCTGCTTTTCCCTTCTTAGGTCTTCAACTCGAGGCACTGGCGCTACGCCACACAATTTGGGGCAGGTGTGGTCACGTTTGCGTTGCCACTTTACGCCACCGTTCTTACGTAGGAACTCACAAGGCTCATTCAGTGGCGTCTCACTGTAGCCCATGGTCTTGTGCTCGCCCCGCTGAGAATCCGTTAACAACCTCTTTCCATCCGGCAATTTCACAATGGCGTTAACATTCTCCTTCTTCTTTGCAGTGCGCTGGGGCCTTGCAGTGAAGCTACTTTTAAGAAACTGATAATAGTCGGAAGTACTTTCAATGTTTTTGATATTCTCATAGTGGCGTGTTATATAGACCAGTGACATGATGAGCCCGTTGAATTTTTTGATTTATATAGTAATTAAGATCGTTTTTTTCTTCAAATTATTATTTATAAGAACTAAGAGTTTTTTTAAATTTTTTTTTTTGGAGATAAAAATTTTTTAAAATATATGTATGTACATATGTGACTCACTCACTCACTCTTTGAAGGCTTGAAATGATTTGTAGTTTTATCCAATTTGTTGCCAAAGCGTTGAAATTTTTTTTGTTTCGAATGTGTTGTTAGGGCAAGTAAACAAATTTGTTGTTTGATTCAAAATAAAGGGCGTTCTTTGTTGCCTCGAGACTGAAAACTGAAGTGAAGCACCGCTAGAGCGAAAGCAGAGAGATAGAAAAGACTATTATACATATGTATGCCCTGCCTGATGGGATTCAAGAATTCCCTCGCGGTGGGGCATGCAGAGGAACGACACACGCCACCTCTTCGTCGCTTTTAAAGGAGCATTTTCGATGCAGTACGCGTCAGTCGAAGCAGAGGAAGATGAGGACCTCCACTCCTTTGGAAAACCCAGATGGGGAGGGACCCGATTATAATCGAAACCAACCGTAAGAGGTAATTAAAATCTAATAGTTTCCATCACAGACGCATCGCTATACTGAAGCGACCCGGAATTCTTTCCGGCTAAGGATTGTTACTCCCGCAAAACTTCCTCAAAAACAACAACAATGAAGCACACGCTCGTAAAGTATATCGGAGTCAAGTCAGATTATGTCGGAGCTGAGTCTACTATAATATCCAGATCATAATTGTGTCAGTATTAAACGGGTTTCTCTTTGTCTGTTATGGGTAATGGTTGGTTGCCATCATTCACGGGGAAAAAGGCTTACAAAGATGTTAACGGACTCTTTGTGAATTGCGTGGAGCTCGTTATACTGTGTACTGCTTTCCTCATGCGCCTGGGTGGTGCATCGACCCCATCATTCCTGTTGAGCATACGGTACAATGGATTGAACTAGAGACAACATCATGTGTCGGTATTACCAGATTTCGGAAGAAAGGTTATGTGAAGGATTCATGAAGCCTTGCGGGTTATGTAGTCAAACTCAACTTCAACTTGATATTGATACATTTCTCCGACTGAAGTATGGTTACCATCGCATAGGTACTCTTGCGGCTCTAATAGAGTGGGTAGCAATGCGTGCAACCAATTGGAGGATCATAGACTTAAGTATTTGGCAGGCTTCTAACGCTACCGTCACTCATGGTTGAATATGGGGCATTTTTTCTGTGGCACGAGGCATGGCAGCCAAGGAAAAAGCCCCTGGGACGGAGTTTTGACTTTCGTCTGTATCTAATTTTTACTGCTAGCTGTTTTTTGTTTTAAGCTAAAACGTCTCAGCATCTGTGCGTGCATCACTTCCAGTTTCTTCGCCTTCATTGCCTTCGAGGTGACGCCAGCATCCAAATCTTTTGTGTTAAAGTAGTACTGCCTTCACTGTCACTTAGGTACGCCATGGTCGTCTAATATCTGACAACTTCTCCCTGCCCTACCTACTATGGAGTATACCTTTGACATTTTTGTAGAACTGAAGTGCAAGGGCAACTAGCAGCTACAATAACCGGTCATTGGCTCTACGGAACAGCCGTTGCGAAACAGAAAGGAAAGGAATACGAAAACAATTATCCAGTTTCTGTCAGTGCACATCCATCATATTACGATCTATGCATGTTCAAAGCGAGCGAATGCGAAAGTACCTCCTTCCACGATTAAGTATATGTTTTGGCCAGAAAAATCGCACATCAGATAACCAAATGAGACCATGCGTAACGTGGCTTGCCAAATATGACCAGCTTAGAAAGTAGAAGATCCCGACATTTACTATAGATGACTGATATAGCCCGCTCTTAAGCGGGGTTAGCGAGCCGCTACAAGAACGACAACAGCTTACTGACCGTCTTTAAACGGCATTCACCTAGGGTCCGTCAACATCTTAATGAACTCTCATCCACAATCCAAGCACCAGCTTTTCAACGAACAGCTCGAGCTGTCTCGAGAAACCCGAATACTACTGGCAAAATTAAGATTTGGACTTTGCAATCGGCTTTATTCCATCCATATGCAGACTTGACCACACGACAGTAAACTCATCCGCACCTGTTTGACGAAAGAGCTAGTTTTCTGGACTCAATGAAAAAATCGATCGAAAAAATTGATTTTTTATAGTAGCTTCAAAAAGCAAGTTGGTAGCCATTAAGTTTTCGAAACTAGAAAACCACGAGAACTTGTATCCGCACACCAATAGCATTGAAATGCCAGAGGTAAAATACAGCGTCTCAATATCTGTTAAGGGGTAAAGCCACTCTATGATTTTGAAAAAGCTGTTTTTTTTTGTTTGCTCACAGGCTACGTTTGGGTCCTCCTAGAAATGATATCCGATTGGTTTTAAAGTGAAAAAAAATACTTTAAATAGCTCAAATTTTTATTTTTCTGCTACGCTGAGCACAATGAAAATTTTAAACGTGTTTTTCTCAAAATCACATATTTCAAATGGGTGGACAGCTTATTCGGACTCTATTGCATCGATTTATCTGAAATTTTGATGGTAGCTTCACAATAAATTTTTTGGAAGTACGTAGCCGTTTTTCGATTAAATGTAAACTTTTTTTTTTAATAATTTAGTGCGTGTTTTTTAGTCAAAAATCAATCTTTTTTAAAAAAGTTGTGCCGCTTCACAAAAATTAGTTAAGAAAATAAATTCGTATGTACTTCCAAAGATCACAGTTTGTAGATCACAAAACTTTTTGCTTTTCTGTTCTAGGTCTCATACTTTAGAAGACATCGGTTCTCCTGTGGACGCCTTAAAAAAAAACATGGTTTAAATAATGGACTTTGTCATCGCCATTTTGTTACAAAACAATAATTATAGACTATTTTTTTGAAGCATAAGTATATATGTTCAATGAAATGGTTAAATAGAAACTCTATTTTTTCCCATATTCCTACAATAAATTTTTAAAACGGAGTATACTTTTCAACCTCTAGAATGACTTTACTCCTTAAGCTTAAAATATTTTTGTGACCGTTTAAGCAATTTCCGGCAATTTCTACTAATGGAAGAACCTTCCATCTTCTTGAAATACAATCAACAATTAATTTGTCATTCTTCCTTGTATATTCTCCAGCATCTGCGTTACGTAGATATCTATTACTATTGCTACCCTCATCAAAAATGTCCGCACACTATTGTTGCTGCTTATAAAAATAAGCAAAAAAAAACAAACGCTTTCGTTTCCTTTTTCGTTTTTAGTATTTATTTATACATTTTCAAATTAAAAAAGAAAAAAGCATACAATACATTGTATGGGCATTTTGTTCTTATTACTATTTATCTCGCAGCTAAATGCATTGATCCAATTATATATATGTATATACAGAGAAGATCGCTTAATATGATTTTTACATGATGCTAGTATTTACGTTATAAGTTCCTTTTTTTTTTGTTTGTTTGTTTGTTGTTAATGTATTGAAGTGGATGTGGATTAAATGAAAAACATTTCTTAAATCTATACATATTATATTAAATCTATATGTGCTCTTTCTAAACAATATGTGCATAATACGTAAATACTTACATACATTATGCAACAATTATAACTCTATTTACAAGATCTTTCATTATATGTAAGTGTGCTCCAGCACTAAGCAAGTAATATATAAATATTCATATGTCTGCGGAGTGGCATTTTTTTTCAGTTTTATTTTTTTCTTTTTCAAAGTATGCTGTTATTTCAGTTTCAGTTTCAGTTTTGACTAACCACAGTTTCACGGAAATTTTTAATTTTTTGCACAAAGTATGCTTCCAAGGTTTCAGCGCATTTATAAAACGATGAATCTTTTGGATTATAGTAGCGGCAGTTGTCGAATATTTTTGTCATATCACCAATAAATTCTGATAATTTTGTGTAAACGTTTGTATCCAGTTTATTTTCAATTTTTTGTAGATCTAAATATTGTAAAAAATTAAATAAAATAAAATAATTAAATTTATTAATAAACAAATAATAATTTTAAGAGCAGAAAATCATTTTACACCTACCCATGGGTTCTTTAATGACTTTATAATAGTCTGGCGCTTCTTCCGGATCCACCGGCTCCATAAAAGGCCATGCACTTTTGTGTGCCTGCAATAGTAATAATATAATAATAAGCGCGCAAATTAACAATGACATGCATGAGAGAAATTTCATTTCATTTGTTTTCATTATTACCTGTATTTGTTTGATCAGTTTCTTCAGTTCGATCGTCTCATTTTCAGCTAAATTCTTCATATTCGCAATATTCACCGAATTGTTACGTTGACACTGTGGGCAAATGTATTCGTCGATGAATTCAGCTTCGCTCTGCACTATACCCACACAGCGTCCATGGAACCAATCTTGACATTTATCACAACATATATAGAATTGTGACTCGTCATATGGTTGGCGACACGAACAATATAGTTCTTGGGTCTCGCGTGCACGCTTGCAATCATCGCATATGAATTCGGATAGCTTTTTAGATGCTTCCTCCGTTATGTTAACACAATCACCGTGGAACCAGTTACTGCACAAATCGCAGCCAACATAGAATCTATTATGGAAGGAGGAAATTATGGAAATTAATATTTTAGATTGATGAAATGATGAAAAATAAGCGATATAAAATAACATTATTTCAATCGAAAAATATTTTTTATTGTATTTCTTTTTTGTTTTTGCAATTAAATGACTCACTTTGTATCATCGTATGGTGTGCGACAAATGCAATACAATTTTTCTTTCTTTTTGTTGACTTTCTTTTGTGATTTGCCATGAAGACTTTTGGACGGTGTCAATGCTGGCGTGTGTGGTGTGTTCGGATTCTTCAATTGCTTAGATGGTCTGAAATTTTTAATTAAAATTTGATGTTTATAATATTCTTTGAAGTAGAATTTTTTTTATTCAAAATTAAATACATATGTTTAGCATATATATGTAAATGAGGACAGAGATTTGGCGCACCATGACTAATATGAATATCTTATCAGCAGAATTCCAATATTTTTTAATACTGAAAATTGTTTTTCATGTAGTTAAATATAGTGCATCATTGTCTGAAAACTTCGTTTACCGCAATATTTGTTAAAAAATATATATTTCCGGGTTCTAAAGCAGACTATTGCCTCAAATATAAACTTCTAAAAAGTAATTGTTAATAATTATTAAAATGTATGTAGTACTCACTTTCTGACTTCATTAGTTATTAAACCGCCACTGGTAGTAGTGCCGCCACCACCACCACCGCCGCCAGCACCAGCACCCGAAGTGTTACAGAATTTTTTATTTGTATCCTTTTCGGTGGAACTCAATAACTCATTATTCATCTCTTCTTTAATTTCATGTTGTAAATTACGCTCCAAAAGAGAACGCTTCTTCAAAATGCTTTTCTTCAAGAGATCTTTATGACGCTCTAGCGACTGCTGTAATAAGAAAAAATAGAGGAAAAAATTCAAATTTAAAATTGAATATTAAAAATGCATAGCACGTGCTAATGAAATTATCACCTGTAATGCGCATATGTATAAAGTAAATGACTAAATATTAATTTATGAAATTCGTACGCGTATTTGAAATCGAATTTTAAAATATGAATAATTTATTTCAAAAAAAAAAAAAAAAAAAAAAAAAAAAAAAAAAAAAAAAAAAAAAAAAAATGCAATATTTATGTTAAATGAATATTTCATATTTCTGTGGAATAACAATAAAATACCACACGCACACCAAACTATGTATGTGGTTGTTATAGCGGTTCGCTACACCAAACTATGTATGTATGTGTATATATGCTTACATTTAATGCTTGATTACGTTGTTCATTATCATCGAGCAACAACAAATCGCTACGTTTAGCACCACCACCATCGCGAAGTATATTATTTGTAGTGTATGTATTAATGACATTCTGATCGGCAATTATATTATTCGTATTTGACTTTTTCGGTGTACGCTGCTGTTGCTGGTGCTGCGGCTGTATCCAGTCACCGTTCTCATTTTTAGTTTTGTACAGGTGTCGCTTTCTAATTGCTACACCACCGCTACTAACCGGCGTACCGATTATTTGTTGCTTCTGTTGTTGTGTTGATTTTTTATCTTGTTGCTGCTGCTGTTGTTGTTGCTGCTCATTGCTGTGTACTAAATTTATATTGGAGCTGCCTTTAGTGATTACCTTTGTGTTGTTAGCTTTTTGGAGTGCACATAAAGGTAAAATTATTAGAAATATATATAAAAAGTAATTATTTAATGAAAAGTGTGGTTGATAAAGAGTTGCAAATAAAAAATAAAATAAAATAAAAAAAGGTAAAAGGGATAAATAAACATTTTAATGAGAACAGTATTTTTTTTTTTTTTTGACTTGTTCACGACAACCGGCTGGCTTGTTCTGTACAGAAAAACACGTCTTGGAAATTAAATTTCTTTTCATCTTGATTATGAAAAAATATTGTTTATTTTAAAGCTGTATCTCCTGCACTGCGCACAACTATATGAAAGGTCATGGGTTCGAGCAACGGTCGATTTCTTTGGAAATTGTCAATTCTTTCGAACTTACGAAGGGTGTTAAGAACAACGTTAAATTTTCCGGATCCAAATTTTGCATAAAAAAAAAAAAACGAAAAATGCGTGTGAAATGTTAGTTAGCAAAGACCTAACGTGAGTCTGCTATGAGTAAAGGAAAAAGTTCACGTATACTATAAGAGTTTTCAAATAGGCAGGGAGAACGTTGAACGCCGTGGAGCACACTTCCGTACATCAACAACCGAACGAATTTATTATAAGCCAAATCTTAATTAGAGAAGTGACTGATAATGTTGGCACATCGATTGGATCATGACAAAACGGTTTTACCAATTGTCTGGGGTATGAAGTGAGTGGCATCAAAATTCGTTTTTTTTTTTTTCGAACAGAAACAGCGGCGAATAAAGATTGCTCAGGAGTCACAAATGAGATCAACAACGATGCAGTATTACTGAAACGATTACGGATATGACGCCGAAACTAAGGACTTAATAATTGCAGTGGAGGCATTCTGACTCGCTAAGACCGAAAAAGGCTCTACTACATGTTTGTGAATTATTGATCGAGAACATATTGTACCGAAGCCACAGTTTACACATTCTCCAGATATGGCTGCATCTAACTTTTTTTTTTGTTTCCAAAAATATAGATAATATTAAAAGTACATCGCGGAAAGAAAGAGCTAAGACTATCTCAAAGATCAAGTTTGGCTGATGGTTCGGTGATTCAAAGAAGCGCATAATATCTAATGTGGACAATTTTAAAGGCATATATGTATAAAATGAGCACATTATAACCGCTGAAAAGCTTTTTGGCCGAGCTCCTTGTATTTGTGATGTGATTCTTGATCTTTTAGCCACAAATGAATTTATTCTAAATAACTTCCTCAAAGCTGATGAATTTTTATCTTAGGGAGGGATTGAAGGGCGAAGACAATTACAAAAATTAACTTTTCTGATTGTTCTTATTGTTTATATCATAACTTTTTTACTTATAAGTTAGTGAGCTTTGCTTCGAGGGACCTTTTTTGTTTGTATGAATTGAATATTTGTTTTACAACATAGGAGTATGATAAGAGTTTCAGCGCGGTTTTGGAGATGAGATGTATCCTCTTGAGACTTCTTATGGCAGGTATAGAACCAACAGTTCCTGACTAAGCATGCGAGGGCTCTAACCACGCAGCCAAACGTCGGACTTGCAGTGTCTGCTGGTGGTGGTTTTTATAGATACATATACAAATGTATGAAGACTTTTCTCTCTACTTGCTAAACCTTTTACCCAAAGTACACAATCTTAAGAAAAAATCCATTCGTGTAGCACAAATAAGCTGTACATGAAAGTAAGAACTACCCCGTTTTCAAATGTTTAATCAAACGAAAAAGTTGAAAGAAAAATCTCTCAAAACAAATTTTTTAAGCAAATATTTATAAAAATTGGCGCAAATCAGGAAAAAATGAGGCAAAATAAAAATGAAGTGATTTTCAGTAAAACAAAAATAACAAGCAGTAGGTAGTAGGGAATTTTTTTTTAAATGGACTTACAGATTTGTATAAATCCTGGTGAAGTAACAATCAAATCCTGAGTTCCAACACCCGCACTAGGACTACTACTTATTACTGTGTTATTCCCTTGGGGTAATTGTTGAATTTGATTGTCTTGTAATAAATCTGATTTATCTTGGTTTTTTGTTGTTGCATCAATTGTTTTATTGCCGGCGACATTTTCAACATTACTGCTACTACTTTGTTCAGTCACCGTTGTCTTAGCTAGGAAGGACGCCTGAAAAGCGATACAACAATTATGAATTTATATGAAGTTGAGAATTTAATATAGACAGGCACAGAAAATTTCTAGAAAGGAGGAACACAAAATATTAAAGTATTTTTTTTCACTAAAACTTGTTTCAAAATTTCAATGCAAATGTGAAAATTAAAATCATAAAAAAAAAAAATTTAAAATAGTACATTTTCTACAAAAAGTTATTTTCATATATGGTGGAAAAAAATGCAAAATGTCATACATACATGTATAAAAAGGAGATTGTGTGATATAGCAGTAGTTAGTTATCGGCGCACCTACCTTGTATACGTAAAAGATCAGTTGTAGTACTTATTCCAGGAAACCTTTAAGAAAGTTTTCGAAGAGATTAACAACAAACATGACTTGAAAAAGCAGCTTTTTTTTGGTGTATTTTCTATTTTTTTTTTTTTTGGTTTTTTTCCGTTTCATTTCACTTAAATTTTTATAATTGTTGTATTTGAGTTAAAGAAATCAAACAAAATTAAATTTCGTTGTACATTTTGCAATTTAAATGCGCGCAGCAGAGCAAATGAGAACGAAGTGATTGTAAAAATTGGTTTTTTCTTCTTTTTTTTTTAGAATTTTGCTTTTGATTAGATGAGATGATTAATTTATGGATAAGCCTTTGTGTTTTAGTTTCTTTTTCTGTAATATTAATTTCATTTTTATACTTAAATATACCTTTCAAAAATTCTTGAAATTATATTTTTTAAATGCAGTAATTGCTTTTTTTAATTGCACTTTTTGACTGCTCTTTGCCGTCATGGTTGGTGTTTAGTTAATCTCTTCAATTTTTGTTTACTTTACTTTTTTTTTAAAGATTTCTTGAATGGCCACATTGTAATTTGGATATAATTTTTTGAAGTTTAATGTGTTATAGAACACAAAACGCCGATTCCTCTTTTATTTGCAATGTTGTATGACCCTTAGTAGCATTTTGCATTTTTTTTTTTTTTTACAAATTAATAACAATTACACAATTATTTTCTTTTTTTTTTTACAATTTTAGCGAGCGCTTTTTGTCAACACAAAGGCCAATTACAAATAATCATCCAACTAATCCGAATATAAGTGCTTTTTTCATATTTTGTTTTACATATTTCCAAAAATTTACAATGCGAATGTTTTTCTTTCATTTACTAATTCTTTTTTGTGCTCAGATACAACAAATAATTTGTGGACACAGTAATAAAATGCATGTGTGCGACACAAAAATACTGTTTTGCCTCGAGTCTTTTTCAGTTAAAATAACAAAACATTATTAATTTCTTCTTTTTTTTTTGTTTTTTAATATTTACAATTTTTCTTTTATTAACAGTATTATTAGTTTAGTTTCATTCATTCATTTAGTTTAAATATTCTACACTTTATATGTGTGATTATTTTCACTTTTTTAGTTTTTTTTTTATTTAATTACTAAGAAAACCAAAATATGTGAAAATTACAATTAAAAACAATTTTCGGTACTATTAAGTCAATTTATTGCAAAAAGCGCTTTACATTACAAAACGATTTGATACTTTAAGGCTTAAAATTAAAAGTAATAATAATTAATAATAATTTTTAATGTAATTAACAATGGAAATAATACATGAAAAATAATATAGCATATATAATTACTAGTTAAGTGTATTGAGTGTGAATATAAAATGTATGCATTTTGAGGTTGTTTTCTGGGTGATGATAGTGCAATGTGGTTACATTTGTAATGTAAAATTTTGGTTTTTTTAACTAAAAAAAAAAAAACAACACAAAATTTGGACAACTATTCAGTTTTCCCTTAGCGAATTAAGCATGTGCACAATATGAGCATGTTGTAATACTTTGCTGTCATAACTAAAAGCCTACGCCGGGAAATATTTAGTTTATTGAATTTATTAATTTAAATTGAGTAGGTATTTAGGATTTTTGCTGTAATATTTCACATAAATGCTGATTTTATTCAGTTATTGAATTGGAATAAGAAGTAGATTAATTAATTTTGACCAGAAAATATGTTTATGTAAAAAGCTGCATTTTCTTACAGCATAAATAACAATAAACATTATTAAATGCGCAATATTGCCTACGGAAAACTATTTCCCCTTCGAAATAAAAAATACCTAAATTCCACAACCAATGGGTTGAAGAGACTTGTTGTAGATTTTTGTTCATATTTTTTTTTTTTTTTGTATTTTTTGCAACGCAATATTTGCTTATTTATTCGTGTTTGTGGAATGTTAATTGCCTCAGCTTCTAAATTTCGCATCATTACTTTGCACGTCTTTACAGCGAAACTAATTAAATAGTCTTACTATTTTCTATACTTTTTTAAATTAAGTAGTTTGTTTTAGTATTAAATTTTAACTTAACGTAATGTTTGAATTAGTCTCAAAACAATTAGCATATAAATTATATGCTTTATTCTATTTGAATTTATTATATTATTAATGTTTTAGTCCAGTGTAGTTTTTATTTCGTTATGCTATTGATTTCTTTAATCAACTTTAGGCCTTTGCAGTAATTGTTTATGCATAAATTAATATGTATACGTGTTTGTAATAAATAATAAAACACTAATGTCTGTTTATGTAATAATACTAGTAAATTATATATATATATATATATGTAGGTATAATTGCTAAAGTGAAAAACTTTTACACTTAAAAATTAATAATTTTTATACTTCTTGTTTAAATTAACCCCTTCCGTTTTTTTTCTTTAAAATTGTATTTCTGTTTGTTCAACAACTACTCACTTGTTGATGTGTAGATTGATGTACGGGTGTTAGTGGGGGTGGTTGAGAATTCAAACCCGCGTTTGGCGGTTGAACAGCCAAGTAGATTTTAGTTGGTCCTAGCACACCTTGTTTGCCGCTGGATTCTTGAGCTACAAAAGAGAAGAAGAAAATAAATTATTTATATATTTTAATAAGAATTATTTCGTGATAGAGAAACAAATATATAAAAAATACTTAAGATTTATTTTAATAAAAAAAAAAACACTCAATTATAAGAAATTCTGCTGAGAGTATGTAGTATATCCAAAATTATTTATTAATTAATACCTTTTAAAAGCTGTTGCTTCACTTGCTGTTGCACAAGCGCCAACTGTTGTTGCGTGAAATCATTGCCAACTAAGCCTTGCAACACTATACGTGGACCTTGTTCCGTTTGTATGACCTGTGCGGTGACACATTTGATAACAGTCCCTGGCGGCTGGCCCTGCAGTAAGCTCTCCTCAATGGACATCTGTTTGGTAGGTGTTGCCACAGTCGTCTGCTGATGTTGTTGCTGCACAGTTTCTTGTTGCATATAAGTAGTTTGCTGTTGTTGGGTTACATGTTGCTGCTGTTGTTGTTGTTGTGTAACAGTTGCACGTTGTATTACTTGCTGTTGTTGAACTTGTGGTTTTTGTTGTATTTGTTGCACAACTGCGGGCGCTGATTTTTCTGGTGAACCTTGCGGCGTTTCCAAAGTACTATTGGTTATAATGTGCGCATTACCATCACTTTGCGTTTTAATGTGCGCCACAATTTGTGCTTGATTATTGCCCAATGGTCGAATGATTACTTGTTGACCGTTTATGGTGGCTACTTGCAGTTTACCTTGGGCCAACTGTTGTGCCAGCGTTGAGTTCTGAACGACAAGTTGTTGATTTGTTGTTTGTTGGGGTGTTGCAGCAGTCTGCTGCTGCTGCTGTTGTTGTTGCTGCGGCTGCTGTATCTTTAACACTTGTTGTTGCGGTGTACTTTGCTCCACTAAATGATTACTACTGGCTTGTATTGTTTGCTGTTGTTGCTGTTGCTGCTGCTGCGGTTGCTGTTGCTGCACCACAATTTGCTTAACAACGCGCTGTTGTGGTTGTTGTTGTTGTATTTGGGAAAGTCCAGCTTGTTGATTTGTCGCTTGCACAATTACTTGTTGGTGGTGTGTGGGTTGTGTTGTGGTTGATTGCACTATTTGTTGTTGCTGTTGCTGTTGCGGCTGTTGTTGTACAACTTGTACTTGACTTTGTGGCACGGATCTTTGTGTGACAATAGTTTGTCCAGGACTTAATATAATGCGTTGACCACCGATCACAATTTGTTGCTGCACATTGCTGGTATTCACAATTTGTTGTATAACCTTTTGTGTTGCACCCTGTGGTGACGTTGTGGTCTGATTTGTTGTGGTTGGTGATTGATTCACTATTATTTGCTGTTGTTGTTGTTGCTGCTGTGGAGGTGTCTGCTGTATTGTTTGTAGATTCGAAACCACCGGCTGTTGGGTAATTTGTTGTCCACCAGTGGTAATTAACACCTTTTGTCCTTGTTGATTTTGTCCCATCAATAATTTTTGTCCTGGTTGGACAATAAATTGTTGCATACCTTGGGCGTTTGTAGTAACCTTTGTGGCTGTAGGTGTATTTGTATTTACAGTTGGTATTGTTTGTGTGATAACCTTCTGCACAGTTGTTGTTGGATTGAGAGCGACATGTTGGTTAATAACCTGCGCAACCGCTTTAGGCGCAACTGCTTGGGGTTGTGTATTTACGGCTGTAACAACGGTCTGCAAAAAAAATTCAAATTTTTTTTTAAATCCATTGTATTATTATGTAGAATACTATTCATTTACAATCTGGTTATCATTTTGCTACTTACTTTTTGTGCACTTTGAACCGACACCGGCTTCTGTATAGGCTTGACTGATATTTGCTTCACGATACCTGTTGAATTTGATGCTGTTACCTGTTTCACTGGCAGCTTCTTTGTTATAGTACCTGTGGTGTATTAATTAACCAAATAAGAAAACTATTTAGCAAAAGGGAATATTAATAATCACATTACCTTGTGCTCCGCCTGCTGCCGATGTTGTCGTCAACACATGCAATTTACCGTCGGGCATTTGTATTAATTGTTGACCGGGATTTAGGCCTCGAACGCTTACTTTACCATCAGGCCCGCGTATAATTTGCACCTTATGTTGTTGAGGCGCTGTGCTAGTGCTCGCTTGTGTCGACTGTCCACTGGCTGATGAGGAACCACCGGAATTCGACGCGGTTGAAGCTTGGGCCGCGGCATTGGCACTGTTGTTGATAACTTTTTGTGCAGGTGAAGTAATTGCCTGTTGTATGATGCGCGTTGTGCCATCGGGATTTTTAACTATTACACGACGACTGCCGATTATTTGACCCTTACCTAAAATTTAAACAAAACATAAAATTATACAAACATATATTTTAAACTTGTTATATATAGTATGTTTCTTTCAGTTTTAAACCAAACCAACCTTGCGGATGTAATTTAATATTATCCGGATTCCTTTTCTGCTGATGTGCAGCACGTTGTAGTTTCAATTGTTGTTCCATTTTTTCTTTGATCTCTTCACTACTCTTTGCTGTTATCACAACTTTAGGTGTGCAGCCATTCGAACCACCGGAACTGGATGCTGACGAGGAAGACGGCGATGAGCCAGCTTGTTCAGCAGCTTGTCGCAGGACTACAGAACGTGTCTGAGTTGCTTGCTTCATCTTCTCATGACGTTCGCCCATTAATTTAATCTCCCACAATTCAAGTTTTTCTTCCTCTACCCACTCTTCACTTATTTGTGGTTCGGTTGGCTGAGGTGATTCAGCACGTTTGCGTTTACGTAAACCAGAACGAATTGAAGTTACCTCTGTATCATTTTATATAAAGAAAGTAATGAAAGATGAATACATTTGGTAAAGTATATACATAGGCAAGTTGGAAGAACCTTAAAATGATATATTTTAAAATATTTATAGTTCCAACAACATCATTTGTTGGTGGGGTGTAAGAGACAATTTTTAAAATTGTATCATTTTTATTTTTAACCTTTAATTTTAATATTTAACATATTTTCCCCTTATATATATGTTTATATGAACCTAAACTGACTTTTTCACATTTTATGTGTTTTTGAATGAGATGAAAGATTTCAAAATATATCATATATTTATTTTTTTTAAGTATTTTTTAAAATGAGTTGAAGAATCTGGACATGTCGAAAAAAAAAAAAATCTAACCGAAGAAGATAGATCAATAACTTTGTATATTCATTATTTGAATCTATTATTTTATGCATAGAATAGAATTCAAAGGCTTTTTTAAATATTTAATGTCATAAGTAGCTTTTTTTTCCACTCGAAAAAATATGTATGTGTATTTTCTTTTAATTAAGCTCACCTCGTATAGTCTTGGGCATTTCCAGTGGCACTACTACTTTGCGTCGTAAATATTGCGTACGTTCACCATATCGTCCCATGTGACGGAACTTCAACAGCTCTTGTGTGACGATCTCAGTTTCACTAGTCACTTGATGTTTGCCATCTGCCGATGGTGCTTTGGCAATCATATCATCCCAACGAAGGCAACACCACAGTATACGCAGTTGTAGCGCTACAGCAGCAAGTGTAGTCGCTTTGGTAGTACGGAAAGACCAACATGTCTTAAAAAGTGGTCGTGAACATGGATATGGCCAGACGGAATTATTTTTCGCCAAATGATGGAAACCGTTAGTGGATGTTTTGCCACCCAAACGTGCTAATTTCTTTAACTCAAAGGGTGCCAACGCGAGTATACTCGCCTTTAGCTTGTGTGTAAGGAATTGAGAAGTTAGCGGATATGTCGAGCCGATTGGTATGTTCTTAGCTTGTTCTGGCGTGAATGTTTGTAATTTACTTTCATCTTCCGTTTTGATTTGTGTGCGTTCTTTTAGCACAGATTTGTCACGCCACAAGTAAATGCGTCCACGTGTTGATTGTGCTGCATACACGCGTTCCTTACCATTTGTATAAAATTCCTTTTCATATTTTGTAACATCTTCGCGTTTGGTAATGCGCGGTTGTGTAGGAAAACGGCGATTTTGTTTGATATTTGTTGCTGTCGATTCAAGAGTCTGATTGAGCACATCCTTAGTGGCGATGTACGATTTGTTAGTACGCGATTTTTGTGACTTCTTACATTTTTTAGCTTGTGTAGCGTCCATGCCCAAAGTATCATTACTGGAGGTGAGCGCAGCGAGAGAATCATCATTAGTGGTCTCTGAACTCTCGATCTCAACATTACTGCACACATCGATATTATCCATAAATTCCATGCCACCATCACTAGAACCACCAGCTGGCATACTCTCTTCTTTCACAGTATTGCTAACTGCATTTTCTTCTTCTTTCGATATGTAACAGTCACGTAAAAGCATCTCATCATATGGCACAGCTACAGTACGTGCATGTTCCCAATCTTGCACCAAATCCAATGGACTCTCATCGATTAACCAACGACAATCTTCAGCTTCATCTAGTACGAGTGAGGCATCTTTTTTACCCTCTGTTAATTTTTGTTCCAAAATTGAAGGTTTTTTAACAGCGCCCAAAATAGCAGCTACTGTTTCTTTTGAACCATTGCCGGCAATATGTGCTTTGCGTAACAACAGTAATAGTTCCTTTTTAGCTCGGGCTTTTTGTAGGCAAAGTGGTGAATAGCAGGTGTTTTGTGTGATTTGCGAAACAGCATTGGAATTTGTGTTGCACTCTTTCGTGTAGCAGCGATATTGTTTAGCGAACCGATTCAATTGACTAAATTGCAAACGGACGGTTTGTATTTTCTTCGCTAAAGAGTTCACCAAATCAAGGTTGACATCTTTACTGGGCGTATTTTTTTGTTGTACATATTGTATATCCATTAAACGACGTTCAAGGAATGTGCGCTTGGCTACCTTTTTATTAGTATCGGATTTTGCCTCTTCCGATTGTGTACCTGGCTCTGCATCATCATCATCCTTTTCGGATTTGACCGCCAACTCTTCTTCAGCTTGCTTTAATTCCAAACGCCGTCCTAATAGTTCATCAAGACGGCTTTTTCGTGCTATTTTCGGATAAAGCAAGCGACCGGGCATTCTTAACGATTTCGAAACATCGATAGTGCCCTTATTATTAACAATGCCGGAACCGTCGGTTCCATCTGTACTATCATCATTCAGTTCTTTTACTTGCACATCTTTAAACTTCTGCAGGAAGTAGTAATCGGCACCTTTTTTTACAGCCTCATTGCATTGCAAAAGGAATTTGTGTGTACGGGGATCGACACTTACAATTTCATCAACATCGGCGCCCTTTGTAAAATGCACGTTCACTTTAACCGGGGGAATAGCCAATCCATGGCGATGTGGTGCTCGCCGTGACTTGCTGCCGCCGCAACTACCGCAACGGCGACTGGTTGAAAGCCACATCCAACCCCATTGACCGTGTATACGATACTCTTCGCCCTTTTGCTTCCAAACCTGATGTTTAAGTCCTAAGGAGTATTTGATATAATTGAAAGCCAGACGATTACGTTCTTCTTCATCATCACGTTCACGTTTTTCACGCTTCTCAATCTTTTTGCGCTCTTCACGCTCAGATGAAGTTATGCGACATAATGTTATATGACCAAGCTGTTCATGCCAAACATTTGCAAAGATCACATTCTTAAATGAAGCCTGTAGCAATAATAATACTATGACAAACTCTGTTGGACGGCGTGCGTCGGTAACTGTTCTACGCCATTTCCATTTTATGAATCGCCAATTTGGTATCATGAAGGACGATGGTACATTTTCTTCGAAACTTAATAGTGTTTGTCGCAACGTTTGAGTTATACTATCTAAACTACCCATGGTAACACCAATCCATTTAAACTCCGATGCGGTGGTTAGGGAGAATTTGTGGGATAAATGCCGGCGTTTATCACGCTCTTCATTACGCTGTGGTTTATTCAAAGCAATGGGATTTGATGTATACTGATTTACGTAATTCTTAAAACCATGTTCCATACCCAATTTAAAGTGGTTGGTTTCATTCGCATTTTGACTTGTTTTCAGACGGGTCATCATCTTATTCTCTGCGACACTGTCGTTCAATTGTGTTTCTTCTTCTTCATTACCACGTATTAATGCCCATGTTTTCTTATTTTCTTCATCAATATAAGAAAGCCTTTGGTATTTATTGTGCTCTTTTGTAATAGTCTCTGTTAATTTCATTTGTCGTAAAATCTCATCTTTACGCTCGGTCAATTGGGTATACAGACCGGCTTCTAAATCTTCTTTGTCGATAGTATTTAGTAATTGTTCCAATTTTGATTCGGTGCTATAATACCATATTTTACCGTTATCAAGAACAGGTTGACCCTCAACGAATATTCTTCTCGCTATAAACCAAAATTTACGCCCATGCCTGTCCAATCCGATTATATCATGCCTTATTAGAACGCCTTGCTTTTCTTGTGGCAGCACACAGTCTACAACACCACTAACTTTATGTGACTTACACAAATTACACTGCCAATCCTCCGTAGGCACATCATGCAACGGCGGATCAACGCACTCTAAATGATATACAGCGGGGCAAGTTTCGCAACACAACAAATCGCCCAACCTATGACAAATTCTACAATGATCGTCATAATGTATTGGACCTTCTTGCAGCATTACGTCTCTTACTGCATTCGTTGTTAAAAATTGATTTGTTAAAAACTGTAAAACCGTAATGCGATCAGTGACACCTGTGAATGGATAATCACCAGAACATAGGATGTTATATACTTCACGATTGAATATTGCATCACTTTCAACATAGCTGCGTAGTACTTCAGGCCATGTAATACCATCTATTAAATACAAACTTATATTAACTGTATCTTTCTGATCTAGTGGTCCGAAGTGTGTGCCCTGTACATCTTCTTCACGTAATATTGCTTTCAGTAACATAATATGAATTTCAGCGATAAGTGCGCTCTGCTCATCGCAAGCCAAAGCTGCACAAAAATCTTCAAAACGGAAAGGTGACAAACGTACCAAGTGACGGAATCGTCGCAAGACTTCATATATACCTAAAGCATTAAGTAGATGTTCATTTTTCATAAGTAAATCTTCAGATGACTCGGGCAATTCGAGAGGTTCATATTCTCTATCTTGTAACCATATTGGTTCAGGACTTGGCGGTCTAGGTGGGCGACCAACTCCATTTTGTGTAAAACTGCAGACAGAAAATTCAGATTCACTTTCATTAACATTATCGAGACTCTCTTCTTCGTCAGTCGCAGATAAGAGTAACTCATCATCAATATCACTCTTCTCACTCGAATCACCAAAATCCGAACCATAATGATACTCTGATTCATATCCTGCAAATGAAAATATTAATTGTAAGAGAATATATATAATCATGTTGAGATATTCAAGTTATATTTCTTTCTTTTTACAAGAGGGTAAAATCTTTCCGTTAAGAAAAGGGATAACAAATGGACTAATTGATAATTATGTTTAGCAAAGTTAAAGGCATATTATTTTTCCTTCATATTTGATGTGAAAGGTGAAGGGGTCAATTATACTTAGTTGTTTTTTTTTTTGTAAATTTTTGAAATTAAATTCTTAGTGGTTTAGTCCATAAAAAGAAATTTGATTACCCATTTCACTATAAAAGGTGGTGGGAAGCTCTTTATACCTCCTTAAGAATTTGAATTTTTGCTTAACTAAAGTAAAAAAATGTTTGGTATACAAATTTTGGGGGATAGCGAACATAAGAGTTTCAAGAAACACAGACGCTATTAAGATGCGATTATTAACTGAAACCTTAAAAAAAAGGAAAGTCGAGGGTTACTATATCTCACATAAGTGAGTCAAAATTATTGCAGTTTTGAAATATTAATTATAAGAGTTTTGTGGTATTTTTTAGTATGTCTTCAATGTACATAGATATATACATTAAACAATAATACATGAATTTTTTCTAAATTAAATGAAACAGATATGAACTATTAATTCGAAGCAGTAAACTCATACTACTAACTCAACAAATCAACTGACGCATAGTACTTATTCATTTTTTTCAAGACCATTGTAAAATTGCAAAACTTAAGTCACAATAAAATGTAAACAAAAAGTTGTTTGTTTACTAGTATTACCTCCTCTCCGGCTTACATTAGCCGTGCTGCTTGTTGATTTACGTGATCTGCCTCTGGTACTTTTGCCTGTGGATTTCCGGTTATAGCTGCGGCTACCATCGCTTTCCTGGGGCGAGGAAGCGCGTGATGCCGATGGAGTGCTTAATTGGGAATCGCTGGCCTTACTTAAATATTTTGGTTTCTTTAACAGCTGATAATTGAATTTGGTTCCAGCGCGCTCATTTGGCGTCTTCGGCGGTCTACCCCGCTTACGACTACCACGTCCACTCATTATTACACCAACTACGCTTGATTAAAATTTATTTAAAATATATATCCCTTAAATTTCTCCAAAAATGTTGTCTTTTTTTTTTAAAACAACTTTTAAAAAATAAATAATGCACGATTCTGAAATATCTGTAGAAAATTATTGAAGAAAAATTGAAGGTTATTTATTAGAGCTACAACTCACAGGTAGACATTTTTATAAGCATATTAAAAGCAATCATTTTATCATTCATTAATTAATTTAACAAAAACAAACACTTTTTTTCAATGAATTAAAACCAAATAGAATGTTTGTATATTTTTGACAATTCTGCTGAATACTCTACCTTCCTCCCAAAACTGTATATTTTGCGCTTATTCAATTGATGGCTTCGCCTGTGGAAAACTCAAGCCCAAACGAGTCCGCCATTACGAAAAATTACTTTTCACTTTTAAGTCCATAAGCAAGAATTTTTCCCACAAAATTTTATACACCATCGAAAGAGCGTAAATACTTGTGTTTATTTTGTAAAAAATTTGCACTATTCAACAACAATTTATATGCTTTTATAAACTTTTTATTCTTTAGTGATTTTTCCTCACTTTTTAACTTGCAAAACGTACAGTAGGCAATGGACCAATCACAACGCATTTTCTATTTTTCAGCGCCGAAGACGACCCCTGGCAGTCGTTTTGTGCAACATTGCTTATTAATGTTGCCACCCGCAGATGTTGTGTGCGAGAAGTGCGCATGATAAAAACGTGCAGACGAACGGCAACATACACAGCCAAATGGTTCTTGTTTTGCTGACGCAAATATCCATTTTCCATGCAATTTAACAAATTATTTACACAAAATTAATTTTTTTTTATATTTAATAATTATTTCCATGTATGTATGTACATACATAAGAATTAGAATTAATTATTGGTATTGTTTGATTGTGGTCTTTAAAAGCAGAACAAAAGTACAGGGTGTCAAAGCAACTTAATTGCTTTTGAATATGAAAAAAAAGTTATAGGATTTTTTAAATAAATTGCTGAACATTCTTAAACATATGTATATATTTTGGAATTTCAATATTGTTATAAGTATTTATTTCATATAGACTCCAAACCTGTAGAGAGAGGAGCACATATAATCCGAGGCCGGGCTTGTTGTCCGTTAGGATTAGTTTTTCAATTTTACCTTAAATTTCGTAATTTTAATAATCGGCGTTTATTTTGAGTAGGATTAAAAGATTTTTGTTTGGGCATTTGTTAAACAAAACTTTCTAAGGACTGCTAAAAGTCCCTTCAGCTGTTAAAAAGTTCCACTTACATGTAATGCCCTTGTCGTAACTATATTTATAGGTTATGGGATATGTGAAATTAAACAATTTCTCCAAAATAGCAATCATACATATATTTTGAGAAGGTAATAGTTGATTCTTGAAATAAGATGAGGATTCAAATTTCGCAAAACGAAATTAGCTATGTATTTTCGTTTGATATACCGTTGTTAAGATGGTTTGGAGCTGTGCTATAATTCGCGGTATTTTAAATTAAAGAACAACATTAAGGGCAATCGTGATAAATTCTATAACTAGAGCACGCAGAGTAAAGACATTTTGATGAGATCCAAAATCTTTCAATTTCTTTTCGTTCAATATACAGAAATACTTTCATTTGAAATGTAAGAAATATGATCAGTACAAATATTCAAGATTAAAGTATTAATTTTATCAACAGATATGGAAAAACAAAATAAGGCCATCAACAATGCGAGTAATTTCCAACGTTAAAATCCATAGGTTAATTTCAGTTAGAATGAAGATTTCTTCTTCCTTATTCGCACCCTTTTTTCGCTGTTTGCGCTAGTTAGGAATACCAACGGAGTGGTGCCCTTGCACTTCCTCTAATTTACCAGCGGGTACTGCATCGAATACTTTCAAAACTGAAGTGCTTTCAACCATTCGGATGACGTGACCTAGCCAGCTTAGCCTCATTTAATCATTAATTATTGAATCGTGCACGATGAGGCAAAAAGCCAGTAAAATTTGTACTGCGAGAGTAGAATTTTGACATTTCGTTATTGGCTTATTCTTACTGACATTACTAACCGAACCGAGCTAATGACATATTTAAGCAAATTGAGGTTATGCCCATGTCCGGTTTGCGTGAGGCAGTTTAAAAAAAAAGATTCCGTTATTATTAAAGAAGCATTTCATGGCTATTGCATGGCGATAATGCACCTGGTCACTCGTTATTGCCAGTTGGTAATTCTGTACCGTTTGCGCCCGATTTTAATCTTCTGCGATAAATGATGAGATAAAAAACCTCATTACCCAAGGACATACGAAAACGAGTGTTGGGGTTTACTATTCTATTTTAACGGTTTGAAAATCGTATATGTATATATATATATATATATATATATATATATATATATATATATAAGGTTGGATGCATAAGAAGCTCTCGGAGATTTTGCCAAGCCATTATCGATGTGTGTGTGGTCTGGCATTCGCCACTAATAAATCTAGTTTACTTGGGTATCCGGCCCTTTTCATGTGGTTTCTTACTGTCTTTCGTGCAATATTTGTGCAGTGCTTGCATGACGGTCACACTCGACGATTTCCATTTCGACAATTGGTCTTCCATACTGTGGATCATCTCTTGTATCAAAACTACCGGAACAAAATCGTTGTATCAGGAAAATAACCACCATTCTCCCTTTGCGCTGTTTGACTTGCGTTTTCGCCTTCGTCGTAGAAAAATTTCAGAATATAGCGTAATTTCTCCTTGCTGGTGTCCATCTTCGGCTTGTGCTAAAACACTACTGATTTACTACTACTGTCATCTAGCTTAGTTGCACACTTGTAGAACACGCGAGATATGTAGATCACTAAATCCATCCATTAGTACAAATACCTAGGAGCGTGGCGCCTCTACAGTGCGAAGAGTCTTTGTAGTGTTCTTTTGAAAGTGATTATCAAAACATACACGTATGTACAGTATGTTTTCATATTTACATATGTACATGTGTATGTAAATAAGGGTACTTAAAATTTCCATTGCCTAAGTACAATTCATTTTTAATACCTTTTGAAATAACCTAATGACATCAAACCAGTCAATTTGGAAAATATATTTATTATAATAAATAATGAGTAATGAGTAACAACCAATAATGATATATTTTCCTCATCCATCGCTTACGCGATTATAGCCGAACTTACCACAGCTCGCCAGGCCTTGCTTGCCCCACCTGGTCTTTCCTCTGTTTCCATAGGCGGATACTGCATCGAAAACTTTCAAAACTATATTATTCAAACTACATGACTTCAATGTGGGGAGTATCAGTAGTGATGCGGGAGCCGCGATGACTGTTTTTTGATCTCAGCAGATATATCGCCTTGCCCTTCTTCACTACCAGACCCATAGCTTCGCTTCCTTATCCTGTCTCAAAAAGACAGAGGACAATAAAGTCAATATCACCTCCGTACGTCAGTCGATGTACACTATTATAGAATTTTGTGCGTTGTTATTGCTGTAACCGCAAAATATTCACCGAATTGATTTTCGGGGAATATTGCCGGAGTGACAGTCCTGGGCCGGGTAAAAATCCGGGTCGTTCCGGCATAAATTCTTGGCTGTCACGGGAACTATTGGATTTTAGTCGCCTCTTCCAGTAGGCATGCCTTACCATGGGTAAATTCTTGAGCCCCTCACCCGCAGGGTTTGCGGTTATAACAACAACAACATAATATTCCTATGTTCTTCCTATGTCCTTCTAAAGTCACACGATGAGGAATCACTTTGTCTGGAACCTAATTTGGTATCGACCAGTTCAGAGATGTCCTTCCCGATTCGGCCGTAATCGTTTGATATGCTTTCATCCGACCATATTTCTTCACTGTCGCATTTGAACAGCTCGGCTGGTAATCCATTGGATCCCGCCGCATTATTGTTTTTCAAAGCGCGAGATTGCTATTCGAAGTTCTCCAATGGTTGGGCAATGAAACATCTGTTTCACCGTCATTAATTGGGGAATTGGGTTCAAAATCTCCTGGTGTTCCATTTCCAGCAAGAAGTGTTCCCTTCGTAAATTCGAAATAATCTGGGCATCTGGGCATAGTTACTAGATCAGCTCTATGGATAAACTAGAGGTTGCTCGGTCTTCAAACTTTTATATATTTAACGGTTAATAGAATTTTTTTTATGAACAACCGGAGGATCGCAAAGTTATTTTCTATCTCATTGTCTAGCTTTAGAGATGTCCCCCGAAAACCAATGCGGTGAATATTGACGAGGGGTGTTTTCAATAGCACATTTCAACATAGGGAACTTAACATAACCATAGCTTTAAAATCATCTGTGTTCATGAAAAACCAGTTTTGAAATACACGACCCCTTTAGAAGTTTATGCAACGATTTTAATACTTGATTCCGCTGACTCTCTTTCCGGTATCAAATACGTACTTCTCTCCGATAAGTTTGGTACCTAACGAGGTGTCAGACAGGGTGACTCTTCATCGTATGATTTCTTAATTTGACTCTGGAGAAAATAATACGAGCTGCAAAGCAAAGATATATATGTATGTATATGTATATATATTGTAACAACTGCGCCGTTAGTTATGCGTTCTCCAGATTTCATAAAGAAGTGAACGAAGCCAAGACGAAATATTTCCGGTCATCAAACAAAGAGTCATCGCATTCGCGACTCATTTAGGAACCAGAATTAATACCAGTAATAATGTCACCCTTACCAATAGTTGCTTTGGACTTCTTCTTTCTCGACAAACAAAATGCAGACTCTACAATTCCCTCATCATATCCGTCTTGTTATTTATGTGGTGCTGAGGCGTGGACGTCGTCAACGTACGCAGAGTCGATTTTAAGATTCTTCAAAGGTAATGTTTACCGAACGACTTATGATCCTTTACGCGTTGGCAACGGTGAATATGGAACGATGAGTTGTATGAGTTATATGATGGCAATGACTAAGTTCAGCTACGCTGGTTATATCATGCCGTCCGAATTAATGAAAGCACTCCAACAGTACCCACTGGTGGAAGCAGAGGGAAAGCAAGACCTACACTCCGTTGGAAGTATCTGGTGGAAAGCGAAATGGTTTCACTTGGCATTTCCACCGAGCGTCAAACTGTGAAGAGAAGGAACGAATGGCGCGCTATTGCTGATGCGGCCACACCAATGAAGAAGAAACAAGCATTAAATAAATTTGTAAGTAATTCCTTTTTCCATGCAATTTAAGGCAGCTGATGAGCGAATCCGTTGCTGTTTTGTGTAAGAGGCAAGTGTAACTGTGACATTCCACGATCGGTCTCGGCCTCAGGGCGGTCCGGACTGTCATTGGACTATTGCAATTTTCGATTATCCTTCGGTCGGTTGAGCGGGAGCTAAGTAACGCTGGGCTCGCCGACAAAATATGCAATTTTACGCCAAAATGCAGGTAAATATACCTCGTCAAAGCAACCTGCCAGATACACAAAACCCTAACAGCGTTATCTTATCATAAAATAAATATTAGAGTTCCAATGTTATGGTATTAACTACATCCATATGTATGTACATACATATGTACGAGTATATTTTCTAACAAAAAATTATTAACTCAACGGCCAAAGCTTCACTCTATAACTACTATTCGTTAAATTCAGACAGTCAAGTTGATTGAGAACGCGCACGGAATATTATTGGTAAAACAAATATACATTTTAAATACATAAATATATACATATATATATAATATGTATATTTTGAGCGGTATAACATAAGACGAACACACACAAACGAATAAAGTAAATAAATAAAGTGAATTCAAAACGCTTGCAAAAAAAGCTGGCAAAAAAAGCTGGCAAAAAAAAAAAAACAAAACAAAAACAAAGTGGCAGAAAAAATTTACCGTGAATATTACTCACTTTAGAAAAAAAAAAGCAGTGAGTAACTTCGTTTCTATGAAGCCAAGAAAGAATGCATAATTCTGTTTGAAGAATACTCGACTGTCTTCTTGATTTTAATTAATTAATCACCAGTGGAGTATTTAGTGGTGTGCGGGAACTTTATTTTTTTTTTGTTATTAAACACATAATTAGTGTAAGTTGTAAGCTCCGTGGTTGTTTGTGTTGATAAAAAGTGTTGTAATAAAATTGTTTTTATTTTTTTTTGTTTGTTGCGGCTTAAAACTTTGCAAGAAAGTGAAAAAAATCCTCTGGTTTAATTAAATAAACAATTCGTTATATATGTATGTATGTACATATGTGCATGTATGTATGTATATGCAGGTTGCTGAACCAGCATAGCGAGTTTCGTAGTGCAATAGAAAATAAATGAATCCTCCGCCCCCAGAAGATGACACAACAAGTTCTAATTAAAAGTGCATAAATTTTTTAGAGAAAATACACAAACGGACTATAAAATGTGTTAATAATTATGTTTGTAAGCATACATGTGCTTTCATACGAGATATTGAATATATGCAAAGGGTGTTTTATTAAGATGTTCGGTTTTCAATGAGACAATATTTCTTTTGGAGTTGTTCCTTTTGATTGCTTTTACTTGATTTGTACTCAGTTTGGCTGACCATTTCATGATGAACAGACTTGCTGCGGTACAACGTTTGCAAATCGTGCAAATTAATTACCAAAATAATGGTACGATTCGCGCTGCGTCCAATATTCGGTCGACATAATCACCCAACAGAGTCGGTGATTCGAGCAAGCATAGATCGGTTTCACACCACATTTACTCTAATGGATTAATGCGCATCCCCAGAGACGTCATACAGCGCCCATCGACGACGCTGCCGCCTCAGAATATCGAAAAAGATCCGAGCTACTACTCCAAGCACCTACAAAAAATTTAAAACTGTGCCCATTCACTTTATAGAAGATTTTGCGGATGGTTCATGGCTTGCGGGCTCATAGAACACAGTTCGTGTAAGAATTGAAGCCGTACAAACAACAAAAAGCTCAGCGCACGTTCGGTGAATGGGCCCACAACGAGTTGGCCACCGATATCGATCCCGATTTTATTTAAACGCTTGTTAATTAACAAAATAAACTAAATTGTCGCATTTAGAGTTTGATCATCCATAAGGCATTGTTCTGAGGCCTTTACATCCTAAAATAGTTACTATGCTCTATAGGCAGAGAGAAACATTGGTGCACATTTCTTCAAAATGAAGCCGGTTCTAATGTTACAGTCTATGGGGAACGCTATTGAGCCAAGATTAATGACTTTTTCGTACCTGTATTGGGGGATGTTGGTGTGAATGAACTTTTGGTACCAACCGGACGTCGCTACATGCCATACAGCAAAAAAAAAAAAAAAAAAAAAAAACAATCATTTTATGGACGGAAACTTTTGGTGAACGCATCAACTCGCGTCGTGCACCTTCAAGATCGTACAATTTAACACCACTGAACTATTGTTTGTGGGTCTCTGTGAGGGCGATTGTCTGCGCAGTTTAGTCCGAGCCGATGGACGTCTTGGCAGAGAATAGCCGTCGCGTTATTGTTGATATACGGTGGCAATTGTTATTTATTCGTACCAGCTGCGGCGTTCACTTGCACGATAACATTTTGAGAACGTAATGACGAACTCTTATATTGATAATATAGCTAAATGCTTGGCCATTAAACATTAAAATAAAATAATAATAATAAAATAGTAATTTTTGGCAAATAAAAATTTCTACTTGAAAACCACATGTCTAAAAAAAAACACCCTCTATGTAACTATGTGCATTTATAATTACCTTTATCACCAAAAACACTTTTACACCTACAAATGTACATACATACAATAGGTAATGTGACGTTTCCCTCGGAAACAGTAATGTGAAAGAATTTTTATTGAATCCACTGATAACAGTGTCTATGCGAAAAACTCTGTGATGTCATAATACAAATATACTCACTTACATAGCAGTTTGTCACTTGAATTCCGTGAATAAAAAAAATACGAACAAACAGCAAAAGTAGTTAATAAATTTTAAATGTTTAAATGTTCACTCATAATTTTTAAATTAATTTCAATTTATTTTTTTTTCCATAAATATGATAATTTTAGGGTAATGTAATCATGTTCAATACGCTGATACCGTTGTTTGTTATAATAATTTGTATCGCTGAATGTTGGAGCTTCAACAGCATATTATCACAAACGGCAGCTATAAATGGCACAAATGAAACATTATCAAAGTTCATGTAAGTATAAAAAAAAATATATATATATGTACATATGTATTTTATCACTCAATCATTTGCTTGCTCAATATTATGTTTAAGTATATATATATATATATATTATATGTATCTAATTGAAGTTAGTAAAATTAACACATTTCATATTAATTCTCAGTAGCAAATTTTGTGGTACATACATGCGCACATGTTTATATACATACATACGTGTATGTACACATTATACTCGTATATACCCGTAAGAGAGACGCGAAAATTAATAATTTAATTAGATCTCCACAATCACAACTGGTGCAGTTAAGAAAGGTTATGTCGGCACCGAACAATAATTATCCGACCGAAATCGGTTGTATTAAACAAATCGGCTATGCTCAAAAGTTTTTCGCGGCCATTTGCCACACATTACGAGTATTAGGTTGTAAATATGCTAAAGGAAATATGTTTGGGGTAGGAAAAAGTCACTGGGAGCCAGCTCCGGACTATAGGGTGGATCATCAAATTCTGTAAATCCAGTAGCTTTTAAGGCATTTCTCGTGACGTGAACGGGTGCATTGTCTTGAAGAAACAGTACTCCGCGCGCTAACTTGCCATGTCTCTTCTGTACTGACTGTCTCAGGCGCCTGACTCAACAAATAAGCGTAATACTGACTGTTCATTGTAGTTCCCTTTGGAAAGTAAACCATTAGTAATATTCCCTCGCTGCCGAGCAAATGGTAGCCATAATCTCGACGCCATCTTTTCAGGTTTGAATTTTTTTTGGTGGGTTTTCCCTTTTTTTAGTCATTTCATCGACTTCTGTTTGTACTCGGGATCATACTGACAAGTCCAAGGTTCATACAAAATCTTTCTAGGTTGTTCCTTACTAATCTGGAAGCCTTCTGCTATCTGCCATAATATAATTCTTCAAGCAGCCAGCACTTTTTTTCTACTTTATGAACAATTTCTTCGTTTACGGCCGGCACTGGGGTTATTTTCACAGGCTGCTACTTCTTGTTGCAACAGCCGAGCCCGTTTTTTTACCATCGTATATGAAGGAGCAGAGTCCTGAAGAACCGTTGACATGACTTTAAAAATTTCTTTCTGCCTACTTCTTTTTGTTACCAAGAATTTAATTACAACGCGGTGCCCCAAATTGCGAGTATTTCTACTTTCCGCTGATATAGTGTGGTTGTTTGTTTCAGAAATGGAATGTTAATGAACCTAATAAAAAAATGAGTCCCGCTATTAGTATTACAATAACGAGATGATGTGTCATCTCTAACTGCCTTATAAATATATATATATATATATAAATGGCGCTTTGTAACCGATGCGACTTTCGGCCCAGCTCCTCCTCCAATTTGTGGTTTTGTGTCTTGATGTTTTTCCAACAAATGGAGGGACCTACTTCTGTGTATACTAAGCCGCCTCCGAACGGCCGATGGTCTTTTTATGAGCAGCTATATTTTATGTCACAAAAACACTCGAAAGGGTTGATAGTCCCTGCCGTGGGCCGACCGCAATTAGAAAATCTAGTTTTTTAATTTTTTATTAAATTAATTTTCTATAACTTTTTGAATGTTAGTCCGACAAGAGGATTTGAACCCGAGCCTTCCAAATGACAGTATGCAATGCTAACCACTCGGCTACCGCGGCCGCCAACTGCCTTAGGTCGCGAAAAAATCAGCCGCCCCTCGTAATTTTTATATTTTGCTGATTTCCCTAGTGTAGATGCTACTTTTTTATAAATAGTTTTGAATTTTTTATACAAATTTTGATGAGGCGCATTTCCACCTCGAGGGCTACGTCAATAAGAAAAACTGTTGAAACTGGGGCTCGAAAAAACCAAGATTTATTGTTGAAAAGCCTCTCCATCCTTTGGTTCGGCCTACAGTACGGCGGGGTTATTGGACCTTAACTCTCTGAAAATTCGTGGATCGCACTATGAAGAGATGATTAATGACGTTTTATGGCCGGAATTGTCTGGTATTGATCTGGACAACGTTTGTTTTCAACCAGACGGCGCTACGTGCCATACAAGCAACGAAATTAAGAGAAAAGTTTCTATGAATATCAAAATAATACTTCTTATTGAAAAACTCGTATTACTAACTGTACCCTACAACCTTTCGCTATGGCACATATTGGATATCTGCGGTCACACAAACAAAAAAGATTATCTGGCATACCAACCCTGGAACAGGCAACATACAATTGTCCATGTTCTTAATACCATAGAATGACCTTCGGGTTTTTAACTGTAAGTCGTGTGCAGTTGCAATATATTATATTGGTCAATGGTGGATTTACCAGCTCTAAGGTCACACCGATGAAAGTAATTAGTTTGTTGACGGTTGGCTTTAGTTTATCACACAATATGCTCGATAGAACCTTTATATACGATATTGAGGAGATTTACCAACGGTAATTGGCGTAAACTGTGGGCTCACTCTTTTTTGTGGATTGGGCAGAGCACACTTCCACGCACCTTATCATTTCGGCGCCGTATTTGAATAGCTCGGTCAGCAAGCCATCGGCCAACGCAGCATTATTGTTTTTCAGGTGGGCACATATTATTCCAAGTACTTCATAGCCGGAAAATGAAACAGCTGTCATCGATTCGGGCACTGGGTTCACCAGCTCTTGTTGTTCCATTTTCCCAACTTTTTTTTTTTTGCCACTCATCAAACTGGAGATGTTTTCCCTCTAGAAATTTAGTATATTCTGGGCATCAGTCGCCTCACGCCTCAGTCACCTCAATAGATCCTACAAGCGTTTGCTGCAGTCTTGAAACCTTCTGAAAGTTGTTGCTTCATTTTAACGCCACTTTTGATGTAACTACATTAAAGAGACCCGCTGACAGCTTGACTTTCCGAGTATATTGTGATAAATTGGTTTTTAACCAGAGATCCTAACAATCATTCTACGGCTTCCATGATTGCAGTAAGTTCTGCTTGGAAAACGTTACAACAGCCGAGTGGCCTCAAATTGGTGAGTGATCCCTTTAGCCTACCTTTCATCCATGAAGATGACTATGTCACTCAGCTACGGATCATTTGTATTTTCCCATTAATTCCCGGCTGGAGACTGTCAAAACAGTAAGTGGATATGGCGTAGTCTAATAAAAAATATATTCGAATTTATTTTTGACTGTAAAATTAGTAATTTCCAGCTGTTCGAGGGAGATTTAAAGGTTTGCCAATAGGTTCACATACATACATAAGTACATACGTAATATGTATTTATTATATTATATACATTCAAGCATACATACATACACATTTGTCACGTACAATTAAGGGTAACTACAAAATAACATAAATGCATTTCAATTCTTTCGTTTGTAACAGAAATTCCATTGAGTCTGCGGCAGCTGACGAAGCTTCAAATCTGAGCACATCAACAGAGATTGCTTTAGAGGGTACAAACTATGCGGCGGCACTACCGGAGGATTGCTCACAGCGCAATAAGAAAGCAGAACAGCCGTTGAATAGTAAAAACTCGCGGCTGAGAAAATGCTGTCCGCACGGCGAGGGGTTGAGCATATTTAATGACAACAAAACAGATGAATTTTGTGATTCAACGAATTTCCACTTCGAACCCAATATTATAAGTGCCGTACTTTATGATAATTGCATTGAGGATGAAGAGAATGTAGTAGATTTGGAGATGGAAATCGGAAATCCATGCAATTCGTAAGTTTTTTTTTTTAATTCTTCTTCTTATGCGTAGGGAAGTTGGCGTTACAATAAGAAAAAGATTCATTCTCATTTTCCATACTGATCTTTATCTTTTATGCATATATGTATGTATAAGGAAGATGAAACATTACATGCTCTTCTTGCGAGCTGATGCAATAATTATACTTCTTCCTCTTCACTGGCGTAGACACCGCTTACAGAGGAGTTAACAAACAACGCACCACTCATTCCTTATTTCCGCTATTTGGTGCCAATCTGTAATACCAAGAACAGTCAGGTCCTTCTCAATCTGGCATTCCCAAGGAGTGGAGGTCCTTCTCTTCCTCTGCTTCCACTGGCGCGTACTGCATCGAAAACTTTCAAAGCGTGAATATACGCATCCATCCGGAGCACATGACTTAGCCAGCGCAGGCGCTGTCTCTTGATTCGTTGAACAATGTAGATGTCCTTTATAGCTCATAGTTCCAGCGACTACGATATTCACCACTACCAATGCGCAAAATACCATAAATCTTACACAAAATCTTTCTCTCAAAAAATTCCAACGTCGACTCATCAGATATTGTCAGCGTTCCTGCTTAAGCACCCTGCAGCAGAATGGGAGTAATTAGTGGCTTATAGAGCTTGGACTTTGTTCGTCGTGAGAGTACTTCATCTTTCAATTGTTTACTCAGTCCAAAGTAGCACCTGTTGCCAAGTGTCTTTCTGCATTAGATTTTAAGGCTGACATTATTGTTGGTGTTAATACTAGTACCAATAAAGACGAAATTACCTAGGATTTCAAAGGTATAACTGCCAAAAGTGACTTGGGAGCTGAGTCGCGAATGCGATGACGTGCTTTTTTTTTGGTGACACGAGATATTACGTTTTGCTCTCGTTCATTACCAAACCCATACGCTTCGCTTCCTTATCCAGTCTGGAGAAAGCAGAACCCATTGTAAGGTTATTGAGCCCAATCATCTCAATATCATCGGCGTAGACAAATGTACAGGAAATATGCTCAGATGAAACTTATCGATACTGTGAGCTGGTACCAGAAACAGCGGTGGTTGTCATAACAGTTAGTAGTCATTTAGCCGGTAGACAACCATATTAAAGCAATTAGCTCCTCCAGCCTGTTTAGTTTGATAAGGGCATTAGGTCTGGTTGAAATAATATGAATAAATCGGAGTGCACAATAGACCACAGGTCCTTACTAATCTATCTGTCTATCTATAGGCATACGCCAACAGTTGTACGTTCTATTAGAAGATTGTACCTTCTCTATTCAGCTCTGTAGCTCGTATTATTTTCTCCATCACCAAATTGAAGAAATCACACGATAAGGAATCACCTTGTCTAAATCCTCGTTTGGTATCGAACGCCTCGGAGAAATCCTTTCCAATCCTGACGGAGCCTTTTGTGTTGCTTAACGTCAGTTTACACAGCCGTATAAGTTTTGCATACCGAATTCAGACATTTGTTTTGAAGCGATTTTCCGCCGTCCTGATATTTTTCCCAACAAATAAATAGAGGGACCTACAGTTTATACTAAGCCGCCTCTGAACGGCTGATGGTTGTTTTATGAGGAGCTTTATTTTATGTCAGAAATACACTCGGAGAAGTTGACATTCCCTGCCGAGGGCGACCGCAATTAGAAAGTTGAACTAAACTAAAACTGCAGTACGCAATGCTAACCACTCGACAACCGCGGCTGCCATTCAGGCAGAGCGCCGACATAATTACACTGGTTCACAAAAGTTTGTTGAAAAAAAAATAGTAGTAATTCTTACATAAACCAAACCGGGTCATAAAGATGTTAGAGTTTGATATGGTTTCCGACATACATCAGTCGAAAGGTGGTGAAAACCCGTTTTGAACCACGTAATATTCAAAAAATGGATCATCAACTTTGGTCTGAAGTATGTAAGTTCCGAATGGCGAACTGGGTTTAACCTTGTTCGTCTCTACATTTGTTTATACGCAAACCAGTTCCTCAGTATCTGAAATATTTCAACCAAACTTGGTGCACAGGCGGGCACATTTATTTAAACGGTCGGAACGAATCGGCCGGATCGGTTATCTGTAGCCTATGTATATAGGATGGATATGGTCCAAACTCCTTCGAAAAAGCATCTAAGAGCATAAAATTTGTTTGTATACATTCGCAAAAGCGGAGTGGATATCCCTGCATATTAATATTTAGATGGCCATGGTTCGAGTCCCGGTTCGACCAACTTATAAACACTTATGGGAAATTAATTTTTCTCTTTTTTCTGCAGCGAATGTCAAGACTTTCCGAGTAAATTAAATAAAAAGGCTCATCATAAAAATCCACCAGTGACCGTTCGGAGGCGGCTTAGAATAAACTATAGGTCCGTCCCGTTATTTGTTGGCAAAACATCAAGACACAAAAATACAAATTGGGGCTCGGATGAGAAATCGCTTCATCGGTTACAAAGTGCCATTTGTATATACAGGGTTATCCATTTCAAAAATACAAGGCTGCATTTTGATATCTGTCAAACCAAAACGATAGATGGATAGATAGATAGGAACGAATATGCACTGCAATTCCTTAATATTATTTCAATCAATTCAAAATCCTTTATAATATTCGATAAAAGGAGCAGATAAAGATGGAAGCAAAATAGAAAGGATTTTTTGTTACTTTATAGTCCACTTAGAAGTTTATCCAGCGAAATGTATATTAATTAATTTATTTATTTTTTCCATTTATATCTTTTCTTGCAGATCACTAATATACAATAGTGAAGAGGATACATTCTTCGTTTTGCAAGACGGCTCCTTACTCATCATGGACAAGTATGGAAATGATAGTTATACGGTGGAGAAATACTACTGTCTCGATATGGACAATGTGTCTGGCATTACCTACGCCATTACCTGCATAACAGCGATTGAAGAGCACTTGAAACGTGGACAAATGATAGCCATTGCAGCACTGATGCTTGTATCCATACCCTGCTTATTAATTGTTAGTTATATACATATAAGACTGAAGGAATTACGAACCATGCATGGTTTATGCTTGAGCTCATTGTCATTGTGTTTAGCTCTGGGTTATTTTTTACATTCATTAGTGCATATTTTCAAAATCGATTCCATGAAAATTGGTTATGTTATACAATTCCTTATGTTATCCTATTTTATATGGTTCTTCTGTCTCTGTTGGAATGTATTGGTGAATATTTGGTGAGTGAATTTATGAATATTTAAAACAAAAAAAAAAAAACAACTGTAATGTATGTATTCATGTTCTAGGCATCGGATACCAGCGAATAAGAGAGCGTCGAAAACGATCGTATGGTGCGTGTTTGGTGTACATTCACTCATTTGTTATACCGTTGCCGGTTCATTAGTGGCAATGACTGTGCATAAAGGACTTCCTGGCATGCCGTCGTATTTCATGCAAGGTTTGACAGCATGTAAGACACTTATGATGAATTTTCCTTAAATTGTTTAAAATGTACAATATATATAGATATAAAATAAATTAAAATTGAGTACAACAAAATAAAGTGACTTAAATAACAGAAAAATAAATAAAGTGAAGTAAAAAAAATTTAAAAATAAAATAAAATTTTGTAAATTATTATAAAACTAAATAAATAAAAAAATAAAATAAACGAAAAATTTGAAAAAAATAAAAACAAATTAATATATAATGGAATGAAAAAAAAAATAATAATAAAAAATAAAAAAATGATAAAAAAAATATAACAAAGTAAAAGAAAATATAAAAAATATAAAAAGTTAAATTAAAATAAAAAAAAAGTTATGTAATGTAAAATATAATAAAATAAAATCAAACAAAATTAAATTAAATAAAGTGGGGAAAATTAAACAAGCATTAAAGCGAAAATCTGAAAAAATAATAGAAATAAAATAAAGAAAATCAAAATCAAAAATAATATAGCAATAAATAAGTAGAAATGAGATTAAATAAAATATAATGAATTTAAATAAAATAAAATGGACAGAAATAAAATAAAATTAAATCCCATGAAATATTAAAAATTAAAACAATTATAATAAAATATAATCAGCTAAAATAAAAAAAAAACCAATATCAAATAAGATTTTATAATATAAGAAATGTGGAAATAAAATATGGTAAAATAAAATAAAATTATTAAAAAGAGAAAGCCAAAAAAAATAACATAAACAAAAATAAAGGAAAATAAAAAGAAATAATATAAAAAAAATTTGAAAATACAATCAAATTAAAATAACAAATAAATAAATAAAATAAATTAAAATGGATAACAATAAAATAAAAATGAATAAAAAAATAAAAATAGAATATAATAAAATAAAATATAATAAAATAAAATATAATAAAATATAATAAGTTCAAATAAAATAAAAAAAACTAAAAAAAAAATACTATGAATTAAAATGTCAATATATTGAATAAAATTTAATTAAATAAAGTAAAAATATAAAATAAACAAAAATGAAATAAAATAGAATCCTAAAAAATTTAATTAAGTAAAATAAAATCAAATCAATAAAATTTAAATAAACTAAAATAAAATAAAACAAAGACGCTGAAAAATAATAAAAACAAAATTAAGCAAACTAAAATAAAGAACTGTAATAAAATTAAATAAAAAAATGTGATCATTTTAAATAAAATAGATACAAATAAAATAAAAAAGTAAAACAAAAAAATTGAAATAAATAAAATATAATAAATGTAAAATATAATAAATATAAAAAAATATGTATATCTAATCAAATAACATCGTATAATAATAATTCGCAATACCAAATTAAATAAATAAAACTATGTTTGTTTTTTCATTTTAGCCATTCGGGAATCCCAAAGATATTTTATACCGCCGGTATCGACGCTACTTTTCTTATCATTTATCGTAATGATGATATCATTTTTCGGTTTCCAAAAAATTAAGAAACGAAAAACTGAAGCTGCAGCCAAGAGCAGTACAAACGGTACACTCTACACAAATATATTGACAGAAATTGATGAAATGAAATATGAGGAAGTAAAAAAAGAGTGAGTAAAGTAAAAAGATTGGTAACATTATTATAAAATTCAAAATTTACTATTTTTGCTCATTTCATTTTTCTAGCGCTAAATGCATAAGCTTCTTGGGTGTCATTCTTATAGTTTCTTGGTTACTGGAAATTGTCACATTTTATTCACCCGGCCCAGAAGCTTACCTCATGCTGATGGAAATGGTGAATGGCCTACAAGGTGTATTCATAATGTTAATATTCGTCGTTGTACGGCGCAGGCGCACCATTATTTTGAGATGGTGGTACGATAGAGGATCTCATAATGTGGAAGATGTAGAACTTACGGCGATGAATAAATAAATCCATTTATAAGTTTCGAATTGGTGCGAATGTTAATATTTGTTTGCACATACATATGTATGTATATTGACATATGTATATTGTACATGCTTAAATTGTTCATACATATAATACATACATATTAAAAGTTTATATATATATATGTACGTGTACGTAGGTAGAAATACTGTTTAATGCACCACATTAGCTTGACGAGTTGTATGATAAATTTTCATAAATAAATCTTTTAAAAGATTATCAAAGTCACTTAGTATTATATGTACGTATTCATGATTTGTTAAATTTTTTTTTATAATATTTTAAGACGAAATAATAGTTTTTTTTACTGCTCTAATTTAACTTGTGTAAATTATTCTACACGTTAAAAGCCTTATCTCGTTGTTAACCGAATAAATTTTTTAATAAATCAAAATCTAATTATTTATTTATTAATTATTGTAAATAATTTCCATATTTTATGATAAGATTTTGCTGCACATTTTTGTTTTTGTTCAAACTTATACTGTTTTTACTTGGAAGGTATTCAACAAACCTAAAAAAAGCATCAGGGGCCTGCTTTTTTTTGTGTTATCTTTACTGAGTTGCTTAAAATTATTAATTTTTTATGCTGATAATCTGACAGAAAACAAATTTTTCTTGACTTCTGATATTAAGTAAAAGCCATCCGGCTACAAACCGTAAAATTTTCACAAAAATGGGCAGCCCACTGGAGCTTTGTTTGTAGCAGTGGGCATTGTTGCAGAAGGAGTAATGTGTTCACGTTCTAATAGGAATTATACTTTGAAAATTTAAGAAACTCCATCCCGGAAAACGTATGAAGCATATTTTAATCCTTTTCATACATATTTGTTTATAATTTTTCTATTTCTTTCTTTTTATTTAATTACATACATACATATTTTCTACTCATTGTCACATTTACAGGAAGTAGACACTGGTAAATATATTTCTTTAATATATTTAAATAAACCGTTATTATTTAGAAGTTTATCTAAAACTTGAGGTTATCTAATTGAAAAGGGAGTTTGATAGTCAAGAAACTTCTCTAACGAAAAAATCCACATTTTTGTGTATTCTGTTCTAATTGGAAGTCATTTGGGTAAACTTTCCTTAAACGGGAAACTTCACGAATTTGACAACATTGCAACATAAATAGTATTATTTCTACTACTATTTCCCTAATATTTCCACATATTGTTAACCCTGCAGGTGTGACTATGATATATACAAAATTTTCCATCGATTTTAAAACGAAAGTGTAAAAACAAGCGAAAATGTAAAAATTTTGAACATTTGCAAATGTAATTAAATTAACTGGTTATACTTCAAACAGCAGTGTATACCACAGTATGTTAATTGCGTCTGAAACTAATTAAAGGAACAAATGAAAATCCATATTGCAGTAGTTGAAAGTGGTGGAAACAGTGGAATACCGATAAAGGCAACACGAATACAGCAATTAGATTTGGTACACATCATCTACTATTGGAATTTATGGACACATTTATTGGTTATCGAAAGATGAAAATCGCCTTTAGTTGGTGTTAGCGAATTAGCTGGTACCCTAAAAAAATGCCGAGGGTAAGCAACGCACTCGCCAAGAACAATAATGGTTCCAATAATGTTAATGTAACAACGAAAGTGCGCAAGAAGGCCATCAAGACAGAGGTAGAAAGTCCAGGTGAACAACATGTTTTCCACAGAAAATCGGAGAGGAGAAGAGTGGCGCGGGATATCTTTTTGGTATTTGAAGAGCAACCTTGCCGGCGGGTACGTGGAGGTGCTGGTAGCAAAAAGAAAACACCGCAAAAACCAAAATTCGGGCATTTGATGGTTGATGATCCCAGTCGTCCAGCCAAGGGTCTCTTGCGTGACATTAAAAATGAACCAAAGTGTTATCTTAGTGATGAATGCACAGCCACAGCTGCGCCAACAACAAATACGACAAAAACAATAACAACAAAAGAAAAAAAGAATACACCAAAGGTGAATAGCCGAATAGAAAGTAAACCAATAGTTGTGGCAGAAAAGTTACCAGAAACCACTAGCGAAATTACCAATGATGATCCTGTGGCGCGTGTCAATCCCATATTTTTATGGGTGAAACAGGATGACACACGAATTGTAGAAGTGCGCTGCGAGGATTACGATAAAAGAAATCGTATACGAATCAAAAAGACTTCTAATGGTTGGCGTTCTATACCACGTACTGACCCATCCACATCGAAGTTTGTGAAAATCTTGCAAACTCCACTATTAAAAGTCAAACGGGAAATGTATGAAAATAGTTTATTGCAGAAATGTAGTGAAAGTTTTTGTGCAAACGCAAGTGGTCAAAATCAACTGGAGGTAATTGAAAAGCAGAGCTTTATCACCGATAATGTTGAAGAAAATGTGCCGGTTTGCATTAAAAATCCAATTTCTGAAACATTGAATTGCAAGGTGGATGATTCAAATATAAATAGTGCGAAAGTTAATCTTAAGAATAAGAAAACCAAAACTAAGAAGAAGGGCAAGAGGGGCCGTAAACCTAAGAAACTTAATATTCCAAAAACAGAACTGCAAGCGGAGGATACGCCAGTAGTAATTGAAGTGAATGATTACGCGCAACATTTGGTAAGTCAAACTGAAGAATGTATAGCGCCTGTCGATCCGATGATACAATCAAATTTGGAGACAATACCAAACTTCAGAGAAATGTGTGTGAATGACCATAATAGTATAATGGCGCAGGATATTGTTGCCAATAATTTGGTAGTTGAATTACCGGAAAAACATATTGAAGAGGATGTTGCCGCAGTTGAAGTAGACAATGCTGCAGAGAAGCTATTAGATGTACCGGTACAATCTGAAGTAAATGAAAGGGAAATCGAAACTGAAACTGAAACTCAAACATATCAACATCATACGGCGCACTTGCAGCTTTGTCCAATAACAGGACTCTTCCTGCCAACAATCAATTGCGAAAGTGACAACGAGGCAGAGACACCAGCTGAAGTTGTGTGTAAAGAAAGTGACATGAATAATTTTAATACGAATTTTTTGCCCAAAGATATTTTAGTGGATCTGGCCGATTGCGATGAAGATGAGAATAATATTGAAAATTCCGAAAAAATGCAAAGTTTACATACACCATATAATACAAGTCTGGATGCTGATACCAAAAACCTGAAAGATCTATTGGATGACGCGGACCTAATGCAACATTGCAGCGATAATGCTAATAGTGATGCTGACATTATCGATTCCATTGTGAAACGTAGTTGTGAAAACAATTTAATCCAGGAGACTGAAACACTCAAAGCGCCTGAGGAAGCAAACACATTTAACACAACACAATGTGAAGAAATGCCACAAAAAGATTTATTAGACGATGTAATACCATTGCACATAATTGATGATAATGTACGTGACTCACCCAAATGTTTATCTTTCAACGAGGCTGGTGAAATTGAAGGTCTTAACGGTGAACTATTTCAATCAAATAACTTTATGGACACATATGAAAAAGACTCTAGCGTTGAGGAGGTTAGCTTAAGTGATGATGGCAAGAAAACTGAAAGTACAGATGTGATAGCGTTGTCATCTCCAATAGCACTTAAAGACAACATAAATGAAGATGTGATACTTGATGAAGTACCCAAAGATTTAAGTTATAAAAAACGAGAGGAAGTTTGTCCACCATCCGAATCGAGAAGTCAATGTGCAGTCACATCAAGTTCGGATGTAGTGAAGTCTCCACAACAAGGAGAACTACCAGCAATAGAAACAACATCAGAAGCGATCAAGAATCTAATACTGGAACAATTCATTAAATTGAATACCTTTAATGCGGTATCACCGCCAGTGAACAAACAACAGTCGGAACCAATTAATCTGGGTAAGACCCAAAGGGAATTAAATGTAAATAATGAATGCAATAATTATGCCACATCCACAAATTACATTGAGACAGTTGTAATAGATGATAATAGTGATGAAGAACCAATGAAGAAACGTATTCGAAATACCGTTAAACTTAGTAAAAATAATATCATTGAGGATCTTACTCAAACGTCTGCGCCAACTCCAACATTAATAGATAAGGATCCGGATCCACTCACACAATTGCAACTACTTATTAGAAATACACAATGGAAAGTACCCGATCCGATACTAGTGCCAAAGGATAGGTTGCGAGCAGTATTAGCATCCCCAGCCAGAGAAATACCACTTTTAATCACCACAAGGCCCGAATTAAGACTGCCCGAAGCATTTGCTTATCCGGAAATTATACAAAATCCTAATATATTAGTAATTTCTATGGCGCAATTAGAAGCAATTTTGAAAAATGAAATGGAGTTGGAGAAAAGCAAAGAGGAACCCGCTGCAACCGATCCAGTTCACGAAATGCCAACTGAAACTACAAAGAAACCAAATACTATTCAAATGCCTTCTACTAATACAACCAAGCCACACATTGAGCCCAAAAGCATAAAAGTTAAGGAAACACCATTGAACCCACCACCCCCGCCACCCAAGTGTTCTCATGTCGAGAATAATTTGGCTTCAGATATCAATGCTGCCACATTAGCAGTACTAAACCAAATGTTGTGGCTACCATACTTTGGACAATTATCGCAAGAGTTTCTAAAAACCTTAAAGAACCCTCTTGGCGTACAAAATAAGTATGCGAGCATGATGCCACCGCTATACAATCACCATCTTGGCCTACAACATTTAGATGAAATGTACAAGAATTACCTGAAGCAGATGACAGCTCTAAAGCATTTAAGTGCCGCAGAGGCACCGGTTAACAACGCAATGCCAAATTTTCCACTGGCTCTCGGTGCATTCCAACCCTCGATGGAGGCAACAGTCTTTCAAAAAATGTTGCAACATCAAATGGCAAACTTTTTGAATATTAATCCAATTGCCACTTCAACTGAGGCGTCTATGCAAACTCCCATACAACAGGGTATTATAGCAAAGAGCCAAGCTCTTGAGACGAACTCCGGTATTGAGCATTTGCTTGGTGTAGAAGAGAAGAAAACTAAAAGTCACACAAACACAACAGCGACTTCGAATACAACATCCGATATAAATAGTATGGTTGCTGGTGGTGTTACGGAAAAGTCGGTGAGGGTCAATAACAACAATCATAGCAATGTGACAATGAGTTGTGATAATTCAATGATTGAGAGCATGAACTATAATAAATACGCTTATATGCAAAAACAGGAAATGGATAATAAGCCACGTTTAACGTGCAAATCTCTTTCGAATCTATTGGAACCAGAGAGTGTGCCCTCATCACCGGCGGTTCCCTTGGTGAATCTCACAACAGAACATACGCGCAATGCGACACATGAACTTGCCCACACAAATAGCCAAACACACATAAATGCCAATAAAGAAACAGCGATAAATGTGGCACCTGTGCCAGCACCAGTTGAAGTTATGCCTTTTAAAACAGCAAAGTTACATAAAGCACCAAATGTTGGCCAAAATGCATCACATGAATTAGCCAAACAGCGAAAACGCGCTATGAACTATACGGAGACAACAGTGGCAGCATCGCCATCAGTGGTGACTCCAACAACGGCGACGTTAGAAAATCAAACCACTAGCCGAAATGGTGTTGGTGACAGCATGAATGTGGAGACCAATCAGGCATTGTGGCATCCACTTTTTGGCAGGTAAGAAACATTAAAAATATGAAAATTTGTTTTAAGTTCCTAGAACTTTTCTTAGTAGAAAAATGTTTGTTCAGTTGAAGGCTGGCAAACGTCTTTATGAAGGTCTATATTTAAATTAATTTTAGTAATAATACATTTTGTTTTAATTTCAGTAACGCTAAACCTGGATACAGTAGTCCTTGGCAATGGACCACGGTCACAGCAACGGGTGAATGACATTCAAGGGGTCTCAAGGGACCCAACAACTATGAAAGTGAACTTAGCGAGTTTTTTAATACCTCTAATAATGTGCATTACGCTGCCTCAAAAGCACAAAACTCCTCACATACCAATCATAATCACAACAGTAGCAATAGCAGCAGCAGTGGCAGCAGCAGCACTAACAACAACATCACCCAAATTAGCTGTAATTCAAAATCGGCCGGTGGTAGCAACAGCAGCAGTAACAGCAGCAACCATAATAACATCAGGAATAATGCTAGAGCCTGCATGACCACCAACACAACACATAATCCTTTAGATGCTAGCGCCAATAATAACAGCGGCGGAGTTGGTGGTGGCAATAGTAGTAGTAGTAGTAGTAGTGTAAGTACGGGTGGTAGTAACAATTATCAACAACAAAGTCTTCAGCAACAGACATCAGCAGCTGCAGCGGCGGCGGCTGCAGCAGCAGTTGTAACGGCACGTGACAATATCGCCAATGGATATGCTGGTTTTAAGGAGCCGGAACGCTTTATGGAGCATAATTTTTGGCAACAACAAAAGAATGCAGCAGCGGCTGCAGCCGTAGCTGCTACACATGCGACCAATCAATGGTCACTCAATAACAATCGTAATTATATGAGCAATCTTTCACAAATCTCATATTCGAATAACAGTCAACCGAACCAAAGTTCATCGCCGTATGTGCAATTCAATCCTTATATGAATATGAATATGAACATGAATCTAAATATGAATATGAATCAACGTTCATTTTTAAATACGGCACAAGCAAACGAGAAAAATGCAATGCATTTAAATCATTTCGATAAGCATAATATGCGCTTTGGGGAATACGATTGTACATTGCGTTAAATAGTAAATAATCTTCACCACAAGAAAAAGGGGAATTACAAAACAAAAAATGATAGAAATAAATAAAGTAAAAAATGCATGCATAATACATACACACATAAATACATATATAAACTGTTGCGCAATGTACAAGTTTGTTAGTAGCCCAAATTCAACCATTCAAACATACTTACATACATGCATACATACACACATAACATAATATACATAATTGCATACCCATTAGATAAAAGTATATAATAAATATGTGGTAATTAAGTTGAACGTGAATATCGAAATGTTTACCAGCACTTGTAATCAAGACTTGAGACGAAACAAGTACTGGAACTACACACATACATAAACACACAATATACTAGAATATTTTGTTAGGCCTATTAATGTTCTTAAAAAGTAAACAAACATATTTATGTGAACTTGATTAGTGAATTTGTTATCAGTAGTTTGTTACACCATATTGTTAATCGAAATCTATCATGATGCGTTAATATGTAATGTATATAGAGTTTTTTTTTATCTAGATGTATTATCCTTTTTTTTTTAATAAAAAGCAACAAATGACTATTATGGTGACTATGTAAATTATTGTATGAGTAACTTCTCTGATTTATTGATATTCTACATACATACTTATAAAATGCTTTGTGGTCTGTTAAATTTATATAGCCAATAGGGACAGGCAAAAACAAAACAAATTAAGTAAATAAAAGAAAAAATCTAATAAAAATATTGAATTAAATAACATAATAAAAACTAAATAACGAATTTCCAATTAATTTTTAGTATTCTATCTTTTTCATACGAATATTTAATTTTCGAAGTTGAAAATTTCGAATATATCTGTGATATTGGTAATCGTTAACAAAATTATCGGCGAATAGTGCTATCTCCTTATTTTACAAGTCGTCCTCACGTGCTTGGATATTTTGCTTGCGAGTCGAAGCATGCGAGATCCTCAATATGGAAACCCTAAATAGTGCAAAGCATGACTTTAAACTTTTTACCGATCTCCTTTTTTTCTCTAGCATATTATTAACTGTCATTTTTGTTATTTGGCTGTAATTTTTCTCATTTCGCAAAAGACTTCAGTATGGTGTCTAATTTCCAAATATCTGCTTATACTCCCTCTACATATCATTTTATTTGCTTTGAAATTACTGAAATCAAGCAGTAGTTAAAAAAAAATTAATAATTGTTTTCCTTAACAATTTTTGAAACAAAAATATACTGGCGGTCTGGTAATCATGTTTTCTATAACGGAAATGAAATATCGTTGCATACTTTTCCGCATAAATGTCCAGCTTGTCACTAACTGTTTCTAAAGTCCATATCCGTGAATAAAATTTAAATCCTTCCTTGCGTTGCACTAAATGTTTAGTAAATTTAAATATAGAAAGGAAAATCAAATTGTTACAGCCTTTCGCCACAATATAGTGCTCAAATATGGTACCACTGCCGAATTGCCATTTAGGTTGTATAACGCGCAGGCGTCATTGAAATAAAATTCCATTCAATGACAACCAATCAGCAAAATTTCACATCACAGAGGAAAGTATATGTTTTTGCAAAAATTCAATTGCTATGCTGCATCATCAATTTTGGATAACGAAAAAAACGGTGCAACGTAAACTCGGCACCAAAGAAGATGAACACATTATTTCATCAGATGCAGATCTCGATGCGAAAATTGAAGTGTACAAGTCGATAGCAAGTACGAGTTTTGAATTGGGAAAAATCATTGACCAGCTGCAAGAAAGATTATGCATTCTATCACAAGAGGAATGCGTATTCGGAAGATTTCTCAAAGAGGTCGGTAAACGTAGTAAGACAACGGGGCAGAGTATAACGAATACGGGCAAAGCAGTTTCGTACAGTGGGCAACAGCGTATGTGTGTGCGAGTACCACTGCTGAGACTACATCATGAGGTCGAAGTATTTCGCAGTAGAGCAGTACGCGATACACAGGTGTGATTGTAGCTCCAATTGATTGACAATTATTTTCTTTTGTTATGATTAATTTGACAACTGCTTACAGGCAACATTACAAATTATGGAAAAAGAGCGCACTGAATATCGCGCTGCTCTATCGTGGATGAAAGCGGCCAGTACCGAATTGGATCCGGATACTGGGAAGGGTCTTGATAAGTTTCGCACAGCTCAAACTCATGTGCGCACAGCTAAACGTAATTTCGATAGTCTTTCTATGGATTCTATACAAAAAGTATGTGTACTTAGTTTTGCATATTTGAATTTAAAAAAAATTAAATTTTTTCTAGATTGATTTGTTGGCGGCAGCGCGTTGCAATATGTATTCACACGCACTGGTTTCGTATATGAGCGAATTGAAGGAGTTCGCACAAAAAACGGCAAGCACATTTGAAACAATATCAAGGTCTTTGTTACAAAAGCCAAAATATGATTTTTGTGTGCTCAAAGAATTGACTCAAAATGAGGGTAGCAGCGAGGAGGATGGCAAAATTGATGAAATCGTTGCATTGGATAAGGATCAGTCATTTTTCTTTGAAGTAATATTCTTATATAAAACAAAAATATCTAAATAATTGTAAAAAACTGAGTTCTATTTACTTTTTATTTGCAGAGCGAATATAGCGATCAGCAAGAGTTTAAAAAGGAAACACATGAAGACAAACCAGATACATTGGGTACAGCTGCGATGAACGATAATACGCTCATTGAACTGATAGAAAATTCGAATGACGAGCTTATAATACCAACCGAGATATCTGACCAAAGCAATCCGGTTATAGAACAAAGTATTTGGTCAGGTCTTTGGCCACTTGGCCATTCTTCAAATCAAAGTAATAATAATATTAAAACAAAAGCGAATGAAAAAAATAAATCAGAATTAACGGTTGAAAATGTGGCCACAAGCGAAAATGCAATCGCTGAGTCTGCTAACAAAACAACGAAGTCAACAAATTGGATGGATTTGTTTGCGGAATTAGATCCTTTAGCTAATCCAGAGGCATTCGATTTGAAACTTAGTGGCGGTCGATTAAATGCGCAACAGACTTAATTTTTTTAGGAAAATTATTTTCCATGACCTTTACAAATATACACACAATGTATATTTGTACTAGAATTCGGGTTTTTATAAATGAAGAAAAAAAGAAATCATTTTAAATATTCAACTTGTTTTGTGCTGCATTTCTCACTTATCTCTGAAAAGTGTATATTATAATTGTATTTGTATTTATTTCAGAAAATTTCGCACCCTAACATTTATTTTAGCGTATAAATAAGTCTTAATGAGCTGAAAAAAAATAAGCAAATTAAATCACTAATTGTTGTGGTCTGTCAGTAAGCAGTTTTATTTTATTGTAAACGACATTAAAACACTTTACCATTAACAAGCGTTTGAGTAGTCGCTGTTAAAGTGAAAGTGTAATGCGCCACTAATTACAATACTATGACTCTTTCTATATGATTTAACGGGTGTGTTTATTTTAATTATATATTACATAAAATCCATTAAAGGAGACAAATAAATAATCATTCCTTGTTGTGTATATCATAAATTCATCATTTGACCGATTGCTGTGCTTCTTTTTTCGAATTAACAAGCTCGACTAATTCCTTGACGCGACGTAAACAATCCTTTTTGGTTCTATTCGGTATGCATTCCGCTATTCTATCCCAGCGATCGGGTGTTGAGATTGGATAGGTCTTAATAGCCTGCTCTAACAGCGCTTGTTCCTCCTTTGTCCACGTTTTTGGTGCAGCTGCTGGCTTATTTGCTGTCTTTGTAGCAGTTTTGTCATCTTCATTCGATTCTTTATTACCATTTGGTATAGCATCAGCTTCAGCATTGTTGACATTATTCGTTTCCGGTTGATTGACTGTTATATCATTGCTGGTTTGTACTTCTTTTTTCGATTTGTTGAAATTTTCGAAAGCTGTATCATTGGCTTGCGTTTTAAGTGTGCTTTTGGAGAAGTCACTATTTTGCATAGCTTTAGCTTTATTGAGCACATCACGCGCATTAACTGTTACACCGGCTGTGGAGTGCTGATTTATGAAAGCGGCGATTACATCCCAACGTTGTGACGTGCCAGCTGGGAACAAATTGACTGACTTGATGAGCAATTGCATATTTTCATTATTCCATACATCGCTCTTTTTAATATCTTTTTCATTCTTTGTTGTTGTTGACTTCTTTTGTTGAGTTTGATTGAGTTCTTCAAGTTCGGCAGCAATTTTCTTGTCAACTGTTTTTAATGCGGCAAAGAATGCATTTTGTCCCTTCTTTTCAATGTCTTTATTGAGCTCTTGCAATTCGCTTAAATTGAAAATTTCACAAATCTTTTCCACGCCCTCCATATTCTTTAATGTTTCCTTATCGTTATTACCATAGTATTTCGATTCTTTTAATTTGTCGCGCAATGCCTTTCGTTCTTTTTTAAGCACTTTCTTCATTTGTTCTTTCTCGATGCGAATTTGCTCGATACGCTTTTGTTCAGCTTTGTCAGCACGCTCTTTAGCCAATTGTGCCTCACGTATGGCACGCTCCTGTTCGGCTTTTTGTGCTTGCGCTGCATCCATTTTGGCACGCTTGGCAGCTAATTTTCTTTCCTTCTCCTCATTTTTAAACTTTTGTATACGTTTATCATTATTGTAAGCTAAATCGACTAAAGCGCGTATACGCATCATTTCCTCTTTCTTTCTTTTAATTCGTAGCGCTTTATTTTCCTTTTCAATCCAACGCCTTTCATCGCGATCTTGCCCCTTTTCCTTGTCCTCCTCATCCAGATAACTGAACTCACGCCAGGACTTAAACTCATACCAAAAGCTATAAAATTCCTCCACGTGCTCGCGCGTTGAATTTTCATCACCAAATGTTGGCACATTTTTCTTTTCACTCCAGCGCGCATTCAAGTCAAAGCATTTATTAAAACAGCCATAAATGTCTTTGTCTATCTCTGCTTGAGTTGGAAATGAATCATCAAATTCTGGATCCACAGAATCATAAGCGCGTCTTGTCTTCGGCGTACCTGTTTGCATTAAAAACAACCAAATTAGTAAAATGTGTACATATATATATGTACATAGAATATGATAATATGGATATTAATTCATACCAAGTATCTCATAAGCTTTGGTAATACAAGTAAAATAGTCATCATCGGTGTTTACTTCCTCGCCTTTGGCTTTTCGCTTATCGGGATGATGCATTAGTACCATGCGTCGGTAAGCACGCCGTATATCATCATCTGTAGCGTTAAATCTGCAACAAATAGTGTGCACACATTTTGAAGCTTTTGTAATAGGTTATTATTAAGATAAATGTTTATACCTTAATTTTCCTAATCCAAGTATTGCATAGTGATCGTGATCTTTCCATTCTTTGGGATCTAAAGATTTCAGATAGTCCACATCGACCGCGAATTCTTCAGGTAACTTATCCACAGCATCGTCATTACTTTCGGCCGCGTCGTCAGTACTGGCATTATATCTTTTAGAATTAAGAAATGCCAAGCCCACGCGTTCGACATTTCTATGACTGAAGGTGAAATTACAATCAACTTCCACGAATTCCAGCATTTTGCGCCGAGATCAACAATAATTTTGAAAAGAAATATAAGCAAATCGACAAGGCATACAGCTGCCTGGCGGAGGTGCGTAATGTCAAAAAGAACAACCACGAGATGATTTCCATTACCAGATCGTTAGAAGAAGAAAATTCGAACAGTGTTGCATGCAAGTAAAAAAGGAATTGCATTGAAGGGAATGTTTCAAGTTGGCCAAATTTTTTTACTTTTTTAGCATGCTATAATTTAATAAAATAAATTGTTGAATTTCCTAAATGTTATTAATTGAATTTGTTTTATTCTGCGTTTTATTATACAAATAATAAAATAGTTTTCTTGGTAGGTCAAGAATTTTTATACCAGCAATTCATGAAACACGCATATTCCAGGAAAAAATTAGAAAGTTTTTAATGCTCTTAGCTGGTTAATATCTACAGTTTGTTCTGAGACCATAGATAGACTCTTTTCCCGCAAGCATTATCTCTACCAGTAAATTTTTTAGTATTTATTTTCTGTGGGTTAGATATAAAATATAATAATACATAAATATTGAGTTGATTTCCGGACTGCATTTAAGCTCCACATTTATTAATAGTTTTCAAAATATGTGTATTATTTATAAGGAATTTGCTTGCATTATTCGAAATTTAAACTTTTTTCATATTATTTTAAGCACGCTTAGAACATATAACGAATAAAATTGTAACAGATTTTGATTATTTGTGGTTGGGAAACTGTTTTTCTTGTCTTGTTGTTTAAATTTAAATAGTCGATCCTGACTGAAAAAAATTGATTTGAAAAATTTACATATTTGTGGCAACGCCATTGTGAATTATGACAGCTACAAAAATTGACATTTGTTTTCTCCACTCAACAATTTTTTTGGAGAAAAAAAAATACGAAATATACAAACCTTCATACATATATACATAGACTGTATATCAACTGATTCTAAATTAATTAGAAATAAACTTATAAATGCCGCAGAGGCAAAATGTGAAATAAAATATCAAAAAAGTCCTAAATCTACAAGAGTATTTTACTAAGGATATGCTATCAAAGTAAATACGAAGTATGCAGTCGTTTTAACGATTTCCGTTTTGGATCCATTTTTGTCAATACAACTTCCGCTGTAGATATACAGAACTTAATTAACATACTTTGAAAACAAAAAGAAAACTAAAACATAATAATAATGAAGCAATATAACAATAAAATGTAACAAAATTAAGTAACTAACGTTGTTGGTGAGTTGGTTATAAATATATCGACTAATATGACTTAGTATTTTGCACCACAAGTCTGCCTAATGCAAAGTGAGGTTTAGAGCGGCTTCGGATATATTTATTTTTATATAAGTACATCAAGCTTCCTTTAAGATATTTAATTTCTCCGGTTTATTAGCATAACACAGATTAGTATAATTATGAGAGAATTTGATATGACGGAAGCCATATAACTGTGCGTGCGGGAACTACGGCATCATTTTGAAGGTTCTCTCCCCTTTTTTATATCAGTTTTAGAAATTTCAGTCTTTGTTTCGCTTATCATCGGATTGGACAATGGTGCAAATTATTAAGCAGTCACCAAAATACCGCAAAACTCAATTATTTAAAATAAGTGGCATAACTCTGAACCCAATTCCTTTGTGTTTTGGTTTGGTAAAAGTTCTCTGCTCTTGCATTTTTATTCATAATTTGTAATTTGCATGAATCGATTATTCGAAAATAACACATCTACCATTTATATACACAGATACACGTTGTCAATAAGAGTGACATGCTGCATGACTGGAATGTTAACATACATAGTTATAGGTTTAAAACTCTACCAAGGAGTTGCAATTGCATGCAAATAGGTATGAAAATAATTCAATTAAGTATTTTCTGTTTTACACTTTTCCAACCAACTCATTTCCGTTATTAACTCTAACACTTTATTTTCTTTTCCAATTTATTACGTTGCTGTTAATTGTAATAATTTATATTTTACACACTGCAGACGTTACACTGCAGCTCCTTAGTCAAATTTTCACATCGAAATGGAGCTTGAAGAGTTGACCGACATTTTTTACACGAGCGACAAGAAAGGCCAAGTTTGTCGTGTCAAATTGAACGCGTCAGGCTTCACTTTACAACGAGAATCTACTGGCGGTCGTTCGCGGGAGCAAGTAATTGATTTGAATGACATTGTCGGCAGTCGTTGTATTGTGGTGAAGAAAGATCGCCGCGGCTGTTCCATGCTCTGCACCTCTGCAATGCAAACTGATGGCAATCGTAGTGATAGCGGTGATGATACAAAAAGGAAATCCAATTCTGTAACATTTGAGCACAAGGATGCCAGTGCATATCTCTACGTTTTTGCTTATATACTAAATAAGAAACATCTACGCAATATCATTCGACGTGAACGTACTGTGCTCAAACTGCGTTTCCGTTCCTTTGACACTTTCGGCGATAACATGCGGGAAGCGGAACGCTGGTATCAAACTGTGCGTGCATTCAAGGGTCACAGTTTAGGGCACAGCGATACAGATGAGCGCCGCATATTGGTTTTATTGAATCCAAAATCGGGTTCTGGCAAAGCACGTGAGATATTCAATCGTCAAGTTGTCCCTGTATTAAATGAAGCGGAGCAATCGTACGATTTGCATGTGACAAAGCATGCCAACTATGCACGCGAATTTATACGTGTGAAAATTTTGGATAATTATAGTGGCATTGTAGCAGTTGGTGGAGATGGCCTATTCTTTGAGATACTTAATGGCTTACTGATGCGCGCAGACTGGATGGAGGCGCGTAATATCCCACTGGGTATTGTGCCATGTGGTTCGGGAAATGGTTTGGCTCGATCCATAGCTCATGTTTGTGGGTGAGTAAAATATACGATTTTTAAAATTAAATCTCATAACCGTATATATCTTTCAAAACTAGTTTTTTGGAACGTTACAACTTTCCACAGAATTGTCTCTAGACTCCCCTTGATTAGATCACGGAACGAATCCATTGGGTTACCATGTGGGGTAGGGGTTCATGATTTTTTCCAATTTATGCCAATCGAAAATGGTGGCTTAATTCCAAAATTAATATTGCCCGCTATAGTCGGATCTTTATAACGCAACGTCTCGGATTTTTATCCCATCAAGGACTGTCACTTCCGTAACATTCCCCGAAAACTACTTTGGGGAATATTCTTATCCCATCAAGGACTGTCACTTCCGTAACATTCCCCGAAAACTACTTTGGGGAATATTCTTGCGGCTACAGCAACAACACAAATACCAAACTATATCCACGTCGAAAAAGAAATACTTTCTCTTCCATACAACTTCTGCAGAAATCATTCGATGTTACATCCAGTCTAATCAAAAGAGGACGCTTGCGAATGGATGGCGGCAAACCAACATTCGAAGAGAAGTATCCTTCCTTGAACGCTCGTCCCCCATGTTGTCGTTGTTGTAACCGCGAAATCCAATTCGGGGAATGTTGCCGGAGAGACAGACCTTGGCTGCGTAAAAATCCGTGTCACCCTAGCACAAAAAATCAAGCCTTATAGCAGGAAAACGCTTGAATTACTTACTTGCAGCGATTTCACTTCCCTCCTCGATACTGTGGAGCCCCAGGCAGTTTCAGAAGAACTTTTTTTATATAATATAAACTGAATTTTTTTCACCTTGCTGCGCTCCAAGACAAGAATCATGTCTTAGTGGGTTCATTCATAATACTATGATTAATATTGACCGCAAAATTTACCGCAATTTTTTTTTTTATTCATTTCTAAACTCATTCCAGTGAGCCCTATGAGCCTAAACCAATCTTAGGTGCTACACTAACACTGCTCAGTGGCAAATCTATGCCAATGGATGTCGTAAGAATACAACAACAAAATCAAGTAAGCTTGAAAATATTTACATTAATAGTTATATAATTATAAATATCTTCTTTAAAACCCTTACAGATACTCTACTCCTTCCTTTCCGTCGGTTGGGGTCTCATCTCGGACATTGACATCGAGAGCGAACGTTTACGTTCACTGGGCTATCAAAGATTTACAATTTGGACCTTACATCGTTTAATAAGTTTACGTACATATCGCGGCAAAGTATCATATCTTCCAAAGGAAAGTTTTAATATGGAAAGTGACACAATGTCACTAGCAGATCCGCTGCCATTGAAGCATAGTCGAAGTTGTAATACTTGCTTGGATAAACTCCATAACGGTTGTTTTCAATCCACCGATTGTATTGAGACGAGCAAATACTATGATGTCATTTCGCTGCAAAACTCCATAAATCAGTCATTGCAATCACGTTGTGATAGTTGGTTCTCCCCTGCATCCTGCCGCAGTACTTACCACTCCGTCTCGGAAAGCATCTATCATAGTGTCGCAGATGAGAGCGACGCTGAATCGCGTTTACAACTCAGCAATTTGAGTGTCCATCTGTGTGGCCCGACGGGCAGTGCACCAACACTCGATGAGCCAGTCCCCTCGACGTGGGTGGTGGAGGAGGGTGAATTTGTTATGGTACATGCTGCTTATCAAACACATCTAGGTAGTGATTGTTATTTTGTCCCACAAGCTAAGTTCAATGATGGCATCATTTATATTGTCATCATACGCAGCGGCATAAGCCGTTCGCAGTTGTTGAATTTTTTGATGGGCATGAGTTCAGGCACACACGTGCCGATCACCAATAATGAATACGTGAAAATGGTGCCGGTGACGGCTTTTCGCATAGAACCATACGATAATGAGGGCATCCTCACGGTGGATGGTGAGCGCATCGAATTTGGTCCTTTGCAGGCGGAAATGCTGCCGGGTGTGGTGCACGTCATGGCACCGAAGTGAGCTTAGCCAAACTGTGGTGGAAATAAATTGAGATTCAAAGAGTTGTGCACTATTATATTCCTTTACGATGGCTTTTATTGTTAAATATTTTTTATATTTTGTTATATATAAATGTATGTATATGAATATTAAAAATAAATAATGAAAAATTAAATAGAATTTTCAATCACCGCTCTATGAAATATGAAATAATATAGCATGAGTCTATTATACAGGATATTTACTTTTTGCAGTGGCATCCGTCTCGTCTCTTTTCATCGTGAAGTTAAAGGCCTAACCTGGTCTCCCAGCCCAAAAGCTGCACCTGGGAGACCAGGTTAGGCCTTTAACTTCACGATGAAAAGAGATCGCATATCATTGAAACCCTGCACCAACATCAAAAATCATAGCATATTTTTTTTTAATTCGAACGCACCTCTGTAGGTAATCCCAACTTCTCTGAGTGTGAGATAAGCAAAGTTTTGCATAAAAATCCATCAAACTATCCGAGGCTCTCTTTATTAGGAAGAAGCCACTGCTCTGCTGGTTAATGTCCTCGCTTAAACTAAGGTTAACACCGCTGATTCCTCCAGAGCGTAAGTGTGGTGTTGGATTTGTGGTAGTAAGGAGAATCGGTCGCCGAAGCCACCCTGAGCTTATGGAGGAAGCCCTTAAAGAAGAGAAACCTGGAGATGTCGATAACGATGAAATAGACTTTCCATTCCCCCACAATTAAGAAGTGCGATTAGCAATTGCTCGCTTGAAGAGCAACAAAGTGACGGAAGCCGATGGTTTACCTCCTTGTGATTCGAATATGACGGCGAAGAATTGACTAAATGCTGAAATGATTGGACTCCCAGTGTTCATCTCTTCAATCCACAAAAAGGGAGCCAATATGTGCCAATTGCCCTTAATATGAAATATACATAAGGTTTTATCAATGGTTTTGTGTGTGAAAGACTTAATCCTACCCTCAACGAACTGATAAGAAAAAAAACCCACTAACCACAATTTCGATAATTTTTAAAGCCTTTATGCCGTTATGTATGTTTTTGGTATACTCGCAAAACTTACATACTTACATGACTGTATGAACTCTCGCAGAGTAAGACCAAAAGCTGCACCAGGATCAAATGATCAATACCAAACGAGGTTTCTGATATGGCAACTCTCTATCGCTCGAGCTTTTAGGCTGAAGAAAGTAATACGAGCTACCGAGCTACCGAGCTACAGATGGTTCAATATTCCCTAAGAGCTAAGTGTTGGTGTAAGTCGATGACAATAAAAATGTCGGCCCCAATAGCTGCCCGTTAGTTCAGCTTACTCCAGACTGTCATAGGTTTGAATAATTTCAGTCTTCAGATTCTGCGCAGAATCACTCTCGCCAAAAGGTGCTTGAAAAGTAAAGATCTCACTAAGCGAATAAAAGGACTGCGTATTCGCCACCTGTGGGACAGGAGTTGTGGAATTTATCCGCGGTAAGGTATGCCTAACGTAAGGGGCGACGAAAATCCAACAATTCCCCCGACAGTTGAGTCTATATACCGGAACGGACCGAGTTTTTAATCGGACAAGGACGGTCATTCCTGTAACCTTCCACAAAATACAAATTCTTTGGGTAATACTTTTGTGGCTACTGCAAAAACAACAACAACAATATCAATTGTGCCTGAGGCCCTGAAATTCTTCTGGATTTCCCAGCTATGTCACGGCGTCCGGATGGTAGAAAGCACCTCCGCTTTGAAGGTATTCAATGCAGAACCCACTTGCCGCCGAAGCAGTGGAAGAAAAAGTTACCCCCATCGGTGGAAAGATCAGATGAAGAAGCGCCGGACTTTACTTTGGTGTCTCCAATTGACGCTGAATGGCTAAAAGAAGAAGAGAATGGTACGCTGCTGTTATTTAACTCGGCTATAATTGCTTAGGTCTACGCAAATAGAGTAGAAAATGTATCAAAACGCCGAGCGCGTGTCAAAAGCAATTAACACACACACATATTTATATTTTTCAATAAATTTTATTTTTTTATTTTTATTTTATTGAAGATCGTAAATTTAGTATTAAAATCCCAAGTCTTTGTTTATTTATTTAAACATTATTATTTTAAATTTTTTTTCTTTGTTAAATTATTATCTAATTATTTATATTATATAATATAAATATATATATATATATGTATATGTATGTATGTACTTTCCCAGCGAAAGCTGCAATTAACATTAAATATTATTAATCTTTCGAAAAAAATTGAATATTCACATACATACATATTTATGTATGTTAATATCTATATATACACACATAGACCGTTATAATTACAATATTGATGAAAAAACGCGTTAAATTTGCAATTAATTGTTAGTCAATACATCTTTTCAATTACTAATATTTAATATTTATTTAGTTTTTTTTTTGATTATTATTATATTAAATTTTTTAACTTTTTTCCGTCTGCTGTTGTGCTTGTATGTAATTAATTTGCAAGTTCATTGGTTACTCATACTCGTACATATAATGTTAAATAATCAATTGTTCATATCGTTTTCATTTTTTTTTTTGAGATACGTAGCGGTATGTGGATAAATACATATACATATGTACATACATATATACATTTATATGTAGTTGATAAATAGTTAGAGTTAAAAAATAATATCCGTTGTGATTTTGTTTGTTTTCACTTGAAATCGAATTGTAGTAGTAATTAATCAAAACACACATACATACAATTGGGTGCACGTGCTTTTACTGCTGTTTGTATGTACGTACAAGTGTATATGTTTGCATTTGCATTTATTTAATTGTTTACATAACTATTTACAAAAGCAGAGCTGTAAAAAGCAAGCAAGTTTTATTATTTTGCAGATTTTTTTTACATACATACATACAAATATTTTATAAATATGCCTGCATTTACAAGTGCGTACGTCTGTTTCAGAATTAATACAAATATATATGTATACTGGGAAAAGGAACATTTAATCAAAGTTGAGGTTTAGTAGAGTCTCTTAAGAAAATGCCATTGTAATGCCAATAGCAGCTTAAAATTATTTTTTTTTACATACATAAATTATTTATAATATATACATACACTTTGTTGTGCTGCTGAATTTTTTTTTATTTCAGTTTTTATTTTTTTAATTAATTTATTTTTTTTATTTATTCCATTTTTTATTTTTTTAAGTATTTAATTTTTTATTTATTTCAAAATAAAATATAATTTATGTGATCGTTTTTGCATTTTACTAATTTTAATTTTATTTTCTTACATTCTATTTTTTATTATATAGTTTTTATTTTTTTAATTAATTAAATTCTTTCTTTTTAATTTTTTTTTTACTTTAAACAACTACTTTATTTTATAATTCTTTTAGTTTCACTGATTTTTTTATTTTATTGATTTTTTTGTTTTAATAATTTTTTCTTTGTTTGATTGCACTCAGTTTATGTTTCACTTATTTGTATTTTATTCATTTGTTTTTATTTTACTTATTAATTTTTTATTTTACTTACTCTTTTTTTAATTTTATTTATTCATTTAGTTTTTATGTTGCTTTATTCATTTTATTTATTTTTTTTATGAATTTATTAATTTTTTTCAGTTGATTTATTTAATTTTTATACTTTTTATTTTATTTCATTTATTTAGTTTTACATCATATCTTATTTTATACATTTTTAATAATTCATTTTGATTTCTATATTTTTTTTATTTATTTTTTTGTTCTATTTGTTTTATTTATTTTACTTAATTTTTATATTATTTATTTTTTATTTCAATTCCTTTTCATATTTTTATTATTTTTTTTATGTATATTATATATTTATTTATTTTTTTGTTTTGTTATTCTGCTTGTTTTTCAAATTATTTATTTTTTTATTTCAATTATTTTTAATTAGTTTATTTTTTACAATTTATTTATTTAATTTTATTAATTTTTATACTTTTTATTTTATTTCATTTATTATTTTTTATATTATATCTTTTTTATAAATTTTTTATCAACTCATTTTATTTGTTTATTACTTTTTTGTTTCATTTGTATTATTTATTCTACTTGTTTTTTATATTATGTGTTTTATTACTCTTTTCTTTTTAATTTATTTAATTTTTTTGTTTTCTTTGTTTCTTTTATTGATTAATTTTTCATTTGATTATTTATTTTATTTTCCTTTTCTATTATTTTCTATATTTTATTTAATAATTTATTTATTTATTTATTTTACTTATTATCTTTATACAATATTAAGCCATTTTATTTCATTTATTTTTGATTAGATATATTTTATATTATATCTATGAATTTTTCATTTAAAACTTTTTGCTTATTTATTGTACTTGTTTTTTATATTATTTATCTTTTTTTTCAATTCTTATTAATTATTTTATTTTTGTACAGTTTATTTATTTAATTTTATTAATTTTTATACTTTTTATTATACTTTATTTATTTATTTTTTATATCATAACTAAGTTTTTATACATTTTTTAATAATAAATTTTTATTTTTTGATTTATTTTTTTGTTTAATTTATTCTACTTAACTTTTTTATGTTATTTATTTTTTATTTCGCTTCCTTATCACTTTTTAATTATTTATTATTATTTGTTTTATATTTTAAGATTATATTTTTTTATTTTTTGTTTTTTTTTTATTCTACTTATTTTTTTTATGTTATTTATTTTTTTACTTCAATTACTTTTTATTTATTCAAATTTTTTATTTTCTATTTTTCTTTCATTTATTAGTTTTTTATTTGATATTTTATTTTATTTTCCTTTTCTTTCATTTATTAGCTTTTCATTTAATATTTTATTTTATTTTCCTTTTCTATAATTTATTTTCTAATTAATTCATTTATTTATTTTACTTACTATCTTTATTTATAATTTATTTTTAATTTTAAATATTTTATATTATATCTATGTATTTTTCATTTAATTTAATATATTGCTTGTTTATTTTAAGTGTTTTTTTATATTATTTTTAATTTTTTATATCAATTCCTTTTGTTTAATTTTTTTCTTTGCTTATATTAATTATTTATTTTTTATTCTATTTACGTTTTTATTTTTTTCTAAAATTTGTTTTCTAATTTATTAATTTATTTATTTTACTTAATATCTATATTATTTATCTCTTTATATTAAACAATTTTGTTTTTGTTTATTTATTTATTTATATTTTATTAATTTTTGTTTTGTTTGAATTAAGTATTTAAATTCTTTTAATATTTTTATTTTATTTTAAACAATTTTCTTTTGAATTTGTTTCGCTAATTTTTATATTAACATAATTTATATTAATATATTATATTTATGTTTAGTTATTTATGCGTAAATATTATATAATTATATACATTTGGATGCACGAAGCTAGTATTTTCGAAGATACTAAAAAATTATTAATTAAATATTTTTGCAAATTTAACACAAAATGGTACCCTTTATACAAATATAATAAACGGAATAAAACAAATATAATTTAGTTAAGAATAAAGGAAATAAATCTTTATTATTATACATATACCACAAATACATATATGTATGTGTTTTTTGGTTTTTATATTTTTAACTGCCCATATTTTTTTTGTTTTATCGCTAATGCTTAATATTTATATATTAAATGGAGGTCTTAAATGACTTTCTTCTTTGTTTTTGCTATTTTTTTTATTTCTGTATATTTTTTTTTGTCATTTTGTAACACACACGTAAATATATGAAATTTTTCTAAGCAATAACTAAAAATTAAAAAAAAGGAAAACAATATAATAATAATAACAACATATATGTATGTAGATATAGATAAACATATAATATATGTATGAAAAACGCAAAGATTTATAATAATTTTAAATTTATTAAGCCGTTACATACTATATATGTATTGACACCAACGAAGTGTGAGAGCAGTAGGGTTGGAAGGAAATAAGCAACAATTTCAGTAACGAAGGAATAACGCAGTTTTATAAGAAACTCCCATTTTTACTATATGCTTTATTTTAGATGTTTTTTGTGCACTTTAGCAAAATTAAAAAAAAAAAATTAAAAAAAAGCAAAAAAATTTAGGCGAAAAGAAGTAAAACTTTTTTGATTTAATTTTTTTTTATATTGTTATAATTCATTATAGACTTGCTTGTTTTTTTTTGAATCAAAAAAATTTTAAATTATATAATAATAGAATTAAAAAATTGTAAGAATTTCAATTTCGCTTAACTTCGATTTTTTTTTTTTATTTTAAATAGTTCACTGCAACCTCATTTAATTGACTCAAGTTTAAGATCTTCTTTCATTTAAAGTAAATTAGAATTAAAATAAATGTCATTCTGCAACTGAAAGGAAGTTTGTAAGTGTTAAGTAAATTTATGAGATTTTTTTTTCAAAGCTTCAAAGCTTGATAATTCGTGTTCTCTAGAGCATTACTTCGAAAATTTGTTTTTTTTTCAAATTAAAAAAACTTCATTCTAAATTAAGTTTTAAATTTTTTTTTTTAAGTGAGATTGTTTTATTTAAATTTAAAAAACTATGAATAATTGCTGTGATCAGCTTAAAAAGTTAAAAAGTTGGATTTTCCAAACAAATCGATTTCTCTTACACTTTTTTTTAATTCAGCATATTTTTGGCGAGCTAAGAACTGCTTCAAAAAATTATTTATTTTTAAGTTAAAAAAAAGCTTTAAACAACAATTAAATTGTCAACAATTTAAGAAAGAAATGTTTGCCCAGTTTGATTGGAGTATAAATATTAAACAAGAAAGAATTTTCTATTAGAGAAATATTTTTGGAAAATGTTGTTTTCTCACGGTTGAGTATTTTCATTTTGAAAGATGTTTCGAAAAATATAAGATTAATGGATAATTCTTCCCTCTTTTGGAAACGAGAAAATCATTGCATGCCATTGTACTACAAAAAAATTGTTGCTGTTATGTTAAAAAATCGTTGCGAAATTATTTTTATCAATTTAAAATAGATATCTTTGCTTAGTTGAGAGATTTTTCAAAGAAATCGTGTTTTCATGGCATGGATTTTTTTTCAAGCGAAGTAAAGTACTTTCCTAAGATTATTGTTGGTAATTATGTCAAGCGAACTGTGTTTCTTTTTTGGTTAAGATTTTTTTTTGCAAGTTAAAAATATATTTTATAACCTTAAATAAATTTTCATTAATAATTAAAATCTTCATTTTGCCAAAAAAAAATTTTTCTCGGCTCGCAAGACTGAGTTTAAACAGGACAAAACTCTTAGTTTGTAGGAGAGAGTGTGAGGATTATTCAGGTGTGTTGTACTCTTCGCCATCGTGCATTACTCTATAAACTAAGTGTTTTCCGGTAACAAAAATTGCCATTATTCAAACCACAAACAATTTTTCACCATTTTCAAAACTACAAAAACAAAAAAAAAATTAAAATAGCATAATTTCTTGAACGATTTACAAATCAACTTAGCATATTTATAATGCTTGAAATGTTTGTTTTATGCAGTTAGAGCAACAATTAGTTGTAAAAACGTAAATTCTTTTTATGTTTAAAGATTTGCAAAAATTCAAAATTTATACCTTTTTCTTTTCAAAATATTTTTTACAACCACTACTAAAACGCAATATATGCAACTTATGCGGTCATAATTAAGAAAAAAAATAAAAAAGTAATTTAACAAAAAAGGTGAAAAAGAATTAAAAAAAAAAAACAGTTAAAAATGAAATTGGCTAAAAAAAATTATTCTGGAAGAAAAAACATTGTTGTTCAACACATTTTTAATAAGTATATTAATTTTATTTATTTTATTTTATTTTTTTTTTAATTAAATACTCATTTACAAGCGAAACTCATATTAAAGCAAATAAAATAATAACTAAAAACTAAACAATAATAAGGTTTTAAACCATTTTTTTTAGATTTGTTATGGTTGTACATATGTATATTTATATGTGATACCATAAGAAAGACGTAGGTTAAGTTTTACTAGTATTAGGAGTGTATAATACAGCAATATAGTAAATTAGAAATATGGTAATATAATGCCATAAAAACCGATATAGAATTATAGTATATGCAGAATTGCATTATTTTGTGTAAATTTCTTTAGAACTTACGATCTGCTCGGCTCTCTTGCTACTAATAAGTATTGGAAATATAAACTGATTTTAAGAGAATTTATTTTTAATAAACAAAAAGATTTTTTTTCATTGCTTTAGCTACGCTTAAATAATGCTGCTTAAAATGAAATATGTAGTTTATTATAGAAGAAGAAAAATTATAACAGACTTAAATAAAGATTTCTTGTACAATACCTTGCCGTGAGTAATATTAAAATCGCTTATTTTTACTTTATACAATTTTGTTTCGCAGCAAACAATTTCACAAATATCTATACACATTCTGCCAACTTCCACTTAGCGCTGTTGAAGTTAATGTAATTTTACATTCTTGCATTTATTTCCTTTCTTCCTTCCTTCCTTCCTTTCACCCTACTAGACCCCATTCAATTACATCAAACATGAACACTTTAGACTTCAGTGGAGCGACCACTCTCGTCGGAGCGCGAAGACTTTCGTTCACGTCCACTGCCCGGTACACGACCCGTTATCGAGCCTTGCATTGTAGCATGCACTTGCTGCTGCTGTTGTTGCTGCATTAGCACTGCCTGCGTCTGCTGTTGTATGTGTTGCAGATGTTGTTGTTGCTGCTGCTGTTGCTGTTGTTGCGCTACCAATTGTTGCTGCATTAATATAGCATGTGGTTGACTAACGAAACCAGCAGCCGCATGCGCATATGAACCAACAGCATTCGGATAGATGACAGCAGCACTCACATTGCCACCCATGGCCACCGCTGCGCCAGCCGGTAGATTGAAACGCATTTTGGCCGCTGCAGCATTGGCGGCTGCAGCAATCACGGCGGCATTCTCGCGAGAAGCGCTGCTAGTGGTGGTCGATTGAAAGGAGATTGACATGCCACTGTCAAGGGAACCCACACTGCCGCGTCGTTGGGGCTTCTCGTTGCCAACTGTTCAATGGAAGCGAGAAAGAGAGAGAAACGCAAAGTTGTATTAAATGAATATTTATTAATAAAAACTTGCAAACTCACATTGTTCATGCATGTCGAGCAGACTGTTGCTCAGCGCGCTGCGTTTCAATTGTTGCGTTGGATCAGCCGCATTTGGTACGAGTTCATTTGCGGGTGTCGCTTGATATGCACCGACTTCTACATCGGCTACGCCACTATCACGGTTCTCAGAACTCCCGGCTGTACGGTTACGCGCGGACTTTTGTCGCTCCAACTCGGCCTCGATACGCAGCGCTTCCATCTCATCCATTTCGCTGATGGACTCCTTGAGATCCTCGGCGAATTTGCAACGATCGTGTTCGTTACGCGCATTGAATGTGATTAGTATTTTACCGTCGACTTTTTGCGAAAGTTGTATGCAAAACGGATAGTTGGCCACATCGAGCAGCGTGACTACCATACCGCATAGCGGGAAACTATTACGGAAAGTATACGTTACGGAGGACTTTTTCTTGCTGAATATTTTCGTAATCACAAGCAAATCGTTGAAGAGGAACACTTCCCGTTGATGCACACCGGGGCGTTCCTTCTTATTGACGTCGGGTATTTCATACAGGCGACAATAGCAGACGAGACGTCGATGCGGTAGCGCTAAATTGGGTTTCTTACCCACAATTGTGGCCTGCACTTTCATCACTTGTGTGACATGATCATTGCCGGGTTTGAATTCATTGGCTTTGACACGTTCATAAATACCACCAAGCATATCTTTGTCGATATCGTGACAATCGTCGATACCACGCAAATTCTTAATGAAATCCTCAACGCGCATGCGACGCTCCGGCTTCAGATTGGGTGTGTGTAGGTCGGTGTTTAGCATAATTATGGCGAAGGCCAGCACGAAGATCTGGAAAGGCAAGAGAAAGTTAAAGCAAAATTCACAGAAAAAAACAAATGGGGCAACCATTAATCAAAAAGTAAATTCACTCACCGTATCCGAAGATCTCAAACGTCCGACGATGTCTTGGTTGCACTGGCAGAAACGCTGCGAGAACACCTCCATTAAACGCTCAATTTTCTGCGCTTCACCTGGCATGCGGAAGTAAGCTTGGAATTTGCGCAATGCCACATCCACTTGCATCCCCGACAAGTCCAACTCCAATGCAAAACAGTTCAACACCGCCATATTGAATTGATTCTGCAAGTTACCCAAATACTCGCCGATCATTTGCCGTGACAAGCCCTTACGCGAGATGAGGAAGCGTGCTACACCCTGTGGCGTATTCTCAAGGAAACCACGTCGAATCAAGTAAGTTATACCCTTCTCTGGCTTCTTGTTAAACAAATTCAAACCAACGCGATACTGCCGTTTGCGTATCGTCTCTGAAACCTTATAATTCTGCAAGGGCGCAGTTGCATTCAAGTGATGATCCTGTTGCTGTTCATGCTGCTCATATTGCGCAGCAGTCGTGTGTGACGATATGGCATGATCATCTGACGTATTTACGGCACCAACACCACCAATAACACTACCCGCACCGCGTCCATCTGTCACGATACCTGCCGTAGCTTGTGCCAGACTATATGTCACCCCTGACACATCGTTGTTATTGTTGTTGTTGTGCACAAATTGTTGTGAACTCGATAGAGCTGTATTACGTTTCCATGTTTGTGGTGAATTCGAACGATCCGAACCAATATCACTATTAACTGCTATACGATCGGCGGATGTAACACTCGAATCGCTACCCGAACTTTGTACCGATGTGAGACTGCCATTCTCGGCGCTCTTACACAAACCGTTCGACCGTAATAACGCCGGTGGTGGCGGTGTTTGACGCATCATTAGCATATGTTGGTGTTGTTGCTGCGCGGCCAGATGCTGTGCATGCTGTTGTGCCGCTATGGAAGAGGTGCGTTTCGGCACCTCTGGTGGCACCTTCTTACGCTCTGCCGATGTGCTGCCGGTTGTGCATTTGGGTCGCATATAAATTTGCGCCGCCGAATAGTAGGGTGTGTGTGGTGAAGTACCACTGGTTATGCTCGCCCACGACGTATTCAACGAGCTGTCCAATTGTGAATTATTCACCGAGCTGGCGTAACTGGCTTCATGTGGCGGCACATGATAGTACTGCGTTGCCAGATGTTGGCTACCGTAGAAATGTGGCTCGGTGGCGTGTAGTAGATTCACATGCGGGTGAGCGCCCGAACCGAGTGTGCCGCCGGAAGATGTGGACGAGGCGGAGGAGTTGCCGCCACTGCCGCCGATGGGGACCGATGAGGCGCCTTAAATTAGATAAGAGAGGAATGTGTGAGATAAAATAGAATAAAGTAAAAATAAAATCAGGTAAAATAAACGAAAGCAAAGATAAAAAGTTAAAATTAATAAAAAAGTTAATTAATAAAAAATGTAACATAAATAAATTCAATATAAAATATAATAAATAGAAAATAATATAAAAAAATTTATAAAAAGTTATCAAAACCTGATTAAAAAATTAATAAAAAAAAAAATTAATAAAAAAAATTAATACAAAAATTAATGAAATAAAATTAATAAAAAAAAAATACAAAAAGAAATAATTAAATTATTTAATAAAAAATTAAATTTATTATTTTCAGGAGATATTTTTAATAGTTATTAAATTACTATAAAAATAATTAATAACAAATAGTAAAATTAAGAACAAAAAAGTTTGGGTTAATTTAAAGCAAAAAATAATAAATGAAATAAAAATATTTGAAGCCAAACCAAAAAGCTAAGCCAAGCTACTCTTCTCACTTGACTCACCCGATTGACTACGCGGTATGGGACTACCGTCCTGCTGGCGACGCTCGCGCATCGACAACGAACGCGTGGGTGGTGTGCGCGATGACATGGCATTCGACGAAACAATCGGTACAGATGTTGTGCCGCCCACTACACTGCCCGGTGGACCAGCCAAGATGGTAACACGTGGCGCTTGTTGTTGTTGTTGTTGTAGATTTTGTGACTGTTGTTGTTGCTGTTGTACGGCATATGCTGACTGTTGTTGCTGTTGCTGCATTATATCCAGCTGAGATTCCGTTGCACTACCATATGCTGAGGACAATGATGAATTGGAGGCAGGGCCTTCCTCGGCGCCAGCGCCACTACCACCACTAGATACAATAAGAACACGACGACTAAGACGTTTCTCTGCTTTGGCCATTGCTGTAATCGAGGCGAACTTTTTCACCATCATATAGTGGCGGAAGGCGCGTTGTATCGTTATGGCAGCATTACGTGCCCGCACGCCACCGTACTTACGCTCCAATAGTTCAATTTGTTTCTCCAACAAATCTTGTGAGAGCTCGTATCTGTGTGAATGTGGAAATAAGAAAAAGAGAATAGAAGAAAAGCATAGGAAAAATTATTATTAAAATACATAATAGATGTTGTATGTAGTATGTACTCGTATGTACATACATATGTACTATACTTTGAAGGTGTAATGGTAGAATGATAGACATGAAAAACTAATATATATGTATGTATGTATGTATGGATGTATGCGCCAGCGGCGGAATTGCATAACATGCATGCCATTGTGTAATGTGTAATGATGATGGTGGCAAAAATCAAAGCGAAAAATATTACATTCAACCGACACCTACCTACACACATAGGTACAAGCAGTTTGTGGTGTATGTTAATTTGAAAAAAAAAAAAAAAAATGCAAAATGCCAATTTTTAGGAAATCGAAAATCGGAAAATAACACGTAGTGTAGCCAAGCGCGAGTACGAACGTATTGTGTGCTGATAGTTTTGCTAAGTACGGCTATGGCACCGTTAGTCGTCTTTTTTGGTTACACTCTTTCTACAAGCCGCTGCGCTGCGCTGACAGGCCAATAAGGCTCTTGAAACAACTTTCGACTACTGAACTGACTGAACTGGAAGGTTTAAAATGGAAATTATTTTGCAAATATAACTTTTATGCGCGTCACAAAGCCTCTGACGTACATACATACATATGTACAAGCAAACACAGTGCGCAGCGTCACAGCGTTACAGCCACAATCAAAGCCAACACAAGAACGACTAAAAAAAAGAGCAAACATTTTATTAAGGTATTCGAAAATTTACGAGTGTACCCATATACATATGTATGTATGAATGTATGTATTTATGTATAAGTATTAATAATTTCGCTCATCTGTGTGAATTTTTTCATTTCTTTCTGCTTGTTTACACTTTGGTTACGCCCGATAAGATAAATACTTTTGTTGAAATTCTTATCTTATCTGCTTATACTTGTCATATGTACGATATACATACATATATCTGCATGTATATATGTATATGTTTACGGATATAAATAAATTTTTGTAAATTTGCAGTCGGCGGCTGGTTGATATTGAAATTTTTAAGCAAATTCGCTCCAAAATGTCTCAGAGTAAGTTAGACGGATAAATAAAAGTAAATAAAAAACTATATAATCTAATATAAATATATAATAAGTCAAACAATGTAATAAGCAAATAAAAAAATAAATTAAAAAAAGAAAGAAAAACATAAAAAATAACAACATTAAAATAATATAAATAAAAAAATAAAAATAATTGAATTATAAAACGTAAAAAAATTAAACAAAAATAGAACTAAATAAATTAAAAAAAAAAATAAATAAAAAAAATAAATAAAAAAGAATAAATAGAAAAAAATCAACAGAACATAGAGTAAAAAATTACAACAATAAATAATGAATAAATAAAAGATTGAAAAATAAAAATTATAATTTTGAATAAACAAGAATTAAATAGAGATTAAAAGACAAAAAAAATGAAATTATAAAATTAATAGAAACAATAAATTAATAAAAATAAAAAACATAAAAACGAAATAAAGAAAAATTAAATTTAAAAATACAAAAAATTAATTTGAATAAAAAAAAAATGAAAAAAAAAATTAAATGAAAACAAAATCACAAAAAAAATTAAACTAAAAAAATATTGAAAAGTCTAATAAAAAAAACTAAAATTTAATAAAAAATTACAATAAATAACTAAATGAATAAAGATATAATAAAAAAATAAATATATATAATACAAAAAAAAAAAAAAATTAAAAAAAAAACCGAAATTAAATAGAAAAAGTAGGAAATATAAAAAAGTAAAACAAAATAAAAAACAACAATACATAATTATATATATACACATATATAAATAGATATAAAATGAAATTGGGCAAAAAAATAAAATCAGAAATATAATATCAAATCAAAAATTTAAAAAATAGAAATTAAAGAAAATAAATAAAGTAAAAAACATAATATAAAACAAAAAACAAACAAAAAATAATAATAAAATGGAGAATATGTAAATAAAAATATATACATAATATAAAATTAAACAAAAATAAAGAAATAAAAATTAACTTAGAAAAGATTAAAATGGAAATGAAATAAAAAAAATTAAAAGGAAATATATAAATAAAATTAAAAACAAAATAAAAAAAATTAAAAAATTAAGAAAAAAATTAATTAATAACAATTACATAAAATATATATAAAACATCAAAAGAAAAAAATAAAAAAAGTTTAAAATTGAAATGAAAATAAAAATATATAAAATATTAAATAAAAAGTAAATAAAAATATATGAAATTTTAACTAAAAAGTAAATAACCAAATTAGTTAAAATTAAATAAAAAAGAAATTAAATAAAAATTAACAAAGAAAAATATAAAAAAGAAGTGGATTAAAAAATCAATACAACTTAGTTAAAAACATAAAAAAAGAAATCAAATAACAAATAAAAGTAAAAAATTTTAAAACCGATCCAAAATTAAACAAAAATGAAGCAATAAAGAATTAATAATAATTAATAAAACGTAAAAAAAAAAATTAATAAAACATTAAAAAATAACGATATAAAAATTAAATAAAAAGTAAATAAAATAAAAAAAAAGGAATAAATAAATAAATTAACCAACAAAAAAATTAAAAATGTAAAATGAATTAAAAAATAATTATAACATTAAACAAAAAAAAATATACACTCGTACATATGTATATACAAAAAAAGGGTTAAGAAAAGAATATAACTATTGTAATAAAATGAAAGAAAATAAATAAAAAAAACAGCCAGCCAAAATTAAATAAATAAATGTTTATCATTATTTATAAGGGCTTATATACAAACACTCAGCTTGCCTACTGTTGATAAATTTTCGACAATATTTTCGGTATGCAAATATTTTCCCAAATCTAACTAATTTTCTATCGCATTTTTTAAGTCCATAATAAGGCAATACGCGAAAAAGATAGAGACCGACAACAGTAAATTATAATTGGCTACAATAAACAATAAATAAAAGCGCACTGACTGTTAGTTAAACTGTCATACTGTTCTTTATTACTAAGCTGTAAATAAATAAATAGTTGGTAATTAAAGTAGAGCAAAACGTCTTTTTAATTTTGCAGGCTTGTTTTGGTGAAATACAATAGATAACAAAACAAATAAAAAATAAACAACAGTTAAAATTAAACTAAAAGAAATTGGTTCTAATCTAGTCTTACTATCTATAGAAAGCTCAAAATTAATTTGATACTACAATATATACTGTATGTATGTATATATGTGCTGTTATGACAAGCGCATGTTGATAATTTTACACAGCTTCGTAGGCAACATTGAACCAAATACTTCACACAACATTTTATGTTCGCCTTATTTGAAGTTTGTCAACATTTGGTGTTTAAACGAGCGATGGGATAGAGGCTAGGATTTTTCCTCATTACTATCAAAAGCTTCATCAACATATGCCTATCAGTGAACTAGTATTTTACTAGTATGTCTCTGGTACAGGAATGGACAATTGAGATTTTTTCCTTTCACTTCATACCAAAAATTATTGAAGCTGGAAACTGATGGTTGTTTGTAGTGTGGGTTATTAATGATACAAGGAATAATAGGATTCATTTATCAGTGGTCATAGTAGGTGAGTGGTCCTACAAAGCAGAGGCTTATGTATTTGAGTTCCGTCCTGATCCGCCGTTCGTTTCATCTTTCCAACGTAAAGGAGGTCTTTCTCTTCCTCTGTTTCCCCAGCGGCCACTGCATACAATATTTTCCATTCGAACGAGATAATTTATCTCCTAATTCGTTTAGCTATAATGATTTTGCCGTTCATGCGTAACCCTTGTCAATGCGCAAAGTACCATAGATCTTCCACAAAACCTTACTTTTGAAAACTCGTAATTCCGACTCAGCGGCTGTTATCATCATGCAAGCCACTAAAGCCTTTATTACTAGGATGGGAATGATGAGTGCATGTTATTACTATTAGAGCATTGGGTGGAACTAAACATTACATATCCGATTGTTATCTCGGGAATCGGTCTGATGGTCTTTTGTATGAGAGAATGGTTTGTCTGTATATCTATATTAATCCTTTTCGACAGTTTTTAGGAGGGTCTAACTAAAACGATTACACTGTTCAAGTTAGTATGCAGTTTTGCTGAGCTATACTATGAATACTAAAATGGCATAAGCGGTGCCTACGTCAGTCAAGAAAAGAAGAACTTCCAAAAGCCCAAAATATGAAACGTTGTTATAGTTGTTTCCGATTTATTACCAATCATTTAGTTTACGTTGATAAAAGAATTTCAATTGCATTCCAAAAACTGACTTCTTTCAATGTGTCAATTATGCATATTTGCCAATTCATTATTATAATTGAATTTTTATCAATTTTAAGTAAACCAAAAATAAAACAAAAATCTACAAAATTTAAAAAAAAAATCACACCAAACAGCAGTCACTGAACTGAACTTTGTTTGTTAGCGATAAAATTTTTATGCAAAATTTGATAAGAAAAAATTTCACTGCCTGCTAAGCAAATAAATATTTTTTCTAAGCATTAGCGTGAATAAATGCAAAAATATGATAACTTATCGAAATGAATAATAATATTTAATATTTAAAGAAAAAAAAAAAAAAAACAATTGAAACTTACGCTGTCTGTGCACGTGCACGCTTCAGCACATCGCTGCCATTTCTTATCGAATTCTTTTTGTGCATATTCTGCTGCATTGCCGACGGCGATGTACTACCGGGACCACCGCCGCCAGCAACAACCGCACCGCTGCCCATGCCAGTGCCAACACCGCTACCAGCAATCACAACGGCACCGCCATGATGATGATGATGGCCATGCAGCAGATGATGATGATGATGCTGGTGATGTAAGCTCACATGTTGGCCATGATGCATGCCACCTGTGGGAAAATAACACAAAACAAAAATGAGAGAAATACGTTTAAATGGAAATATACTCGTATGTACAATACATACATACAAATGTATGCATGTCTGTGTAATACAATGACAGGAAAAGAAAAAATTTTTACGAAAAAGATAATTAAGTTATTAACAAATAGAGTTTGAGACGTTAGACGAGGAAAAGGTGGTCTATGTAAATATGTATGTTTGCAAAAGCTATTGTACTCGTGCCTAGGAAGGCCGTCGCTGGCGCTCGTATATTAAATTTATCGTACAATAGATAATGTTTGGCTTTATTAAGATTGAATCATGTTTGTTTTTGTTTTTTTTTTTTTAAGATTTTTCTAAGCCTTATGTACATACAAGATTGCATACAAACATTTGAAAGAATGTACATACATACACTGGCGAACATAAGTGAGTACCTGGCGTTTTTTTATTTATTTTGAAAAAATATTTTTTTTTTGGTAAATTTTATAAAAAAATTTTTTTAAATTATTAATTCTTATTAAATAATTTATTTTTTTAAAAACTTTTTTTATTAATTCTTTTTTTAAATTATTTTACACGTTGCGAATAAAAATGACAAAAAAGTGGCAAATTTATTTAATTTTTATAATATTTTTTGGACTCTTTTTAAACTTATTTTAGAAACAGTTACAAATTAAAATATCAAAATGGTGGAGAACTTATTTAATTTTTCCAAAATTTTTTCTAGTAAATTTGTAAAATTTATTTAGTATAAAAATTTATAAATTTAAATTTCAAAAAAGGGACTGAGTATTTAATTTAAAATTTTTTGAAATTTTTTTTTAGATAGATAATTGGAATGTGAAAAAGTTGGTAACCCTAAAAGCAGCTTTTATTGGATTAACATTTTTCAAAACTACTACTTATGTAATATAAAAATTTTCACATTTCATTAAATTTATACAAAATACAATAAATCAATAATTAAGTAAAAAAAGTGGCAACCCTAACGAATGTTATGACTGCTGTTACATGTACTATATGATAAAGACATTGCTAAAGGGCTACCATTTACTAATTATGATTTTTTATAATTAAAAAAATATCGAGCAGAAGTGGCAACCCTATCTCAAACAAAAAAATTAAGCAAAAGTGTTAAGATAATTTATATATATTATATATATAAATATACAATTAGATCATATTATACCGTTACATATCACTGTAGCCACTACAACAAAAGCTACTGCAAGACTCAGTCAGTCTTGATCATTGGTCGGTTTAAGCGTGGGATGCTCTGGATTATTGGATCTCCGACTTCTTCTGCACCATAACCTAGATATGCACAGATTCGAGGAGACAGAGCCAAGGTTAGGTTGTAGTGTGTGATGGAAATTTCGATCCAGGAGTCTTTTGTTGAAAATTATCTATCGGTGGGAGGTTGGAAGCGTTATAGCGTTTTTCGGGCGTAAGTACCTCTTATCAATCATGCTGTCGACAAGCTGCTTCCGGCCTCAGATGGACTGTGCCAGATCAGTGAAGCTTCGTCTTCACTCAAGACTAAAACTCTCCCACTTAGTGGGACTCCAGACCGGGCTTTGATCGATGGTGGTAAGACTTGAAATTTTTACGGATCGCCATCTAAGCGTTTTCTAAATGAAAACTGGACCAGCGCTCGCGTTATGTTTACTCTGAGAACATCACGACAGACGTATGTCTAAGTCAGATCTGCTTAGGATCAGCCACTTCTACCTAACCTAACCTAAATTTGCTGAATAAACATAAATCACCTGCATATACAGCGCGACTGGGTATGAAAAAATCACAATGTACTCCATTCTGAACGCCAGTCTAAGTTAGAAAAATACACACACACATACTATTATATACTCATAGATATATAACTATATGAATTATAAATGCGTCTCGAAACTTACCAGCTCCCGCTACTACTGTTGCTGGCTGATGTGCGATTTGCTGTTGATGGCACGAGGTTGCATACTGTTGTTGTTGCTGTTGGTAAATCATGTGAGATTGTGGCATTACGGGATAATTTATAGCCGCACTCGAAGAGCTCGAGGGTATATAATGTTGCTGCAGGTAAACGTAGCCGCCCCCACCACCACCAATACCACCGCCGCCAACACAATCTGTTGACATTGTCGAACCGGACGTTGTGGAGCCTGGCGGTGCGGCAATGTCATATTGGGTCGAACCGCTACGCTCGATGGATTTTTGTGGGAAACTGCAAAATAAGAGATAATTAAATTGTAATTAATGGAAAAATAGAAAAAAATGTTATTATTTTTTCGCAAATAAATTTATCATTGCAATTTGGCTGGTAACAAATGTAATTTTATATAACAATAAATAAAGTAAATATGGTGTGGGAATAAAATGGTAAATATATATAAACGAATTTCGGAGGTTATGAGATGAATAATAATGTATTATTTACTATTTAAAAATTTTCAAGAATAAGTTTAAACGTCAACATACAGTCTTCTTGCCAAAACTGCCGCTCTCATTGAAAGGTTTATGTATAACGGTTAAAAACCGTTGGTCCAGCTTTTTGTTTTTAAAAACCAAGGCTTTTTGAAAGCTATATTTTTCAACTTCTCGAAAGAGGGTCAAGGGCCTTCAAAAGAAAGGTACCAGTAACCAAACCAAGAGACCGCACGAGCACTTACGATCTGTCAAATTTTTCTTATTGAAATTTGTGGAACGTTTTCGAAGTAGTTTTTTGAAATCCAATTCATTTTATGCATAAGTTATTTGAAATAATGCACAACCTCTACTGATGACTATTAACCTCTAACTTATCAGTTTGTAAGTACTTAACTTCTTGCCTTAGCTTAAAATATTTTAGAACCGCCGAAAACAGTTTCCACAACGAAGAGATGTTTCCGGGATTTCCGAAAGAAATATTAACCGCCCTTTCCGAACAGAAAAAGTGGAGTATCTAGTTTGAGAACTATTCAAAAAAGATAAAGGTGTGTGAAGGAGTCCACTCTGAATCACTTGCGATCGACATGAGCAAGAGGATTTTCGACCACTGCAACGTTTTCCTAGCTGAACTAATTGCAATAAACAAACTAATGGCACCCGTCTCATGGTTACTCAGCTCTTGTATAGTATCTCAACTCAATACAATGTATTGTCAAGCTGCCATTAAAGCTCTTCGATATAATCACATCACCTCAGTTGGCAATAAGATGAGAAAGGAGCGTGGTTTCTAGTAAGAAGGGGTACAGTCCTAAACACAGTAAACTCTGCTCTCAAAGTGTGCATACCTCTTTCCTCTGCAAAATGCCTACTAAGCTCTTTACATGTAATGCAACCAGACAGATTTGGCCATTGAACGATGAAAATTTAACTAAGTATTTACACCTACTGAACAAATTTAACACGGGCGTAACAACGTTTGATGGTTACTTATGGTTAAAGGAGAGACGAGGAGAAATCGATAGTGCACTATCTCTGAATCCGTATGAGTCCATCCGCCATCGTGTGCGAAACGATCATGGCCCCTGCAAGAATTGAAGCCGAACGCCCATCAAGCCTGTCGCATACGCCGTGAATGAGCCCAAAACGAAATGGCCACCGATTGGATTTTCATAAGCAAATTGATGACCGTTCAAAAAGTCACCATTTGGTGGGCTTCATGGAAATCATTGGTACATATTTCTTCAAAAATAAAGCCGGCTTAATCTTACAGCCGATGTGTGAACGATATAGAGTCATGATTAATGATTTTTTGGCGTCTGAATTGAAAGATGTTGATGTGTACGACCTCTGTTCCAACAAATTAGCGCTACTCGCCTTAAAGCCAAAGAAACTATCAATTGATTGTAGGAAAGGTTTGGTTAGCGGGCCTGTCACGTGGTCTCTAAGATTGTACAATGCAACACCGCTGGACTATTTTTTTGTGGGGTTATGTGAAGTCGCTTATCTGGGCAGATGAGCCCGAAACCATTGACGACTTCCAAGACTATATTCGGCGCGTAGTGCTGCCAAAAGCAATCGAAAATTCAACATTTTGGCTGGAGTTTTTTCGAGACAGCAGCACGTTGACTTGTTCGAAATTATTTTTAAATCCCAATCGTTATTTTTAAAATAAGGCTAAATTATTGGCGATAGAATTAATTATATGCGTTTTATTTCACCCTTTAGTATTTAATTATTATTATTTTTTTTTTAATTTTAAAAACCACTAAAACAGAGCAAAAACTTCAATTATATAAAAAAACATTTAACATTTAATCTAAATAATAATAATAAATAAGTTTCTATCAACTGTTCAACTCATTTTTATTGTAAATAAACACACACACATATATTTCTGAACAAACAAATTTTGTTGCACTTCTTTTTGGTATTTAAAATGTTTTTTCTTTACAAAAATAGTTTTTTTTCAACTCAAAAAAAAAAAAAATAAAAAAATTCTTGCACTTTTTTTGACATTTAAAATTCTTTTTTCTTAACAAAAATATTTTTTTTTCAACTAAAAAAAAAAAAAATTCTTGCACTTTTTTTGACATTTAAAATTCTTTATTCTTAACAAAAGTATTTTTTTTCAACTGAAAAAATCAAAAAAAATGTCTTGTACTTTTTTTATATTTAAAAACTTGTTTTTTCTTTACAAAAATAATTTTTTTAAACTGAAAAAAAAAAAATCGTGCACATCTTTTTGATATTTACACAAAAAGTTTTTTTTTAACTCAAAAAAAAAAAAAAAAAAAATTCTTGCATTTTTTTTTGACATTTAAAATTGTTTTTTCTTAACAAAATTAGTTTTTTCTCAACTAAGAAAAAAATCATTTGTTTATCACTTGACTTTTTGTCAGCGCCAGGAATTTGTTTTAATTATTATCAATAATGTTTATTAACTGCTCATTATTTATTATTTATTGATTTCCATATGAATTACATTTTACATTTCTTTTCTTTTCTGTTGGCATTTTATGAATGCCAAAAATACAACTACTTGGCAAAGTAAAGAAATTTTGTTAAAAAAAAAAAATATTGCACATTCAGTTCTTTACAACACCTTGCCAAAAACAATTTTTGTTTATAATTTACTCAATCTTACACTTTTTGTGTATTGTTAAAGAAATCAGGTCACCCTACGTTTCATTTACACTGGCACACACACACACGCGCACACACTCGCACACTCACTGAAAGTACTCGATTATGGCATGAATTGGCAAAAGAGTCAGAAAAAGAAAAAGAATTAATAAAAATCATTGTGCCATAAATATTTTATACTAAATTACTTTTTGTATTGATTTTTGATTATTTAAGTCTCAACAACAAAACAAAAAAAAATTCAAAAACAGACAGCTGCTTAGCAAAACACAGGTGAAAAACCAAATAAGTAGCGTTATAAAAATTAAATTTTGGAGACGCCATAAAATTTTAAGAAATAAATAATTTATAAACACTTTAATTTGTTATTGTTTTGCAATCAATATATGAATGTATGTGTGCCTATTGCCATTACCTTTCACCAATTATAAAACCCGAAATGCAAATGATCATTTTGACGCTTTCGTTAATTTTGTTTGTTTGTATGTTTTTTGTTTAAAGTTCACAACAAACGAGTATGTAGATCACAGAAGTCGAATGTGAAAAAAAAAATCACTTTAAAATCATTTTTACTCCGTTTCCAGTTGCTTACGCTGGCAAGGATACGAATAAACTAAAAGCGGCGACGACGATGGTGGTGACTTTTCCTGCATTCATTGCTGCCACCGCTACGCATGCGCAGTGTTGCTGATCGTGCGCAGGGCATTAATGCGTTAATGTGGCTGTCGTGTATGCGTTATTTGGCTGAGCAGTTTTAAGCACGAACAGAAGTGACCAGAAGAATATGGGAAAAATTGAAGCACAATGTACTACAGTACTGAGTGCTGGCATCAAATTGGCTAACAAAGAACTCCACCAACTGGTAACCTTAAACAACCCTCCAAGTGTGACTACTGTCTACCTATAATAAGTGCGCAAGCGCGCATCCGATTCGGATTTCACAACAAGAAAAAAAAAAAAAATATAACAAAAAAAAAATATAACAAAAAAAAAAAAAAAAAAAAAAAAAAAAAAAAAAAAAAACAGAATAAAATATTAGAAAAAAAAAAAAAACAAATAAAAAAAATTTAGTGTAAGAAATAGTTGCATCTCCTCACAGTATATAATTATTTAAAGGTATTTTAGGCATTTGGTGAGAGGAAAAGGATGAGTTATTAAACAAGCGACTGTATAGAAAAAACAAAAACTAAAATCAAAATAAGAAAGGAATTTTTTAGTAATTTTTTTTTATTTAGAAAAGTGTTGAAAACCAGTGCAAGGTTAGAGAGAGAGAGCAAACAAATAAATTAAAATATAATAATAATAATAATAAAAATGTGCTACGAGAAAACGGCTGCGTCTAATAGAAGCCGATTGCATAATGAAAGAATGATTAAACAGGATATAAATAATTATCACAGGTAGGTAAAGGTAAATAACAAAAAAATTCTGAAAATATTTTTTTGTCTTTCACAACAGTTTTTGGTGAAGAAAACATTGCAAGAAAAGGTTTAAAACTTAAGATCTTTAACTTATTATTATCTCGTGTGCTTTTCTCTCATATAAAATATATTATAAGTGTTAGTTTTTAAAAAATGTTGATTCGTTTGCTGTAACTTTGGCTTAGTTTTAGATCAAAAAGTGATATTCTAGTATTTAGGTAGGAAGCACTAGATATTTTAGGCAATATATCAATTTATGTTGAGAGCGTTCTGAACTTCTTTCAGATTTTGCCAACATTTTTGTAAAGTAATCATTTTACATGGGATAAAAAATTTTTAAGTATACTAGCATGAAATTTTATTATAAATGAGATCTGAATATTCTAATTATCAGAAGCGGAAAAAAATTGACAATTGTCATTTAGATCTGGCAAGCTGAGTTTAGCATAAGAGATCCCATGAAAAAGTTATGTTACTCAATTTTGTTAAATTGGTAAACACATCTTGAATATAAATTCATAGTTTAAGAGATGTATATATTACATACAACATATTTAGTTGATTTATGAGTGCCTTAAGGTTGAACGTATATTTGGTTTTCTGTTCTCGAAAAAATTAATCTAAGAATTCCCATCAAATTTTAAGCAAAAAAACGGAATCAAATGCTCAAAAGCACAGATGGAGTCTTACGGTGAGAGTATTGTGAACAAAGAAAAAATGTTTACTAGTCGAG